CGCAGTTTAGTACGATGGAAGCTCTCGATGCTCGCGTTGAGCAAGTGCTGGGAAGTATCACCTCTGACAACACCAAGTACGTCTATCTACGAACTTTATCTCGCTTCATAGAGTGGCTCTACGAGAATACGGAGGCGGATCGACGGCAAGTCCTGTTTACTAGTACGTTTCGTGAGCTGGGTGCAATTAATGGGGAGAGTATCGCGCAGTGGTTCTCTATCGTCCCTTTACGAAGCCCTGTCAATCTAAGTGTATTAAGTACTATGGAGTGTATGCGCTACTTGACCTCGATGGAGCAGCGTGGTGTCACCGGAAAGTCGACTTTTGGAAATGTTCGCTCGGCGATAGTGTACCTTCACACTCAGACAGAGTCCTCGGTGAATGCTACTGCAACGATGCACACCGAGCTTTACACATGGGGTGGGGGCTTTCATCAAGTGCCAAGAGAGTTTGTGCTACCCGCAAGAACCGTTCGCGTTGTGTGGCAGCAATGGTGTGCTGGGCAACCGCCACTAAAGCAGCTATCAAAGCACGATATGGCTTCAAGACTACAAAAGATCCGGCTTGCAGAGCTTCAGCGGCTGATGCGCTTCGTTGAAGCACTTCTGACGAGTGATGAGGTCCTGCGAGCGCACAGCTCTCTCGATTCGGCTGGCCTTCTTTTTGAGCAAGTAAAGAATCGTTTACCGTTCTCATCGACGTCGAGTAAAGGAAGAGCGCATAGACTTGACCAACTATCGTGGAGAACACTCGCCCGTGAGCATGCAAGGCACAGCTCCAGCTAGACTAGCTACCATTACGTAGGTGAGTAGCGGTAAGCTTACACAATACACATTTACTTCGAAGTGGTAGTGTTTCTACTTTCACACTGTGTACCAAATGTGCGGCACAATATGCTTCGTGCAAACTGCACGATGAATTCCACTACATTTTGCATTATTGACAGTTTCATTTGATTTTTGTATATCTGGCATTTTTGCATTCGTGGAATTCGCCGGTCAATTTGCACCCCGAATTCTATACGAAGTGGCAGATTCGCACGGCGATTTCCGTAGAAGTACCTATGAATGGCATTTCATGTTGTGAAACACTTCAAGTAGCAAGACGTACCCGTAAGATGCGTTAGTTAAAATATTGATATTGATAGTATGATAGCTGTATTGTATATCATAAACACTTCACTCACTCATTCACTTACTTCCAGTTTATTTCGCTGCATGCCGTTCACTTCTTTTTGAGGAGCTTGAAGCGCTTGCTGAAGTGCGAGATGGCAGTGTCTACGACTTCATCCGGCCGGTTGTCGTCGATCTGGCCCGTGAATTGAATGTAGCTCTTGGAGCCGCCGTACTGGTCGCAGAGCGATTTGGCGTGCTCAGGCATGAAGAAGTCTTTCTTGGACGCGCTGATAAAGAGGCACGGCACCGTGAAGTACGGGGCAGCGTCGAGCAGCCTGACGTCACGGAAGTTGAAGCCGCCAGCCTTGCCGATCGAGTTCGCCAGGATCTTTTGAACTGCGGTGACCATCGCCGAGGGAAAGTACAGACTGCGACGCTCGGCGCTCTTGGTGATCATCTGTAGCATATCCCAGATCACCTGCTCCATGTCTCCGTAGGCACTGTCCGCCGTCAATGCAAAGATGAACTTGTCGTGTCCAGCCTTGCTGGAGAAGCGCTTGAAGCCCTGTAAACGCGCCCTGCCACCGTTGTTCTTGCAGCTCCGCTGTATCAGACGATAGCATACACTCGGACTTAACCCCTGCACGGGAACATTGTCGATCGCTAGCAGGACGAAGTCGCCGTGTGATGCACTGTACTTGCTGAATCGGAAGTGCAGACCCGTCAATGGAGGGATGCACAGAATGTGGCGGTTCTCTCTGTCTTCCACGACTTCCAACTTCTTCGCTTCTTTTCGCGAGACCGTCATCGTTTCGTAGTGGTACGGCATGCGCTCTTTGGCATGGAGCAGTGCCGCTGCGGATCCAATATCTCTCCCCCAGATACCCACAGCCGACGCACGCCCAGTTGCGTACAGATAATCCACAACCGTTCGCAAGTCATCGTGCTCAAAGTATCCAAACGACACGCGGTCACCGCCGGAAAGACCGGAACCGGACAAGTCCACTGCGAACAGCGAGAAGCCCGCAGCCAGCACTTTACGGTGCAAATACACGCACTCCTTGCGCGAGCTGGACATACCGTGCAGGTAGATGATGCACGGGTCCACGCCCAATTGCGCCGTTGTCTGCTGACTGCTCCAACTCGAGTTGCTGCTGCTGCTGTCCGTGCTGACATTATCCATGGGCTCCTCTATTGCGCACCCGGGCGCCACCTTGTCCTCCTCACCAGACAGCGACGACGACGATGAAGAGCTCGCCAAGTCTGCAATCGGGTCGGTGTCTCTCACTGCTCTGCGACGCCAGAAGCTGCAGGCCAAAGGTTCTCCACGAGGGTTTTGCAGGTGGAAGTCCTCGCGCACGAACTCTTCGCTGTCGTTGCTGGCTGTAGCGAGTGTGAACTGCCGGTCGCCCAGCTCTCGGACGGAATACTCGGCGCGCACGGGGCTGGCGATGGACTGCACCAGCTCCTCGTACGTCTCGGAGAAGAGCTGCCACCAGCTCCCCAAGCTGTTGGCGTGCAGCTCGCGCTTGTTCATCTAGTTATCAGATGTACATTGGCGTTAGAGACGTCATGCTCTGCATGCAGTGAAGAGGCTGCAGCTAAGTAGACGCGGGCTGGCTTACCTCCGCCTCGAGCTCTCCGTCCTGGAAGATCTCCATGGCTCTGTGGGCAGGGGCCGTGCAGCTGAGGCGTGAGCGGGGCGTCGGTCGAGCGGCGCGTTCAGTAATGGCAGCGGTTCAGCTTCGAAATGGCCGTGGTATGGTAGCTACTCGACTAAGTATATGTAGAGGACGGTTTGGAATGGAAAATGATACGGTGTCAACTTAATCAGGAGATTGATGGGTGTTTTATGCTCCATTGGCCATGTATACGGTTGGGACGCAACGCTTCAACTGCATCCTCCCCTCGCATGAACCAAGCAAGCCCATCTATTCCTCGGAGCTACATGCTGCGGTGTGCAGATAGCGAAACTATCAGCTCGAGCAAGGTGGACACCAAGCTTAATATCCCAGGTGAGATACCATCAGAATCCATTCCACGCGACACGATTCACGAAGATAGTCCGACGGACGCAATGGCAAATCGATCGTGGTGGGGTGTCTAACAGCACGCTCCGAGTTCACGCTCGGCAGCTGGAGATGCTCGAGATGGGACGCCGGCAAACGACAAGTTCCCGGCTCGAGGACTTCCTATCTTGACGACAGCCTCGCTAGCAGTAACAAGTTTCGGTGGTATTCGGCAATTGTGGTCGTACTTCTGCTGCTATACTTGGAACCAGGGTTGCCGAATATTGCATTGTTATCTATTGCGAGCAAGAAGAGAATAGATAATTGAACATCAAACTAAACAAACCCGCAATAGAATATCGACATACTTCACACAGCAAAATAGATTATTGGTGCAATGTCAGTGTATTGATGGGTTACATACCTATCATTACTCCGCGCTCTCAACAGTGCGCGCGTCCCAATAATCGGCATTCTGCCGCAGGAACAGCAGCATCTCCAGCGTGTACGGCTGCAGTGCGTGGCGCTGCAGCCCAAACGTGGCCCGAGCGATGCTAAAAAATCGCTCGACCACGTTGGACGTGGGCGGAATGGACGCCAGCAGTTCGTAGCATGGTTGATGCTCTTCTAGGCGCCGACACTTTTGCAGCCGCTCCATGAAGGAGATGCTGGCCTCCTCATCCTTCTCTTCTTGCTCGCCCTCGCCCGCTGGTGGAGCCGCCAAGAAGCGCTCCAGCGCCGCCTTCTCCACCCGGGCCAGCCGCTTGGCTTACCCCTTGAGCACCTTGACGCAGCCCGCCTCGAAGTCGGGGCAGTAGACGATGTCAGCCCGCGGTGCTACAATACAATACAAACAAATTAATATTAGTAAATGTACCAATAACGCATAATAGACAAAAAACGTACCGAGATAACGGGCGTACGAGGGCTTCGCGGCAATGAGCCCGTCGAACCAGACGCGAACGTCGAGGAGGTTTGCGTCAGCGCCTTGGAGAGCCTTCGACACGGACTCCACGTCCTTCAGCTCGCCGAGCAGGTCCCGAAGCCGCCGCTTGGACGCCGCCGGGGGAAGGAGCTCGGCCAACTCGTCGTCCTCTGCGTCGATGAATGGTAGAAGCTCGAAGTGTAGCGGTTAATCATCGCTAAGGTCGAACCCCAGCGGGTTTGCTGGCGGATGATTGGTCGAAGGTCGGTCTTGAACCTGCAAGCACCAAAGTGTCAATTTCAGTTAAATCACACTAAATAACAAAACTAACAGGAAATATACAGATACTAACCGGAGTTTTGCAGAATGGTGGAGGGTCCGCAGCTTTACCATCAGCGCCTGTACCATGTCGACATCTTCAGCGCATTCGCTCAGCCGGGCGGCGACGGCTCGGTTGAGTCGGTGGCTTGCACACCCAAATAGCGGGACGCCCATCAGCGTAGCGAGGCGGCGGTTGACGCCGCAATTATCTCCCACCAGGAAGAGAACCTGGTCCAGGCGCTTCTGATAGTCGCGCGCTAGCATCGTAGCCAAGAAGGCTTGATGACTAGCCGCGGAGAAGTCGTCGGTCTCATCGTTGACGAGTGGTGCCATGCAGAGCAAGGGGCACCTCAGAACCCCATCAACCTCGTAGCACGCGAAGACCGCGATGTTGTGCTCCGAGTCGTGGCTCCACCCGTCAAAGATGCGACCAAACTCCTCCGGCATCTCAGCCGCGATCGCGTGCTCGACGCAGCGCGTCACCGCGTCCATGACGCGCCGAAGCGTTTCGACAGAGACAGGCTGGAGGCGCGTGTAACTAGATGCAAAGTGTAAACACAGTATTAGTTAGTTGTCAAACAGTACATATTCAGTAGAGAGCTGGGTCGTAACGTCTTGCGAGCTTGCTCTCGCAAAATGATAGCGGTAGGTTGCACTTCACCAGCCACCCCGGCCAACCGAACAAGTTCTGGGCAGAGTGGCGGACGTAGTGAGCAAGAGAGCCCGTCTGACCGGGTGTTGCGGTCAGTATCTCCTCCGAGTACGAGGGGTGCTCGCGCCTGATATGCTGCATCAGGTTCGAGTACCTCGTCCCGGTGACTCGCTTCCGGACCGCGCCGCACCGGCAACGGAAGTACTCGAGAATGGCCTCGTCGTACTGGTCGCGGCACGGCCGGAAGTAGAAGTTGGAGACCTGCCTGTTAGCGAAGGCGGCCGTGCGAGGCGGACGGGGGGTTGCGAGCATTGTGGCGGCTCGTGGTGGGTTGTCGGCTTCCGGTGGAATGAAAAGTGGGGAGAGTTAGTATGGTCGAGCTCAAGCCGTTGGTTTGGAGGATGGTTGGCTGCAGTAGCCCACAATACATAATCGAAGATGTTATGCTCAACTCAAAAGATAACTGGTAGATAGCGGTTAAGAACATGTCAATAAATTATTGATTCAAATCTATTGCAATAGTTTCAGCACCAATTTATTTTTCGGCATCCCTGCTGGCTTGTTGCCGCTGGAGGCCAACCACCATCGAGCTGGACGATAACGTCTCATACTTCTTACGGTTCCACCAGGTTCCAGCGCTCCCCGATGGCAGCATATTTCAAGAGGACGGGTCATCACTGACGAGACCAAGACAGTCTGAGCCGACCGGACTCTTTCTCGGCTCGTTGGCTCGAGGATCGATGTATGCGTGGTTGAAGCTTGTTTAACGTTAGGTATCAACGCTTCATTGAGCGTTGCATTCGACCTCAGGGTGAAGCCACTTGGGTACTGTTGACAGAACTCGACAGCCTCGTGAAGTGGTAAGAAGACTCTCCTAATCCTTGATTCGCTTCAGTATTCGGCTGACTCCTTCCAGGCGCTTGTCATCGCGATCCGCCTGTCCTCTGGTGGCGAATACAAAGGATAAACTCAAAGCGGTTTCGAGAAAGCCAGCCAAGTTACGCCCCACCCAAACCAACTCCAGTTATCACTGTTGAGGTTGCGGCTCCATGGATATAAGACACCACGCATCGGTGTCGTTGCAGCCGTGGACCCGGTGGGGCCTTGCGAAACGCTTGTTCCTTTCCAAGAATCTCGCACCACCCCGTCGTCCTGTTTCCATTCCCCAAGTCGCCACAAGAAGCTCGCACTCAACGGATCCCAGCCAATTTTCCTTGCAGGATGAACGCTGCCGGGCGTCTTCTGGTTGAGTCGGCAGCGTCTGCATCCGGTGGTCACGAATCCCTCGAGAAAGGGGCCCAACGCATGCGTGTGACTTTGGTGTTCATCCTCGCGGGCTTCGTTACCATTTGGCTGCTCTGCGTGGGGTTGATTTGGCATCTTCGAGTGAACCGAGCAGGAGCACTGAAAGGCGACGCAACGGCTGCTAGGAAGGTCATACTACCAGCGTACGCACCTGTACTCTTTGTGATGAGCCTTATCAATGGCGGGTACATCGTCTTCCTGCTGGTAACTCTGGCAACGGGCTACTTCGACGAGTTCGTGTCTCCCATCATACTCGAGTCTTTCTACTCCGGGAACCAGTTCATGTTCGTGATCGTGCTGGTGTTGATGTTCCAGAAAAGTCTCTCGTTCCCCGCTGTCAAGCGATCGGTGGCGATATCGATGATGCTTTCGTACTACACGGTTCCGTACGTATGGGCCGTGACAAAGCTGGGGAAACCCGAGCACCAGAAGCGCTTCACAATCGGCCTTCAATTCGTGCGCAGTCTGTTGATGCTACCGTTCGTCTACGCGGTCATTAACCCTCCAAGTCGAGCTACGAAGCGCATCATCCGCGAGTTGTGCTTTGTCACCATCGTGTACTTCCTGTTAACCGTGCTGCTTATGATCTTGATCTTGAACCCGAAGACTGCCGGCTCACCGAGCCAAACTGTCGTTTACGCTATGCTGACGTGGGTGGCCTTCTGCCCACTCGTAGTTTGGCGCGTGCTCAAGGCTGACACGGAGTACTGGCGGGGCATCGGACAGCGAGCTTGTGCTTTACAGGGTCTGTTTCAGCGGGAGAATGGCTTAAGCGAGCGCGTGTCATCCGAAGGTCTTCACGTTCTCATTGAAATGAACCGGAAGTGTGTGATCGACTTCGCGTATTTGGAGCTCGTCCGGCAGCTCGGAGTCGGGTCCACGTCAACCGTTTTCCAAGGAACCCTCAAGACCAAAACTCACGTGGCCGTCAAGGCGTACGCGCCTACAAGCTGCTCGGAGGATGTCGTGGCTGCATTCTCACACGAAGCAGCCATGTGCAGCGTCTTGAACCACCCAAACATCGTCAAATTCCACGGAATGTGCGTCGCGCCACCGACGATCTGCCTAGTGTTTCAACTGTGCCAAGGTAGTCTGGCCGACGCTCTTCAGGATCAGGCTCGGCGACAAAACCCTCGGTCTGCTCGACAACAGCTCCTCATTAGCGTGGGCTACATGCTCGACGCTGCTCGTGCCGTGGCTTATCTCCACAGCTTCTCGCCTCCATTTGTTCATCGTGACATCAAGCCGTCAAACTTCCTCGTGGATTCCGAGTGCAACGTGCAGCTGTCAGACTTTGGTGAATCGCGGAGCGTGGCCAAGCTGGAAGGTAGAACGCTGGCACCGAAACCCAAGGTGCCCGTTCTGGAAGATAAGCAGTTTGTGATGAAGACTGCACTCCATTCTCCGCTGGGCACGACGCTTTCGTACGTTGACTCACCGTGGGGCGCTTGCATGGAGAAGAAGTCACCAGAGTATATTGCGCCTGAGATTATTGATGGCAAGGGGGAGCTGGTGTTCTACGGCGAAGCTGCGGACGTGTATTCACTCGCGGTTACGATGTGGGATATTCTACACCCTACGGACGACAAGTTCCCACAAGCTAGTGACGACCACGCGCAGGTGCTCGAGTTGGTGTTGCGTGGTGTAAGACCCAGACTGGACAACAGTACACCTCCGAGACTACGCGGCATCATTGAGCGTGCATGGCAGCAAGATCCCGGACTTCGGCCTACTGCGAAGCAGCTTGTCAGCGCGCTGGAGGACGTCCAGGACGAGCTGAGCGCGCGCTTAGTGCTCGACTTGATGGGCGACTTGTGCGAATACCCTCCATCCCCCAAGGCGAGCGGATCAAGTGTCCGGTCAGCTGACGTTTATCACGCACACACTTTCCCGGGGGCTTTCATCGTGGATCGAATGATCGACCGTCGGTTTGTTAGGAGCCCGGCGGAGGGGATTCGCATGGGCAACGCGCTCATGGACTCGAGTGTGCTTCACCACGTCACCCACTCCAAGAGTTTCGAGAACACGTCGACGGCGCTCTACTTCTTCGATCTAGACGAAGCGCAGCTCAGCTTGCCAAGTCACCTAGAGAGTCGACTCCATCGGAGCAGCTCAACGAGCATGCACGAGTCAAGTATCCCCATGCTAGCTCGCGGACCCCGCACATCGTTTAGCTTCGTCCGAACACGGAGCGACGCACCGTGCCAGTGTCGACAACTTGGCCAACGCCTGGTCGGCAGCAAGTCGTCAAAATTCCACCGACGGCGACAGTACCAAGCTGCGCCTGAGCCTACCGTGGAGATTAACGCTCTCACGACTGCTCTACTGGTGGAGGAAGACCCCAGCCTGGACACTGATATGCTTCAGGTGAACAACTACAACGCGTTGAGCACGGTGCCCGGCACTGCTGCCACTATGGCCTGAAAAGTATTCTTGATGTACTCAAACATTCCGCGAGCTATTCACCAACACAATGGCTAGGTTGTCAATGATCCCATAATGGGATTCCCATTACAGTAGCCAAAATATCTGCTGACAGTTTAGCATTATCCTTAAACGGGGGTTTTGATCATTAAGTAGGGTGTTTGAAGACAAAATGCTCTACATCTGATCTTACACTTATAGAGTCGCTAACTTCAAATTTGCCAAAACTCGCAATAAGCAATTCACTGGCGGTGAACTGTCACAATTAAGACAAGATGCAGGCGTTGACTGCTGTGTGCGAGGCGCTGCATGCTCCGCCCACGAGCCCCGAGGCCGAGCGCCGCCGCGCCGAGGCCGAAGCCGTGCTGGAGCACTTCAAGCGCAGCCCCAGCGCGCTCGCGGACGCCATGGCGCTGCTGCGCGACGCGCAGACGCCGCAGGTGGTGCAGTTCCACTGCGTCGCCACCATCCGCGAGGTGACGCTGCAGCGCTGGCCGCTGCTGGCGCTCGCGGACAAGTCGCAGGCGCTGGACTTCCTCATGCAGCTGCTGCTGGAGCGCGGCGCGGCGCTGCCGAGGTTCGTGGCGGCCTCGGCGCTGCAGACGGCCGTGCTGCTGGTCAAGCGCGGCTGGCTGGACCGCCTCGAGTCGGAGCGCGCCGCCGTGCTGCAGCAGATGGGCGTCATGCTGCAGCCGGGCAACGCCATCGCCCACCGCCTCTTGGCGGCCAAGTGGCTGCTGGCTTTTGTCACCGAGTTCTCGTCGGCCTCGAGGGCCAGCAACATGAGCCAGCCCGTGGAGTTCCACACCAAGTCCCGACGCACACTGGAGAAGAGCGGCGGACTCAAGAACATCGTGGCGCTGGCGGTGCCGCTGCTTGAAGACTCGATCCGCAGCACGACGACGGCCTGCGGAGACGCGGGAGCTGCGGGCAACGTACCCGCGGAGCAGTTGGAGCTGCTGGACGCGGCCTTCCAGCTGTGTGTTGAGCTGCTCAACTGGCAGTTCGAAGACCCGCGCGCGGGCAACTTGACGTGGAGCTTGAGCGCCTCGGCGAACGATGACGACAGTGGCAACCGACCTGTGCTAACCCCGCAGGCTTCGTGGAGACCGATCCTGGTGCGCCCGGACCTCATTCATTCGGCATTCAACACGTACGCGTTCTTCCGCAATGTGGCGGCGAAGAACGAGACGCTGCTGCACTTGGCAAGACAGTTCCTTATCCAGTTGGCGTCTCTGCAAGGCCCGATCTTCGAGCGCAAGACGGAACAGGTGCAGTTCCTGGGTGAAATCTTCCGTGGTGTCGTCACGGTCGTGCACAACCCGTTCTTGGATTTGGTCGCACAGAGCGACTTTACTGGATATGAATTGGCCACGCGCGAGTTGATCGACTGCTGTCAGCTTCTCTTCCGACTTGTGAACAACATTGGCCTTGAGGCGCTGCTGCAGGCCAACTCGGGACAACTTTTCTCTTCGTTTATTGAGGAACTGGCCTCCCTGACCAGCAAGCTGCTGCACTCAGCTCTTGACCGTATCCAGCGACACCTGCGTGAACACCCCAACGAGGCTATTGATGAACTTTGGGAGCTCGAGGGTGTTGATATTCTCCTGGACGCTTGGGTTGCGCTCATTAACGACCCGCAGCTGTTAGAAGTTGGTGCGCCTGGAACATCCAAGCCGGAAGCGGAGCAGGCTTTGGCACTGCTAAGCAAGGCCTCGGCGCCAGTTCTGGAGCTTTACCTTCAGGTTCAGTTGGAGTTGTGTGCGGTGGAGGCCCTTGCCGAGCAGGATGAAGAGGAGGACGTAGAGGACAACGCTGCCAGTAGTGCACGCGAACAGTACGAGCTCGCTGCCGCACTGGCTAGGCTAAACTCGTCGGCGTCGGCGTCCTTGCTAGTTTCGCTTGTACAGTCGCTGATGACGAGCGTGCAGCAGGAATTATCAAAACTGCAGGGGCGTGATGAGATGACTCCGGTGCTGTCCCAGCTTTTTGAGAAGCTGCACTTTGTTATTCTCTTTGTGGGCCTGTTCCTTGCGGATGATTTCGAAGGTGAGCGTCCAGGTATCCCGAACCGGATTCACGTCACTCTCCGAGGTGTTGCCTCTGCTGAGGATTCTCCCGTGGTGAACCTAATTATGTTGATTATGAGCCACGTGCTGGAGTTCGAGGCATCCCGGCTTGCGCAAAACCCAACGAGCGACTGCGTGAGTCCCTTTGTATCCGAAGGATTGCTGAAAACGATCACGCGGCTGTGTGCCACGTACCTGGCTCCTGATGTACTTGTCGACTCCGGTGAAGTTGCCCCGGCACTGCTGCAAGTTTTTGGTTTCCAGAACGGCGGGCGAGCAGGAGAGCTGCTGAATTTCTTGGTTCAGAAGACCACGGTGTACCTGCTGCACTGGTCCACACAACCCGTGGTCATGGAAAACCTAATCGAGTTCTTGTTGGTGCTCTCCAACACGAAAGCCATCAACCCCGTCCTGAGCTCGCAGATGTGGCAGTCGCTCGTCCAAGCCAATGCGTCTGCTGGATCGTTCATGAGCGCGGCTACCGGTGGAAGTGATGCACTGCATACTGCAGTTGCTAGAATTCCCGCCAATCTACGAGGTCAACTGACGGAGGCCTTGTGCCGAGCTGGAATGGCGTCGAGCGATCAAAACATGCGAGCTGCTCACTTCCAGGCGGTTAGTCACCCGGTCGAGCAGCGGTTGCAGCAGCTAATCGCAATGCCGAACTTCGAGGCGAAGCAAACTGCGAACGACGTGCGTGTGCAGGAAGAGCTGACGCTGCTCGTCGAGATGTATTCAGGTATTGCGCGCTCTGCTGAATCGACGAGCCATGCACCCATCACAACGTTCTGCCTGCCTGCACTGCCTGTCATCGTCAAGATTTTCCAGATCTTCCAGGGTGACTCGCAAATGGTGAACCTCATCCTCAACTTCTTCTGCCTCATGGTGGAGGCGCAGCTGTGTTACCTCTCTCCTCGCGACGCATTGCTCGTATACACTGCCAGCGACGAACTCATCCGCGCTTACTGCCGGCACAACTTGGGCAAGAAGAGCATGCTGGGAGGTGTTGAAGAGGAGAATTATGCTGACCTGTTGGCGCTTCTTACGCTGCTGTCGCATCTCGTGTCGAAGGACTTTATCGACTTCTCGGAAGACGCAACAACTGAGCAGGAGCAAGCCGAAGCTACCCGTGCTTCAAGCGTCGTGGCCGACGTGGTGTTCTCGGGCCTACGCCAAGTGATTCCACTCATGACCGAGCAGTTGCTGGCCTACCCGAGCCTGAGCAAGCAGTACTTTACGTTGGTGTCGTATATGGTGGAAGTGTACGCGGAGAAGCTTGTCACTTTGCCAAGCGAACTCTTCCAGATGCTGCTCCACTCGCTGTTGGTTGGCATGCGTCACGTGTCGGTGGATGTGGTGCGTAACAGTTTCCAGGCGCTTGGTGAGCTGGCGAGCTACCACTGGAAGGCGCAGCAGGGGCAGAAGCCGGGACTCGAGGCCCACCGGCAGCAGCACCCGGATATGTTCATGGCGTTCCTGCGCGTTATCTTCCGCATGGCGCTCTTTGAAGACTTCAACCCTGTCATCCTGGACGCGTGCGCGGGTACTCTCTACCCGCTCATTCTGATCGAGCAGGCGCGCTACTCCGCGCTGGCCGAGGAAATTAGCCACGAGCAGGCGAGTCTGGACCCGTCCGCCCAGCAGCGGTTGTCTGCCGCGTTTACCGAGCTCATCAGCTTTTTGACGCCAGCGGACATCGCCACGGGCACCGCGACCACACGCAAGATGCGCATGCAGTTCAAGACGAACCTGTACGCCTTTGTAGCTGAAGTGCGAGGCTTCCTTCAGGTCAAGTAAATAATTAGACGATCACCTTTGGAAGCAACTACATAGTAGTACAATATATATGCTTATGCTGCCTGGACATTCATCGCAACGAAGTCGAAGGCATCCATGTTGTGACCAATCTCGAATTCTTTAGGTGTCACGGCCGAATCATCAACCTCCAGCAACTTCGTAGTTAGCGCGTGTTCATCACCAATCGCCCCCCTGAACTTTCGTCGCAGCCGTTGTCTGCGAGCCATTCGAGGAGCTTCAAGGCGTTGCCCCAGCTTCCGACACCGACAGTCATTGCCACCGCTGACGCTAGTTCCAGCATTTGTACTTGGCCGTACCAATCCTTCAGACAGGCTGAATGGTTTGGACGCCGTAGCATTGTTGTGCACGCTGCTATGGTCTTCCGAAAATGAGCACGTAGCAGACTCCCGAAAAGAACATGAGCCAAACCGCTCCCTTTGTCGCTCAAGATCATCATCGAGATCGAGGGGGCTGTTTTCTTCACACATGCTGATGGCCACCGAAGCCTTGCCGTTATCCAAAGGCTGACAAAGACTGATGTTGTCCTCGTCAAAGAAATACTGGAGTCCCGTGTTCTCAAAGCTGTAGTCGTGCTTCTTGTGGTGCAACAGGCCTGCGTCCATGAAGGCATTCCCCAGTCTAACGGCTTCACATGGGCTGTGTACAAACTTCATGTCCTGAAGACGGGCAACGATTAGCTCACCAGTAAAAACGTCCGCGGTGCCTCGGCGTGTCTTGCACACAGAGGAGCTGATAGCGTTGGTAAGTTCCGGAAGCAACTCGTTCGCAAAAACTGCTAGTAGTTCCTCTTGGACTCGTTCCAATGCCTTGACAATGTCGTGAGCACTAGGGCGTAACCGAGCAGTGGGTTGCCAAGCTGCTTTGATAATTTCACATAGACCTGCGTGAAGCTCTTCATTTCCAATGTCCACTTCAAGTTGTGGACGCTTCCCTTCCACCACGGATGCAAATATCTGCAAGTGATTGCTCTTGAGGTCAGGAAATTTGTCGGCGCCAGGGTGCAATACGTCCCACATAGTCATTGCTAACGAGTAAATGTCCGCAGCTTCTCCATACGCTGCAAGCCCTGCCTTGCCGTTGATAATCTCCGGCGCCATGTAGTCCACCGTACCTTTCACAGTCATCTTCGGAAACGAAGTCATCATTGACTGGATCTCTGTTGCCATCGGGGAACTTGCAAATGCAGCGTAGTCCGTCAAATAATCTGGTATGGCTGCGTTAGAACCTGTATTCGGCTTCTGGGGCCGAGCTAGACTACGTGACTCCCCAAAATCCGTGAGCTTGACTGTTCCACGGACGTCTACCAGAAAATTGTCCGGCTTAATGTCTCGATGAAGGAACGGCGGGGAGAAGCTGTGCAAATACGCTACTGCACGAGCAGCGTCCAGCATATAGCACACATTTAACAGCATCTGCTGCCGGTTGTGGAAACGCGACCCGTTGCCAGTAAACCTGACTCTCGCAGTGCAGGTAACTTCAGAAAGCGTTCCTTGACAAAGCTCCGACACCAGACAAATTGTCGGAGGGTAAATACACATTCCGTGAAACGTGACGATGTTCGGATGCTTCAACGCACCGCACAGGGCGGCTTCTTGGGAAAACTCGGTCACTGTTTCATCACTAAACAGCGTCGGTGTGTAAACTTTGACAGCGACAGGAGTGACGGCATCCAATAATCCACTGAAAACGACGGCGCTTGCCCCTGTGCCGATCTTTCTCTGAAGCTGTAGCTGTGCGAAGTCGATGATCAGCTTGCGATGCATTTCGATGAGCACGTGCAGACCTTGCGACGATATTCGTTCATCGATACTATGCCTCTGACGGAAGAGCATCTGCAACTCCACAGCGCGTTGACCCAACCCCCTCCAGAACTCAGTGTCAGCTTTCAGCACTCGCCAAACAACCAAGGGAGACATAACAGCCCACAATACTGTCGCGTACGTTAGCGCAAATCCAACAGTACTCGATCCGATGTGAAAGCAAAATTCACTGCTGAAGTGCAGAGCCGAGTAAGTGAAAATAAAGAGGCAGTACTCTCTCAAAGTGCGCTTAGTAGCTCGAGCCGGAGGTCGCACAAACACGAACGCGAAGAAGATCAGCATTAACGCTCGCACAGCAGCCATTATCGTGAAGGCGAGGTTTGCTCGACTTGGGGCCACGTACGTCATCAACAGTATTTCCACCGGGAGGGTATACAATGCCAAAACCAGTGTGATCACCACGGAGCGTCGGAGTGCTGGAATTGAAACACTCTTCTGCAACAAAAACACCATGACGAGTCCAAACACAAACAAGCGCATGCTGTAGAAGACTTCCAGCAGCGCGTCTGAAAACTTGCCTCGAAACCACTTGAGCGTCACGAACAGCGCCATCACCACGGAGTACACGCCAACAGAGCCTGCAAGTAGCCACAACAGAGGTGCAAACGCCGGTAACAAAACTTTTCTAGCTGCATTGGAGTCCCCTGTAAGCGCGATGTGCCGGTTCCACCGCAGATACATCACGAGAACGAGGCACATGATAAACAGGAACACATATTCGACCAAGATCATGATCTGAACCAGCTGGAACCTGTCAACGAACCATTGCGTTTCCTCCATCTCTTCGATCGTAGCTGCAAGCATTGGTGGCCCTCCTCCAAACTCTCGGGACAGCTCCTCGGCAAACGTGAGCGCCATGCTTGAAACGCGGCAGAATTCAAACTATCTCCGTCACCGCCGGGGCGAGCTCAGGAACGAAAAAATAGAAGACAAATGAGCGAAAAGACATTTTCAGTTTCTGGGTAACAGCTCGCAGTTTCCAAGTGCTGGCGCACGCCAAACGCCACGGAGAAGGAATGTGCTCCACAAAAGACTCTTTCAGCATCCAGCGTCGCGATCTGTCTCTGATTCCGCGAAAAAGTTGGTTCCAACCAGCTCGTCCGGTAGATAAGTCTGATCTTTGAGCTCTTCGGCCGTAAAGTGCGGGTTGTACTTGTACTCCTTCCCATATCCCAGCTCCTTCATCAGCTTCGTGGGAGCGTTTCTCAAGTGCATCGGAACGTCCGGTAACGCGCCACCATCCCACTCCTTGATCGACTGTTTCGCCCGCTTGTAAGCCGCATACACCTCGATGGACTTCGGCGCACGAGCCAACATGGTGGCGACGTGAGCAAGCACGACATCGCACTCCGGCATGCCAACAAAGTGCGCTGCTTGATATGCCGACACGGCCATGGGGAGCAATTCAGGCGCAGCAAGGCCGACATCTTCACTTGCGATTCGAATGAGTCGTCGGGCCACGTACAGCGGGTTCTCGCCACCTTCGAGCATACGCGCGAGCCAGTAAAGCGTAGCATTCTCGTCGCTGCCACGTACGGACTTGTGCAGCGCACTGATGCAGTCGTAGTGCATGTCCGCGTTGCGATCATAGAACAGCGTTTGTCGGTGTGCGAAACAGTGCTGGACGTGCGTAGCGGACACCCGCAGAACACGCTTCTCACTGTCCATGGGAGCAGTTTGAAGTGCCATCTCCAGACAGTTGAGCGCGACTCGGGCGTCGCCTGCACACTGTTTCGCCAGGTACTCGATGGCCGCATCGTCCGCCTCAATGCTGACTTCAGAGCCGGTCTCTCCTTGGCTGGCTGCGTCGCCATTCGTCAGCGTTTCCTCTTCCTGCTTTTGCGTGAGTGACCGCACGCCGCCTGCGGCATGATCCCGCAGAGCGCGGTGTAGGATCTTCTCGATAGACTCGGGCGTGTGTTTCTTGAGCGTGTACACACGACAGCGACTAAGTAGTGCGTTGTTCACCTCAAATGACGGATTCTCCGTCGTGGCTCCGATCAGCGTAATGGTGCCGTCTTCCACAGGCGGCAAAAAGAAATCCTACCATCACAAAAAGATAAAAAATAATAATTAGCACCAGCACCTCACAATTATCCAAGCACGGACCCATCACGCACCTGCTGACTCTTGTTGAAGCGATGAATCTCATCGACGAAGACGATGGTTCGGCGACGAAACATCTTGCGCTCCCCTCGGGCTCTGTCCACCGCGTCCTTCATGTCCCCCGCTTTGGACGTCGCCCCCGACAGGCTGATGAACTTGCAGCCCGTCTTCTTGGATATCACGTGGGCCAGCGTCGTCTTACCGCATCCTGGAGGTCTACAGAGCACCAGAGTTCACACATAAAACATCAGTACTTTACTACCAACCACCCCACATTGCACTGAATCATTCTTACCCCCAAAGAATCATATTAGGCACTCGGTCAGCTTGGATCAGCGTGGCCAGCAGCTTCCCAGGTCCCAAAAGCTCCTCCTGACCCACGAGATCATCCATATCTTTGGGTCTCATCCGCTCTGCCAATGGCACACCGGAAACGTCCTCTGGTGCCGAGCGTTTGCGCTTCTTTTGAGCAGCAGGCGACGGCGACCCATTATTCTGACTCGGGGGTAAACTTGACGGGCTCCGATTGGGCGTTCTAAAGCTCACTGGCGACTTGGACTTGGCCGACGGGGACGGCGAGCGGAACAGCGGTGTCTTGGGCTGCTCCTGCTTGGCCAGACAGGCCTCTACGTGCAGCATGAGGTTCTCCTGGCGCACATGGCGCGAGCAGATCGGGCACTCGGTCGCTGCCATTGTCGGGATCCGCCAAAAATAGCAAAATGACACTCAAACCAGCCAATGGCAGATTTTTATACATAGATTTAACCAATCACGTGCATTCGCGGGAAAATGGGTCCACATTTCCCGCCACACAACTTCAAACCGACCTAATTCTTGTGCAGGAGGACACTGGCGGGTCCTGCGTCGTCGAACTCGTCCAACAGATGGCGGTCCTGCGTTGAAGTGAGGTCCTCCTCCTGCAGCAGATTGGCCGTCAGAATATTGTCCTCCGGGATGGCGCGGTACTTGCGCCGGAACCGGTGGCGGGTCGGCTTGCGGGTGTTGGGGCGCTCCCCGAGCTTCCGGCACGCGCACTCCTCGGCCTCGGTGGTGCCGTTGCTGACGGCCTCCACGAAGGCCGTGTCGCTGTCATTCTGGGGCGAGTCGGTGGCAGTGTTGGCGTCCCATTCGGAGCGCTTGGAGTCGGTGATCGAAGTTGAAGTTGAAGTGGTCGCCAATGGGGGAGTCGGGTCCGACGGCTGGTGCTGTCGCTGCAAGCTCTTGAACCAGCCCGGGGATTGCACCAACTGCGAAGGTAGGGGAGCCCCCAGTGTAGATCCTGGACGTCGAGTGGCGGCGGCGTTGTTGCTGCCGACTCCGCTTCTACTTGCGGGTCCGTCGAGCACCACGAACGGCTGGCAGAAGTTGATGTTGTCTTCGTCGAAGTAGTACAGGTCCTCGCAGCTCTTGAACGGCTGCGAGTGTTTGAGGTGGTGCAGGAAGCCGGCATTCATGAACATGTTGCCCAGTCGAATACCTTCCCCGACGGATGCCACAGCCTCAATGTCCTGCATCTTCCGTGTCGCGAACTCACCGGAGAAACTCTTGGACAAGTTGCCAGCCCCGCCACTCTTCATCATAGTCGCGTCGTTCTCAATCTCCTCGCACAGCTCAAAAGCAAACACCGAGCAAACTTCCTCCTGGATGCGCTCGAGAGCCAAGACAATCTTCTGAGCCGAAGGACGCATGCGAGCGTCTACGTGCCACGAGGTTGTGATGAGCTCAGCCAGACCAGCATGCAGCTGGGTGTCCAGCTCCGGTCTTGTGCCGGCAATGACGGACTCGAGGACGCGCAGGTGGTTGTTGTTCGTACCCGGGTACTTCTCGGCTCCAGGGTTAAGGATGTCCCACATCGTGATGGCCAGCGAGTACACGTCGGCAGATTCTCCGTAGGAGGCGACTCCGGCACGTCCATTGATGATCTCCGGCGCCATGTAGTCGACCGTGCCTTTCACCGTCATTTCAGGCACTGTCTTTCGTGCAGCTGATGGGAATTGCACAGGTGCAGTCCTTGATCCACCACTTGGAGTGTGAGGGGGTGTAGGAGGGGTGATTCTCGCGCCTTGTGCGCTGCTGGTTGTGGAGTCGGGATACTCCTGATAGTGTTCAGCATCAATAGTCGAGCTGCTCGAAGTCGCGGCAGTGGCACCGACGGCAGGTACAGAAGAAGGCACCATTCCAGCATTCTTAGCGTCATTGAGACTGCTCACCTCCCACGTGATGTTGGCTTTCGGCAGACTGCGGGACTCGCCGAAGTCCGTGAGCTTGACATTCCCTTCGACATCCACCAGAAAATTGCTCGGCTTAATGTCGCGGTGGACGAAGGCCGGAGAGAAGCTGTGCAGGTAAGCCACAGCGCGCGCAGCATCGATCATGTAGCCCAAGTTGAACAGGAATTGCTGACGCCGAGCCTGCTGCTGTCGTCGAGCCAACGCCAATACAACCACATCCAGACTCCCCACGCACAGCTCGGACACCAAGCAGATTGTCGGTGGTGACACGCACATGCCGAAGAACTTGACGATGTTCGGGTGATTCAACGCGCCACAGAGCGCAGCTTCGTGCGAAAACTCGGCGACCGTGTCTTCCGTCACGCTTGACGGTGTGTACACTTTAATCGCGACCGGGGTCTTGGAGTGCAGCAGTCCGTTGTACACCACGGCAGTCGAGCCCACTCCGATGCGCTGCTTGATGGCAAGCACCGAGAAGTCGATGATGTACTTGCGGTGCATCTCGATCAGCACGTGAAGACCCTGCGACGACACGCGTTCGTGAATATTTCCCTTACGGAAGAGTGCTTGGAGACCAACTGCACGCTGTCCGAGTCCGCGCCAATGCTCCGTGTCAGCTTTCAGCAGTCTCCACACGAAGAACGGACACAGCGAGCCCCACAACACGTGTGCGTAGATGAGCGCGAACCCCAGGTGGACGTTCTTCTGGTTGAACGCCGTGTGGTAGGCGAACTCGAGGGTCTGGTACACCATGGCGAAGGCGCAAAATTCACGCAGCGTCCGCTTGCTGGCTCGGGCCGGTGGTCGCACGAAGACGTAGATGTACAGCACGAAGAGCAGCAGGCGGGCGATGGCCACGATCCAGTAGTTCCCACTCGAGTCTTCGTCGTCGCCGTTGACCGTCGTGTACCACACAAACGGAAGCGCGTAGCAGGCCAGGAACCCCGTGATGGCAATGGAACGCACCAACGCCGGCAGCGACACGCTCTTTTGAAGCATGAAGATCAGCGCCAGCTCCAGCACAAAGTGACGCCCAGCGCTCAATGCCTCCGTGGCGACAGACCCGGAGTTTGCAGCGTAACTCTTGGCGATCAGCGCGATCATAAAGTACAGCGAGTACAACCCCGTCGCCGCGCACAAGATCCACAGCAGAGGCTCGAACGCCGGTAGCAGCGTCTTGCGTGAAGCTTCCGAGTCTCCTTTCAGCGCTACGTGGCGGTTGTGCCGCATGTAGATGATCAGTGCCCCCGACAGCGCGCACATGGAGCCGTAGCTCACGAGAAGCACCACCATCAGCACCACGAGTTGTCCTTGCGCGTAGTCCGATCCGCCAGAGTCAGTCTGGCTGGGGAGCGGCGTCGAGCTACTCAACACGAAAACCGCTTGCGTCGTGGTCCCATGGGCCATACTTTCGAGAACGCGAGGGATCGCCTCGCGCAGGTTTGGCAGCGCTTGATCTATGAGCTCTTTCATCATGGGCTTGGATACGAGTGCTTTGTGTGTTCCTCTTGTTTCGGTTCTAGGGTGGTGTGCTCGTCAGCGGGCAAAACTGATTATGAAGACTCCAGCGAGGTTACATCATTTGCAGGATGAAGTCAGGAAAGAGTTAAGGCGGAGATCTTCAAAACCGGGGGGTTGATTGACTAAAGAAACTCGAGACGGTTGCATCTACACGTGTGCTAATGCGGAAACAAAGAAACAGTGATGGAAAAAATATTTTTCCTTAGTTTTCTCCATAATGAGCAAAAGTGTTCGTGAAAAAGACCCCTTCACGGACGTTTTAGGGATCTGGACTGTAGCCGGTTCTAGCCATGTTAAACAATCTGCGTAATATTCGTGAGCTTTGGGCAATGCCCTGTTCGACGGTGCTGTGAGCGTTCTATCGAGCCACAAGCTGGGATTGTACCCCGCCCTCCGAGAAAGCGGAAGCTAAAGCCGGTCGAAGTAACCCGCACTGCCACCAGCCACTCCTCCTGCTGCCACCGTTTGTCATACGTCTGGAATTACAGCACATGAAGGCGGCCTCACTTCAACTTGTGCTCTTTTCAGGCCATGGTGGCTGCAGTACCGGGTACAGTGCTCAACGCGCTGTAGTTGTTCACCTGAAGCATATCACTGTCCAGACTGGGGTCTTCGCCCACCAGTAGAGCAGTCGTGAGAGTGTTAATCTCCACGGTAGGCTCAGGCGCAGCTTGGTACTGTCGCCGTCGGTGGAATTTTGACGACTTGCTGCCGACCAGGCGTTGGCCAAGTTGTCGACACTGGCACGGTGCGTCGCTCCGTGTTCGGACGAAGCTAAACGATGTGCGGGGTCCGCGAGCTAGCATGGGGATACTTGACTCGTGCATGCTCGTTGAGCTGCTCCGATGGAGTCGACTCTCTAGGTGACTTGGCAAGCTGAGCTGCGCTTCGTCTAGATCGAAGAAGTAGAGCGCCGTCGACGTGTTCTCGAAACTCTTGGAGTGGGTGACGTGGTGAAGCACACTCGAGTCCATGAGCGCGTTGCCCATGCGAATCCCCTCCGCCGGGCTCCTAACAAACCGACGGTCGATCATTCGATCCACGATGAAAGCCCCCGGGAAAGTGTGTGCGTGATAAACGTCAGCTGACCGGACACTTGATCCGCTCGCCTTGGGGGATGGAGGGTATTCGCACAAGTCGCCCATCAAGTCGAGCACTAAGCGCGCGCTCAGCTCGTCCTGGACGTCCTCCAGCGCGCTGACAAGCTGCTTCGCAGTAGGCCGAAGTCCGGGATCTTGCTGCCATGCACGCTCAATGATGCCGCGTAGTCTCGGAGGTGTACTGTTGTCCAGTCTGGGTCTTACACCACGCAACACCAACTCGAGCACCTGCGCGTGGTCGTCACTAGCTTGTGGGAACTTGTCGTCCGTAGGGTGTAGAATATCCCACATCGTAACCGCGAGTGAATACACGTCCGCAGCTTCGCCGTAGAACACCAGCTCCCCCTTGCCATCAATAATCTCAGGCGCAATATACTCTGGTGACTTCTTCTCCATGCAAGCGCCCCACGGTGAGTCAACGTACGAAAGCGTCGTGCCCAGCGGAGAATGGAGTGCAGTCTTCATCACAAACTGCTTATCTTCCAGAACGGGCACCTTGGGTTTCGGTGCCAGCGTTCTACCTTCCAGCTTGGCCACGCTCCGCGATTCACCAAAGTCTGACAGCTGCACGTTGCACTCGGAATCCACGAGGAAGTTTGACGGCTTGATGTCACGATGAACAAATGGAGGCGAGAAGCTGTGGAGATAAGCCACGGCACGAGCAGCGTCGAGCATGTAGCCCACGCTAATGAGGAGCTGTTGTCGAGCAGACCGAGGGTTTTGTCGCCGAGCCTGATCCTGAAGAGCGTCGGCCAGACTACCTTGGCACAGTTGAAACACTAGGCAGATCGTCGGTGGCGCGACGCACATTCCGTGGAATTTGACGATGTTTGGGTGGTTCAAGACGCTGCACATGGCTGCTTCGTGTGAGAATGCAGCCACGACATCCTCCGAGCAGCTTGTAGGCGCGTACGCCTTGACGGCCACGTGAGTTTTGGTCTTGAGGGTTCCTTGGAAAACGGTTGACGTGGACCCGACTCCGAGCTGCCGGACGAGCTCCAAATACGCGAAGTCGATCACACACTTCCGGTTCATTTCAATGAGAACGTGAAGACCTTCGGATGACACGCGCTCGCTCAAGCCATTCTCGCGCTGGAACAGATCTTTTAAAGCACAAGCTCGCTGTCCGATGCCCCTCCAGTACTCCGTGTCAGCCTTGAGCACGCGCCAAACTATCAGTGGGCAAAACGCGATCCAAGTTAGCATCACGTAGACTACGGTTTGGCTTGGCGTGCCAGCAGTCTTTGGGTTCATTACGAGAACCACGAGCAGCACAGTTAGCATGAAGAACACGATGGCGGAGAAGCACAACTCGCGGATGATGCGCTTCGTAGCTCGGCTCGGAGGGTTAATGAACGCGTAGACGAAAGGTAGCATCAGCAGCCCGCGTACTAAGTGAAGTCCAATGGTCAAGCGCTTCTGCTGCTCAAGCTTCCCCAACTTTGTCATCGCCCAGACGTACGGAACCGTGTAGTACGAAAGCACCATCGATATCGCCACCGATCGCTTGACAGCGGGGAACGAGAGACTTTTCTGGAACATCAACACCAGCACGATCACGAACATGAACTGGTTCCCGGAGTAGAAAGACTCGAGTATGATGGGAGACACGAACTCGTCGAAGTAGCCCGTTGCCAGAGTTACCAGCAGGAAGACGATGTACCCGCCATTGATAAGGCTCATCACAAAGAGTACAGGTTCGTACGCTGGTAAGATGACCTTCCTAGCAGCCGTTGCGTCGCCTTTCAGTGCTCCTGCTCGGTTCACTCGAAGATGCCAAATCAACCCCACGCAGAGCAGCCAAATGGTAACGAAGCCCGCGAGGATGAACACCAAAGTCACACGCATGCGTTGGGCCCCTTTCTCGAGGGATTCGTGACCACCGGATGCAGACGCTGCCGACTCAACCAGAAGACGCCCGGCAGCGTTCATCCTGCAAGTAAAATTGACGAGGGTCCGTTGGGTGTGAGCGTGGTGTGGCGACTTGGGGAATGCAAACAGGCCGACGGGGTGCGCGGTGCGAGATTGCAAGCGTTTCGCCCAGTGCCAGCGGCTCCAACGACATCGATGAGTGTTTTCGTACAACATGGAGCCGCAGCCCCAACAGCAATTACTGGAGTTGGTTTGGGTGGGCCGCAACTCGTTGCTGCTGGCTGGCTTTCTCGAAACCGCTTTGAGTGCATTCGCCACTAGAGGACAGGCGAATAGGACTGGAAGGAGTCAGCAAGTATGAAGCGAACGCGGGCATATCTTCCTCCGCTGGCCGGAACAAAGATTAGGAGAGTCTTGTTACCACTTCACGGGGCCGTCCTGACCTGTCAACGTCGAGCTCCGAAAACCTCTTCACCGAGGGTCAAACACAACGCTCAGTGAAGCGTTGATACATATGTGAAACAAGCTTCAACCACACCTACAGCATGCTCAGCGTGGTCGAGAAGAGTTCGGTCGGCTGAACGTTTGAACTCGTCAGAGATGACCCGTCCTCGGAAGAAAATGTACACACCGTCACTGCCATCGGGAGCTCAGGAACCTCACGGGAGTGCGGAAGTCTGCGAAGTTATCGGTCACCAGCTCCAGTCAGTGGTGCTGGCCTTCAGGAGCAGCAAAACGTGGTGAATCGCTCACCTATCACGTATTTCAAGGATAGTAAGGGTTCCAAGTATAGCTGCTATTCCCGAATGCCACCAAAACCTTCGCGACAGCTGTCAAGGTATCGGATAGAGGAATCCGATATCCGGCCAGCAAGTCGTTGCCAACGACTTGTTGCCGGCATTCCATCTCAAGCCCACTGGAGTCTTCGTCGCCAGGTTTCCATCGAACTTTGATAACGTGGTCTTCGCTATTACCAAGGTTTTGGCGAAAAAAGCGACCATACTCAAGATCAACTCAAGATCCCTCATTCAGTCAAAACAAATTTCGTAAAGCAAACGAAATTATTGGCTGCTTCTGCGGGTGAGGAAAAAGAAGAAAAAGAAAGAAGAAAGAAAAAAAATAAGAGGAGGAGGAGGAGGAGGAGACATCTAAAGCGAAAGGCAAACGAAAGCTCTCAGCTGCTTTTGCGGACGAGGAAGAAGAAGAGGAGGAGGAAGAGATGGCTCCTAAAGCGAAGGGCAAGCGAAAGCGCTTAGCTGCTCTTACGGACGAGGAAGATGAAGCGGAGGAGGAACATGGTGAGGTCGCAGCGGTGTTGGAGGAGGGCGACGATGAGAGTGAGGAGACGGAGGAGAAAAAAAAAGAGGATGAGGGGGGCACAGGTCCTGCAGTGGTCGCCCCTAGAACCATCGCCAAAGTGAACGGCAGATGCAAGATGCCGAGTGATCTACCGCTTGCGCTTCAGTACCAGGGCGGTGAGTTCTTTTTCGTGCGCGAGTGCTACGAAGCGTACTACACGACCGTGGAAACGCTGGTGTTGGAGGGGAAAAGATGTGTAACAGTGACGGGAACTCCAGGTAATTCAGCTTCTTGTCAGGATCTTTACACTTTCCATGACTTGAACCATCGACTTACTGCTTCTTGCTGCAGGTATCGGCAAGTCCGTCTTCTACGCCTACTTCTTCCTTCGTTTCCGCATGGAGCATCCAGAATGGACCATTGTCGCCTCAACCTATACAAAATCTGGAGGCGTCGAGAACGTGGCTGTTTTTGAGGCTGGCAACGAGAAACGTACAATGAAGATTACGGACGCAGCCCCAGAAGTTGTGACCAAGATTGCGTTGCGGTTGAGGGGCGTGGATCAGCTAGATTGGGACGCGCTGAAGGCTTATAACCGGGAGAAGAAGGTGTTGTGGTTGTGTGATGGTCCGCCGCAGGTACGACGTCCGCAGTCCGTGGTTTTTACGAGCCCGATCGAGAGATGGATGAAAATAGTGAGAGATGATCTCTGTGACTACTACATGCCTCCGTGGACACTTCGAGAGCTCCAGCTAGCTGCTTCAGTGCTGAACTACGCCATTAGTGACGATGAAATGCAGGAGCGGTTCTGGAAATTTGGTGGTGTGGCGCGGAATTGCCTCAAGCTTAAACCCGCAGACCTTCGCAAGGTTTTAATCCAGTTAACGGAACCGATCAAAAAGATCAGTGATCGTGGTCGGCTCGAGAACCTGCTTGAGGGAAACGAGAACGAGGACACTCGCCATCGTTTCCTGCATTACGAGCCGATTGGTGACGGGGGTGAAAAAGAGGAGAAGCTTGTGTCAGACATGGTTTGTGAAAAACTTTCAGAGCGACTGTTGCAAGTAATCAAGCGCAGTATGAATGCAGTGAAAGGCTTGCTTGAAGGAATACCAGCAGCTGCCTCACTCCGTGGAGGGATTTTTGAAGCCAATGCGCACGTAATGCTGCAACTCGGGCTTGATCTGGATGCGCGACTGCTCCCATGTCGAGACACACGAGGTCAGAAGACCGATTTCACTATCACCGTGAAGGGCAGCGATGAGACCGATGTCTTCGAGACCGACGCCTTGTCTCCTATGCTTTTAAGCATCGGACCATATCACAAGCCGAAGTCAAAGACATTCGAGTCAATCGACGGATTCTATTTTCCAAAGACGGCTTTGAAATCCGGTAAAAGCTTGGCACCATCAATGAATACGGACGACAGGCGTATACTCCTGTTCCAGATGACCGTTTCAATGACGCACCCTGTACGAGCTTCTGGGGTAATTTACGTGCTTAGGAAGCTTGGCCTCCTGGAACATGTCGTGAAGAACCCCAAGCGAGCTGCACTTATCTTTCTGCTGCCTCTTGTTGAAGCGAGGGCTTTCACACGACAGGACATTACCACGACTGACGTGTCTCCAACCTTATACAAGACATTGAGGGAATTGGGCCACAAACCGTGAAAACACTAACGGGGGTGTACAAGGTCAAAACGGTTGCGGAGTTGAAAAAGATGGTGGGCCCCTTCAAACAAAACAAAATCAAGATGAAAGACCCGAGTCATAAGGCTGATTGGACGCGCGCCGTGAGAAGCTGGGAGAAGCACGTGCTGTCCTTGAGCGACCGTAAGTACGTTGAGATGGTGAAAAATATCCCGCAATATGTGGCGAGCTCGGGTTAGCAGTCCAGCAGACTTCACATGGTAGTTTTTGTAGTTGTCGTGCAGCACGACTTGTGCTTCATTTTTCTTATTGAACCTGTCATCGAAGGAGCAGAGAGCGAATTTACGTATGATGACGATGATATTACGTTTGGCGCGACGACCAGCTAACATGTCGGCGATTGCTTAAGTAGCTATTCGTAGAAGCTCGTAATGCAGCAACTAGCCACTGGCACTTTCCAGATGCCAGACGAGCTGGTGCTGAAGTAGCTGATGTGACGTCATTCTTTCGTATGTGTTCTCTATTGTTTTAGCAGGGTCCAATCGATTTACAATGTAGCTAGTCACTCTTCGTCGCCAACTCGGCGCTTCTTGCTCTTCTTGCTCTTCTTCGACTTTTTATCCTTGTCGGCAGCTCCACTCCGCAGCACATCCATGATCATAGCCACGTCGGCGCTTTTCGCAACCTCCTCCTTACGCTGCTCTGCCTCCTCCTCAGTGAGCTGAGCAGCCTTGCGCTTCTTGGACTTCTTTTCCTTCTTGTGCTTCTTGTGCTTCTTGGTGCCCTCTTCAGTCGCTTCGTCACCCTCCACGACATCCTTGAACAGGTCGGCGATCTTCTGCTGCTTCGTGTACAGGGCCTCCCACTTCTCGCGGCTCTGCTTGTACTCGAACAGGTGGCACGTGTTCATCACAAGCTGCGAAAAGTGACTGCCGCTGAGCTGGTTCTCAACTGCAAGCAGTTCGTGCACAACCGCCTCCTTCTTGTCCAGAGGCAGATCCTCGTAGCACTTCATGACCGAGAAAGCTCCAAGACGATCCATCGCCAACGTGCCGAACTTGCCCACAAACCGCTCGTACAGCTCTTGCCGCACCCAGGCGGTGCTCGGTTCCTTGGACTCCCAAATGGGTTCCACAATGCAGCGACTGCCGGTGGAATCCTTCGCCAGAGCCATGAGCTGCGCCGAGTTGAACGAGAGAATGCCCTTGTACAAAGGCGTCAAATACTCGCCAGCCTCGAACTGCTGCATCTGCTCGATGATCTTGGCCCCCATGACGTTCAACTGCACCTTAGCAGAGGTCGCAGAGGTCGACAGCTGCACGTTGAGCAATGACGCCACAAAGTTCTTGCGGACAGCCTCGGGCTTCTTGCTCTCTTGCTTCGCCACGGCATTCACGAGGGCTTCAAGGACCCCCTGCTGGTGCAGCTTGAACTTGACGCACATCTCCACCACGCGCCAAATAACGCCGGGTCTGCCCATGGTCAAAAGCGTCCACAGCGACGCCTCCAGCTCCTCCAGAACCTCCAGAGCCAGCGCCTCCGTACGCACAAGCTTGATCGCGTGCTGAACGACGTAGTTGGCAATGTTGTGCTCTACCAGCTGCAGCATTTTGCCGCGCACGCAGCGCTCGAACACCTTGGTGAAGAACTTGTCACTGGCGCTCTCGAACAGTCCCTCCAGCAAGTGGCTGGTCACCGCGTCGGCCGCCAAGTCGAAGAACCCGCTCTCGCACGCGGCTTCATCCTCCCACTGGAGGATCTTCTCCGCCAGTTTCCGTCGGCTCTTAGATGGCGCCAACTTCAACGCCGAGGCGATCAGCGGGCCCGAGTTCTGGTCGTACAGCAGGTTCTGCAGCTCGTGCGTCGGGCTCTCGATCAGCACCGACAGCAGCTCCTTGAACAGCTTCTCGAAGGTGTCCGGCACGTCGTAGCTCACTTCGCTGCCGTCCTTACCGGGCCGCGCCTCCGTGAACGTCACCATGCGGTGCTTGGCCTTCTTGCCGCGCTTCTCGGGCACCAGGGGCTTGCCCGCCAGCACCGCCAGCACCGAGCGCAGCACGTGGCTGGCGCTCACGTCGTTCATGAGCGTGATCCACTCGCCCTCCACCTCCTTGACCATGTTAATAATAACGTCACTCATGGGCGGAATGTCCTTCATGCGGTCCTCGTCGTCATCTTCCTCGTCCTGCTTGTCCTTGTCCTCCTCTCCGTCCACCTCCTTGGCCACCACGACACTGGCGAGCGACAGCAAGTGCTGCAGCACGTGCGACGAGTAGCGGTTGGTCCACAGGTGGCTCACGTAGCCCGCCATCTTGTGCAGCAGGAAGCGCAGCTGCGCGTCGCTCATCTTGGGCAGGAACACCTCGAGCAGCTCGCCCGCGTGGCGGTCGGACGCGGCGCTGGCTGCGCGCGGCGCCAGCTCCTCCAGCACGTTCCACAGCATCATCTGCGCGTCCTCGGGCGTGGAGTCCTCGCCAGGCTGCGTCAGCATCTCCGTCACCTCCTTAAGGTAGGACAGCGTGTCGGGCTCCAGGCGGCGCGGGCGCAGGCGTCTGCATTGCAATAAGGAGGCAAACGTGGTTAGCAGGTATTAGAGGGCGAAGAGGAGGGCAGTAGGTGGGTGGATGGGTGCGTACTCGGGGCGCTGCTGGCGCGCGTCATGCTCCTCGTGCTCGGCCATGGTCAAGGGGTCGTCGAGTATACGACCGTTGATACACAAGTGAAGTGCTGTTGGTCTGCTTGTCAGCCAGCCAAAAAACATTAGAGAAAGGTGGTGTGGGCCACATTATGTGACGAGGTTGCGAGTCGTACTTAGATGAGGGCTACTTCAACGTGATGGCAACAACTCGCGCGCTCAGCGCCTCCTCCAGGATAGCTAGATATGTGCCAAGGAGGTAGGCTCTTCCAGACTACCCTCCGATTTGTATAAGAGAGAGCAAAACTACCAGGTGAAGGTCATCTCAGGCCAAATTCATAAGTCTGTAGGACACCTCGGCCTGCTAGAGATTGGCAACGTCGCGCTGGCTGTCGCCATGATGGCGCCACATAATGCGCGATATGTACACGTTCCACCGTTTTGACGCACTGAGGTTCATTCGCGCGCTGCGCGTGTTTCTCTCAGCTCACTTCAGCACGTCGATCGCTTGTCGATGACAAGTTCTGCATGAAGAATAACAGGTTGCTGTGTACGTATGCGTCCTACTTGCTGTATGACAGTTTTACACGCCGTACGTTTGGTACGAGAGTTCATGCAATAGAGCCTGAAGATGCGCTCTATAGCACGAAGAGTGCTGGCACAAACATCTTTGAACATTAGATTCGTTCTACTGCGTAACTTTCTCCTATCATCGTGCAACACCGCTCTCTCCTGTCTAACTAGGCTAACGTTGAATGACACACGTAATGGTAGGAGTATGAAATACTTGTTGCGATTGATCAGGGTTAAAAAGCTCTAGATTTCAATCTACACATAGGCTTCAGAGTTGGATTATCTTGTAAACATCATTTCAATCGCGATGCAAGAAGCTGTTCGGATCCGCAATAAGGTCAGTGCAAGGATGACTATGTTTCTCTACACCTTGAGAGCCACAACAGCCCTTCAGAGAGATTCCCATTATGTCAAGTTCATCACTCCTTGTCGCTTGGTCCGGCTCGCCACAATACACAAATACAAAATCTACTGGTGTTGAGAATCAGATAGGAGCGAAAGACTTTGATGGAATGTTATCAACAGAAGCCTTGGGGGCTGTTCAGTTGAACTATGCATATTTGAATCATCACCTCCTCAACAACATTCATACACACACACATATACACACACGTACCACGAAGATCGCGATCGGCAAGCTCAGTTGGAAGGCAGCAGAAAGTGATTTTGTTTTCAGCAGCAACACGATGATCGCCTCAAACAAACACAGATATCCTTTCTTTCATCCTCGCTCACACGCAGATAGATATAAACACGCACAGCCATACAAATTGAAGCACGGACTCAGGCAGTATGAATACAACAGCCGTCCACACGAGCTAAAGCATCTCGGAAGGTGTCCTAAGTTTGAGTGTCATCCTCATCCGCGCGCACGACTCGCGCAATATACAGACATACAGATATACAGACATACAACTGGCAGTGGATCGATCAAACTAGCACCAACGTCCTGGCAAAAGAACGTCGGGTCTTTCGGTTGTACTCAGCGTCGGTCGTATGGGGAAAGAAGTTTGTCCTATCATCTCGATCCGGGGGGGAAACAACGTCCTGTATCCATCGGTCTGGAGAAGCTGTGCTCGGCGGCTCTGGAAAATTCGCAATGAGCAGTTGAGAGCGGCCGGCGCGACCGCCGAGCCAACAGAAGCACCACCAGTCGTTGGCCAGCTGTCGACTAAGTACGAGTGTAAAGCACGGTACGCTTCGTACTTATTATTCTGTCCGAAGCAGTAAAAAGGCAACGCATAGCTGGGGCGGTCTGTGACGTGTGACGGAATGGCTACCTTGGCGCCAATGACTTATTAATAAATACACACAAGATTTCGAACTCAACGCAGGACCGTATAGCAGTAAAATACTAAGTACGATGGCTACCTTGCAAACATGATAATCACAGGCGAGAACGCAAATGAAAGGATATATTGGAGAATTTGATATTGTCAGCGATTGTACCTTGCTTGAATGGCCACCTCCCATCGTCTGTTATGAAAGGCAGCGCTTCCCAGCAACTTGCTGGGAGCAAGTAGCTATGGAAACTCGGTGTGAATTCCAGATTGGTGTCGGATACAACAATGGCATTTGGAGTGAATACGTTCTGACCAAATATTTCATTTTGATTGGATAGCAGGCTCAGCAACAGACTGTGGAATCCTGCTGCGCGCGTCGTCCGACGCGCCGGACGACGTGGCCTACCGCCTCTACGCCTCGCGCGTGCTACGCGGCATGGAGAACCAGCTGAGCTTCCACGTGATGCGGCCGCTGGACTCGAGCGACGACAAGCAGGTGCCGATTGGACCAGAGTAGACGCCGCGGCGGAAGCGCAAGTGAAGACGACGCTGCTCGACAGCCCCCTGAACTGCGAGTCGCCGCAGCCAACGAAACGGGCAGGATGCTCAAGCGCCACCATGCACAAGTAGCATTCAGTATCTGACGAAGTCAGTGCACCCGAGGAAGACAGCAAGAAAAGAAGATGTCAGGAAAAAGTGTATATCCGCCGCCGAAGTGGTGGTAGCAGTAGGCGTAGTAGTAGTTGCAGCTGAGCTGTCCGTAGTGGTCGCCGATATGGCAGTGTTGAAGACGTAATATGTTGAATTGTCGAATTACTCGCGAGTTTCAAGCTTGTCTTAGCACCAGTTTTCTCTCCTCCCACCTCGCACTCATCGCGTTTGTACGGTGCCATTAAATCTCTTCGGGATACGGAACAAGGATTGCAAACTGCCGAATTGTCGTGGGCGACTTCTTGGTGAATGATTTGTAGTACAGCGGTGGAAGCAAAAAGAAGAGTTGATTGCCATCCGGACCCAGTTTCGCCAAATCATCTGCCGCGCCGGCCTTGATATCATGAGTCTTTCCCACAGTGACTTGGAATCCACCGAACTGCGGCATCCATGCATCAATAGCGACATAATTCGATGTCCGAGGCACGTAAAGCTGATTTGCAACTTGACCAACTTCCACCCGCTCCACAATTTGAGAAGGCTTCGATGACGATGGGATTGTAATTTCTGTTTCATCAATATCTCGGCGGCCTCTTTTGCGTTGACGCTGCATCTCGGCGCCAGTCAACAGTTCTCGATACTCGAAATTCCCACCCTCATGCAATAGTCGCAGACAGTGAGGCTCGAAGATGTATCCGCACAGCGATTGAGCCAGCGGGTTCCCGTTGCATGCGCTGAGAAAACTTTCCATGTTCGCGCGATTCGATATCAGCTTCGTCCGAGCAATCACTCGCATCGCCAATTCGGACGCATACGCAACTTGGTACTCTGTATATGGCTCTTGGCTGCAGATGTGAATCAGAGTCTGAGCCATCTGGGTCCTCGAATTAATCTCCCGAGTTGATGGACACCAACGTCTTGCACTCATCAAGAGAGCAACTATTGCATGCGGTCTCCAGCAACACTTGCGGTTCAGTTCCAATGTCTTGCAACACAAGACGAGGCACACCACCCAAGCAGTCTGAGCGATTTCGCCACACAGATGCTGCATGTGGATAGAGGGGAGCAGTTATCGCGAGTTCTTCCTTGGTCCACAGTGGCATGTAGAATACATCTGGAGTTGGAACGAGCTTCATGAATTCCCCAATGCAGTCTCGTCGCGGTGTACTTGCGAGAAGTACTGAGCAGTCCTCTATCGGTAATTCCGTCATAGCGGTTGGATCGACCGAGTCCACGAGGCACCACAGGTCAGGCGACCAAAATCGTTGGTCAAACTTATTTGGCAGTAACTCGCACTGGAACATCGTCGACCCATCAAAGTAAATCGGTCCCTTCTTGGAGAAAAACAGCACGCGTTTCTTCTCCTTGATCAACCTCCACATCATGTAGTAGACGAACACCGACTTGCCTATCCCAGGCGTGCCCGTGACGACAGCATACTTGACCATGGTCCGATCTGGATTCATCAGTGCTTGGTCGGCGATCACTCTGTACGACGAGCGAATGTAGAGCTTCTGACGTTTTGTTAACGGCAGCAACGACGAAAATTCGAGCCAATCGCCTACTTGCTCAACCGTGGGGAATTGTGCAAAGAACGGGTCGCTGCAGGGATCAAAGACACCATCTTGGGAGACAATTGAAGCCGAGATCGCTTGCTTCGGGACCACCACCAGCACGTGAATCGTTCCGTCGGAGATTGTGGGAAACGTCTCGCAGATCTTGTCCGTCGGATCGTCCAATTCCTCCTTCATGTAGCGACTCTCAACTTCATCGGGGATCTCCCCCTTCCGCATCCGGAGCAGATCCTTCGACTTCAGCCACGCGCCGTCCTCCCTCTTCGCCAGGAAGAGCTGCAGGTCACCTGCATCGATGTCCTTCAACTTGTTTGGCTTCTCCGCCTTGATCGCCTTCTTCAACGCGGACACCGAAGCATCTTCGTCAATCGTCACCTCGAACGCGCTTCCCGCCGCACCAACGATCGCACAGAAGAGCTTTACCATCTTCCCTCGAGGCGGCGGATTCTGGAATGAAGAAGAAAGGGAGAGAACTCACGATCGTACCTAAGCAGAAATGACAATGTGATGAGGGCGTGTCACTATGGCGAGGGTATCCATTGTAAGAAAGCCTGGGCATGATTCTTTCGAATGAAAACCCTTGTTGTTGTTGCTGCGTGCGGTGCTCGGAGGTGTGGAGGACTCCTCCTTCGCACCTGGTGCTACTTAGCGGTGGTGTCGACGTTTTCAGCAGCTGGTGGTCTGCTCGTTGGTAAATTACGGTCAGAAAAAACCGACTACTTACGTTACCTAGAACCATTTTGTCCGGAGCTATCCATTCTTGCCTGGAATCGATTCCGTAAAAATCTGTTGTTTATACTTGTAACTCAATTGATTTGAATGTCGTTTATCCCAAGCTTCTGCAGCTCTGGTAGGGATAATCGCGACCGCACGAGCTCGGCCGAACCACGCGTCCGACGGTTAACTGCCGCCGGTCTCCAGAGCATTAGACGCGCAATGCTCATCTCAGGAAGTATACGTCAAACTTGTCCTTAACCACTCAAAGTCTTGATTCATGCGATACACTCCACTGTAGCGGTCCTGCAGACACGAGCTCACACACTCCAGCTTCTTCTCCAACGCAGTGATCATATCTTGACCCCTTTGCAGTGATTTCCTCCTTTCTAGCGCTGTTCTCGACCAGAAACCTCTCAATTTCCTTCTTATGTCGCACCAGAGCCGACACGCTAGTTTCTATGTGATGCTCAGCCTGGTTGCGAGTGGTCTCGGCGTGGCGAATCCTTCGGTGCACATCGCGCTTTATCGCCTTAACCCGCATGTTATAGTACATTTTCTTCATGATCATAGTGGCCTCCGCTATGCGCGCTGACAGCTCCACGGTATCCTGGAAACTCAAACGGGGAAGTTGGCACATCAAATACGTTTGGTAATTACACAGTCTACACACGGGATTGTCGCCAAAGTGAGGGTCGCTCAACACGAGAACAGCAAGTTGGTCCAAGTTCATGAGGGACAACAGTCCTTTAAAGCTCGACAGCCGGTTGTCCGCCAAGTTCAGTTCCGTGAGATTCACGCAGCCATTGAGCGCCGTGTCAATGCGGTCAATACGGTTACGACACGCGTCCACTTCGTGAGTCTCCAGAGTCCGTCAAGTCTTTCCAGTTGGTTCAGGTTCACCCACAACTTCTCCAACTTCACCAGCGCGTCCAAGTTTTCAAGTCGTCGGGTCTTGTTCGATCTCAGATTTAGCTGCTTCAGTTTGGTACAGTTCCCCAGGTTAGCGATCTTTGTGAGCCCACACTCGGTAATGCACAATTTTCCAGGTTGGTGCAGTTGTTGACGCCTTCGAGCTCGCAGATCGTGGGCTGGTTGATGATCGAGAGCTCCTTTAGCGCTGGGAAGTACGCGACGGACGTCCAAAATCCCAGAAACAAGTCCAAACTGTCACTGCCTCGCTATTCCCCGCGAAATGAGCGGCTGTGATGCCGTTCTCACTGCACAGCAATTCGAGGTCGGGAGACGTCGCGAAGACCTGCATCTTCTCCTGCTGGGAGACGGACAGCGCGTCTCCATAGCCAAGTTGCTCTATCACAGTCTCCGTCTGTACTGCGTCGCTCTCGGGCAATAATTCGTCTCCAACACTCGCTGGCGGACTTCCTGGACTTGCGGAGTTCATGCTGCCTCCTTGAGGGATCTGCTTGCTGGGAGGTCGGTGGGTCTTGGCCGAAGGGAGACGTGCAGGAGGAGCAGCAGAGATAGGCGGCAGAGCACTAGAGTCAGCAGAGGAGGGGCTTGAACTGCCTCGCCCTGTCTCCATTCTTTTATTCCTACCAAAGCTATCACCCCGACGAAGAGTCTTGACCTTGACCTTGACCTTGGGGCGATAACACAATAACGTGCACTGCGTCGTTTCGTCCTATTTTTGTCCCCAACTTCAAGAACGCAAAATTGCAGCGCGTCTTGAAACTTGACGTGACCTTCTTTTGTGACCTCGCTAGAATGACATCCACTCTCCGCTTCAGTGGCTGGTTTTCAGTGAGAGTGAAGCCATGTCGTTGACCAACCTCGTGCTCAGGCTTGTCCCCCACGACGCCTCCCCGGAGCAGCTCGCGGCTCGAGCCAGCGGCTTCCTTTGCGTCCTCGTGCTGCTGCTGCTCTTCTCCACCCGCCAGCTCTTCGGCAGCTTCATTGCGCACGTGATCACGCTGCTGCTGCTGGGTTTGACGCTCCGCTGGCTCTACTGGAACGGCGTGGGCGTCTTGGGCTGGGACTCGCCCTACCTGCGCAACTCGGAGGCGGTAGTGCGCTCGTTGAGCAGCCACCCACAGCAGGAGGGCACTCTACGCGTGGTGTGCATCTCGGACACGCACAGCAAGCACCGGAACCTTTCGAACGTCCCGGAGGGGGACGTTCTACTGCACTGCGGAGACTTCACGCAGCGCGGCACCCACGCCGAGATCCGCGACTTCAATGACTGGTTGGGCACTCTACCGCACAAGCACAAGCTCGTGATTGCGGGCAACCACGACGTCAGCATGGACGCGGTAGAATACGACCAGCACTGGGACAAGGCCTTCCGCCACAAGGAGTACAACGACCCCAGCGTCTCGAGAGCGCTGCTGACCAACTGCACGTACCTGGAGAACCGCTCGGTGGTGATCGAAGGCGTGAAGATCTACGGGTCGCCCATGACCCCTCCCATCCATGGACGGCAGGGGGCGTTCAACGTGGCCAGAGGCTTCGCGGACCAGCAGCATTGGGCCAAGGTCCCGGCGGATGTGGACATGTTGGTGACCCACGGCCCACCGCATGGGATTCTGGACACGACGTTCACGGGGCTGCATGTGGGGAGTGAGACGTTGCTGAAGGAGACCATGTCCCGCATTCGACCGAGTTTCCACATCTTTGGACATATCCACGAGGCGTACGGAGCTACGCGCGTGGGGAAGACGGTGTTTGTGAATGCTGCGAGTAGTACGCTACTTTCCAAGCCAAAGCATGCTCCTGTAGTTGTAGACATCCCGATCAAATGCTAGTAAACAAGCATCCACGAGGCGTACGGAGCTACGCGCGTGGGGAAGACGGTGTTTGTGAATGCTGCGAGTAGTACGCTACTTTCCAAGCCAAAGCATGCTCCTGTAGTTGTAGACATCCCGATCAAATGCTAGTAAATAACCATCCACGGCAGCTTGGTGTAGTCGATGGCTTCACTTTTATTTTATTATCTGGATTAAAGGCGATGATTATCCGACTTACCTGAGCAGATATCGAGTAATCAACCAGAACTAACAAGATACTCTGCTGCGTCCAGTATCGAACCGGCGAGATGGAGGGCAGTGGCTCGTACACCGCGATGTCCAACGAACCACAGCGCACGTTCAGTGCAATCCTCGGTCTCCAGTTCCTGAGTGAAGCTTCTTTTGGCTTCATGAGCCCCATCATTTCGATCGTCTTGACCGAGGTCGCCAGGCGAATACTTAACTATCATTGCACGGAACGTGATAGCGGTTGACCAATTCTATCTCTTGTGTAGCATTTTGCGAGACTGCATCGAGACGGCTTACCAATTGATTGTGGCGTCGATCCGCACGACGAGGTACTCAAATCCACGCAAGAGTTCGAACGCAATCCGGGGTATTAATCGTACCATCACTTTTCGTTTTGTTCACAGGCGTGTATCACTGGATCAAGGAAGGCAGCCTGGTTGTCGAGGTGAAATCAGATCCTTGCAGAAGTGTAGTGTATCGGTGAAATTGCTGACTTGTCGGTTGTTCTGTCACGGTAGTCTCTTCTCGGCAATGGGATCCGTGTTGAACTTTGCGGTGTCACCGATGATCGGCCAGCTGTCCGATGTCTATGGGCGGAAGGTAGTATAATGCAAGAGGGCAATGTGTCCTGTGTACATTCGCTGACTTGTATTTATGCTCTGCTTACGGCTCTTGCTAGTCCTGAGCCAGCTCGCGAGAATTGGCGTGCCGTTCTCGGTCATGTACTTCACTCAGCCCCACGGATCAACATTTCCATACTTTGTGTTGAGGATGGTCGACTATGGGTTTGGGTACGTTTCTTGCCCGTTCAATACGCTTTTACTTGCTAATGCGCTGTGTTTGTTAGAACTTCTGGTGTCATGAGTGCCGCGGTCACCGACGTCATCTCTCCAACTCATCGTGCAGCAGCGTTCGGAATTCTGGTCGCTAGCGTAGCGATTGGGTATTGTGCAAGCGCATTTATCGCCCCGTTCTTCTCTCGGGTGAGTACTTCCCACTCTCTTCGTATCCTTTCCGAGAGCTGATAAACTGGCATTCGTGCTATATTTTACGAACCAGGAACATATTTTACAGATTGCTGTTGCTCTGTTCGCGATGCGCGTTGTCTGGGCGCTGTTCATCCTGCCCGAAAATCTTGCCTATCGAGACCCGTGCGAAGGTTACCCGATGGGTTGTAGAGAATCCGATCCGCTCCTTCTCCATTCTTTTCCGGAGCAAGTTGTTCGTGCAGCTGACATACTTGATCGCGCTAACGAGCTTCGTTTCGGAAGGAGTTTTCCAGATGCAGCCATTTTACCTCAATGTACGTCCTATCAACAGTATGCATAGTCCGACTTTCTGTGTCATTCAGTTAACTGATTCTGCACTGTTCTGCAGACTGTTGTGGGGTTCGACGTGAACGATTTTGGCAACTTGATGCTGGTTGGCGGCGTTCTAGTCATGCTCGCACAAGGCCTGCTGCTTGAACCTCTAGTGAGTTTCATGGGAGAAAGAGGCGTGATCATCACAGTACTGGTGAGCTGCTTAGTGAGGACGTGGGGGATTGCGGGGACGGCGTTGTAGGGTGGTGTTTCTGCTCTGTGTACCTGCTTGTTTCGGCGAGTTGGCCTTCCCAGCCATTGCTACACTGCAGTCAATTAACTGTTCGGAAGAGGTACGCAACCATTCTCCGTGCTACATTTCTTCCTGCTTCATTTGATATCGAACTCTATACGGTTGCTGCAGGAGCAAGGTCGTCTACAAGGGGCAATCTACGGAGCGCGGTCGGTTTTTGAAGCGATTGGCCCCGTCGTGTTCTCCGTTTTGTACGCTGCTATGACTCGGAAGTCAGTCTGGTCGCAAGCGCTCCCGTTTGTGATCGCTTCGTGCATTTATCTCGTCGGTGTTGTTACTGCCGTCTCGCTACCTGCAGGCAAGAAATCGAGCAAGCCTGTGGACGAGGAAGCTCATTTACTGTCACCAAGGAGGGAACCAGCAGCCTCACACTTTAAGACCGAGCCCGAAACAGAGGATGAAATAGGAGGCGACGATGCCATGGCTATTGCTGGCAGAACTGTGCTGCATGTAGATGACGACTACTTGCTCGCAGAGCCATTACTACCGTAGAATGTTACAGCGTAGGGCTTATTGCCACCAGCCGCGCTTTACTCGCAGTAGTGTAAAGCTAAGAAAATATCCCCGTTCTTGAAAGTTTCAATGCACTTCTAGCACTTCAACGCATCGGATCATATTTGTCCGATGGTCGTAAGTCGATCGGTTTCGACGGGGTTCAGACTTGAAGGGCGACCCTCAGTATCCGACCAGCAAAATGGGGAAGAGCCACGGCGCCACCACCGCCGCCGCCACCTCGCCCTGCAAGACGCAGCGGAAGCGGGGCTTCTCGTGCAAGTTAGGCACCATCGTGGTGCTGCAGTTCCTGACGGAGGCGGCGTTCGGCATCATGAACCCCATCCTCTCCATCGTCATGACCGAGGTCCGCAAAATGTGTCATTCCTACCAGTAAGATCATAATCCTCACTTTACCCATAATTTTATACAGTATTTCGCCAGGCAGCATCGGCTTGGACTGCCAATTGACTGCGGAGCCAACCCACTCGACGCGGTACAGTCATCATGGTTAAGTGCAAATGGCATGAATCATTTCGTGCTAATAATTGTTGCAATTGTTGCTAGGCGTGCACTGAAGGGTCAAGACAAGCGGCTTGGTTGTCGAGGTATGAATCAATACTATTGTTTTTGGAGTCGGTGAAGAATGTGTGGAGAACCTGACGTTATTGTTCATTCCAGCCTCTTCTCGTCGCTAGGCTGTGTGTTCAATGTTTTTCTTGCGCCGATGCTGGGTCAAGCGTCAGACGTCTACGGACGCAAGGTTCGTAAGTTTTGCGGGATTTATTGGGAAATCATTTTGTGGCTTAGTAATTTGTATGTACTAAGTATGTTTGATATTGCTATTAGCCGTTTTTGGTGCTAAGCCAGCTCGCAAGGGTTGGTACGCCATTCTCCATCATGTACTTCATGCAGCCACACGGATCCATTACGCCGTATTTCGTACTAAGGCTAATCGACTATGGGTTTGGGTACGTATCTTCTTCGCAAACAGATCGCGACTTGCGGTTTTATTCAAAAGGTAACACCGGTGTTGATCTTTGACCCAGAACGGCTGGCGTTATGGGCGCTGCGGTCGCCGACATTGTGTCTCCCGAGAACCGTGCGGCAGCCTTTGGCATTATTTTTGCGAGCCTGTCTTCTGGGTTTTCTTTGAGTGCTTTCGCAGCCCCATTCTTCTCTCGAGTTCGTACTTGCTGCTTGTTTGTGACAGCATTGTTGGCTCCTGATTATAACGCGGATGCTCTTTTCTTATGTAGGAGCAAGTTCTGCAGATTGCCGCTTGTATTTTCGTGATCCGGGTGTTTTGGGCAGTATGCATTCTGCCCGAAACGGTACCGAAGCATTCGCGTATGACCATGACGCGTTGGGTGATGGAGAGTCCTATCAGCTCTCTGTCCATCCTTTTCCGCAATAAATTGTTCATGCGGCTGACGTGCTTGATCGCGATCACGAGCTTCATCAGGAACGGGATTTTCCAGATCCAGTCTTTTTTCCTGAATGTACGTCCCCAACAATATAAACGCAATTGCGAGCTGGTATGACGCAGCCCATGATGGTGGATTTCAGACAATTGTGGGATTCGATGTGAAGGACTTTGCCAACTTGATGCTACTCGGAGGCGTCTTAGCACTGCTAGGACAGGGGCTACTGGTGAAGGCGCTGGTGGGCTGCTTCAAGGAGAAAGGCGTGATCATCATCGCGCTGATCGCCAGTCTGATGAAGACGGGCGGCTTTGCCGGTGCCGCGTTTTACCCGCACAAATGGGTCGTATTCCTGTCGTTCGTCCCTGGCTGCATCGGGGACCTTACGTTCCCAGCTATATCGGCACTCAAGTCGATGAATGTCTCGGAGAAGGTATGTTTTAGCGTCTACTCGCCCTATGACGATGAAATGCTGAAAGTGTTCTCATAATCTGACTCTGAATCTGTAGGAGCAAGGACGTCTACAAGGCGCAATTTACGGCGCTCGGTCGATTTTTGACGCAATCGGCCCCATCGTCTTCTCCTCGCTGTACGCTGCGATGACCCGGCAGTCGCTTCTGTCTGAAGCTCTCCCGTACATCGTTGCCTCGTGCGTCTACGTCGTCGGGATTGTAGTGGCTCTCTCGCTACCCGTGAGCAAGACGTCTCCTTCGCCGAGCGACATCGTTGTTGAACCTGCTCCATTGCCGCCACCGGTGTCGGATGAAACTCCGGCTTTGGCTTCCGTGTACTTCGAGACTGACAAGGGTGAAGTGGAAAAGGGCGAAAGAGTGGAGTATGCCAGCAGCTCCGTGCTGGATGACGACCAATTGCTCTCTGAGCCTTTGCTAGGAGCGAACTCCTCTGAAGTGTAAAAGTGCACATTAGATGCATATCGATACTAAAACACACGATAGAGCTACGTTTTTAAACGTAAAAGGGGTTTAAAAAAAACTTTTGTCATCTTCAACTTTTTTCTGGTCGTAGTGATCGGTTTTCACAGGTTTTGGTATCACGTCTTCATTCTCAGTAAAGTATCCGACCGAGATGGACAGCACCACCGCCGCCGCTGACACCTCCGCGCCCCGCAAGCCGCAGCGTAAGCGTGGTGCCCCGTGCACTGTGGCCGCGATCGTGGGTCTCCAGCTTCTCACCGCCGGTGCATTTGGCATCATGAGCCCCATCCTGTCCATCCTCATGACGGAGGTCTCTCCTGCAGCATTCTCCAATGCGCTGTAGCGCCGTAAAACATCTTTTAACTGAATGCACTGTAGTACTTTGCCAGACTACACAGAGATGGAGCGCCCATTGACTGTGGGGCCAATCCTCACGACGAGGTATTGTTGTTGTTAAAGGAAATATTCACAATTGTTGGCCCATGAATTAACATTGCTTTCTTGACTGTAGGCGTGCACTGCTGGATCAAGACAAGCTGCGTGGCTGTCGAGGTATGGAGTTTTCTATTGTTTCGATAGTTTGGTGTTGAGATCTAACTTTTGTTTGTATTGTAGTATCTACTCGGCTGCGGGATGCGTGTTCAACCTCATCTTGTCGCCGATGCTTGGGCAGGCGTCCGATGTGTACGGGCGCAAGGTGCGTTGCATTATGATTATGATTTTGACACTGAAGAGAAAGAGTACCTAACTATTGGTGTTTGACAGCCATTTCTTGTGCTAAACCAGATCTTGCGGCTTGGCGTGCCGTTCTCAGTCATGTACTTCATGCAGCCGGGGGGATCCATCACGCCTTATTTCATTCTGAGGCTCGCCGACTCCGGCTTTGGGTGCGAATGACTGGCTCTAGTGACGGTTGGTACCTTGGAAGGCTAATCGTCGTTGAATGAACCAGGGTGGCGGGTGTCATGAGTGCCTCGGTTGCTGATATTGTCGCCCCTGAAGACCGGGCTGCCGCATTCGGACTTCTCTTTGCAAGTCTATCTGTTGGTTACTGTGCTAGTGCCTTCATCGCACCGTTCTTTTCTCGGGTAAGCACTGTAGCCTGCAATTAGTACGATGGTTTTCTGCTAATTTCTTTTCGCAGGATACTATTCTGCAGATTGCGGCTGGTCTGTTCGTGACTCGAGTTCTGTGGGCGATCTTCCTTTTGCCCGAGACGTTACCAGCTCGAACGCGCTTGAGCAAAACCCGATGGGTGGTCGAGAACCCCGTCAGCTCGATGGCGATTCTCTTCAGGAACCAATTATTCATGCGACTGACGTGCTTAATCGCGCTGACGAGCTTCGTGTTGAACGGAGTTTTCCAGATCCAGTCCTTTTACCTGAATGTAAGTCCTCAAGAAGCATTTTTTTTTCTTTGTCACTACAGAGTCAACCCTGGGCTAATTTGTTGTTGTAGACTATCGTGGGGTTCGATGTGAAAGACTTTGGCACTCTGATGCTGCTTGGAGGGTTCTTGGCAGTAGTAGGGCAGGCTCTGCTGCTCAAGCCGCTGATCGGTTGTGTCAGAGAGAAGGGCGTGATTGTCATTGCACTAGTTGCCAATACGCTAGGTACTTGTGGGTTTGCTGCTACGGCTTACTACCCGCATAAATGGGTGGTCTATGCAGTGAGCGTCTCCGGATGCATCAGCGACCTATCGTTTCCCGCCATATCCGCTCTCAAGTCGATCAACGCCTCGGAAGAGGTAACGTTATACAACATTTTGTAAAGTATTGTCGCGATACTTACCGTTTGGTGAATTGTAGGAGCAAGGGCGTCTACAAGGTGCGATTTACGGCGCTCGGTCGATCTTTGAAGCGCTCGGCCCGGTCATTTTCGCTGCAATGTACGCTGGTATGACTCGGCAATCCGTTTGGTCGCAAGCTCTTCCGTACGTGGTCGCCTCGTTCCTCTATTTCGTTGGCGTTGGTATGGCTTTGTCGCTGCCTGTTGGCAAGACCCCGCCACCAAGTAAAATCGTCGCGGTTCCAGCACCTCTGCTGTCGCCTACATACGGTGAATCCCCAACTTCCATGTACTTCGAGACTGACGACGACGATGAAGACGACGAAGACGATTTGGAATTCAACCGACTGGCGTTTTCGACCGCGAAGGAGCTCGACGACGACCATTTCCTCGCGGAGCCGTTGCTGGGGAGCAGCTCGGCAGCGCACGTCCGCGAGGAAGTCTAAATGTGACTGGAATGGGCTGACGTCGTGTTTAAGCTCACAATTGTTATGGTATTGTTTTCCAAGAAATGCAGATCCGAAGTTATCAACCCTTGCAAACTACACTTACACTCACTATTTGTGACTACATTATATGACTTGATCTCATTTGTGCTGTCGAATCCCTAGCAATTTACACGAAGATCTGTCGGTGAGGTGAGGGGGGACTGGGGAGGTTTGTGGGCACTCCATCGGTGGCGGGGTCCTGGAAGAAGAGCGTTCCGGTGACGAGGCACGACCCGGACGGCAGCTTTTTGGCGCAGGCCTGCATGAATGGGTCCATTTCCATTTGGCCCATTCTCCTCGAGAGAGCGTTGGACTGCGCTGGCGTGAGTGGCGACAAGATGTTGCCATGGTAGCCGCCCGCCGACTCGGAGAGATACGTCATGGTGCCTTGGAGGAAGCCCTCGGCGGTGAGACTGCCTCGGGGCTCGGTCAGCCACGGCGACAGCTCCAGATCCGGCTGCTCGACTGGGACGACGGTGTTGGCGGCACTGATGAATTGGTCGAGGAGAGCGGCGTCCCAGGTCAGCAGAAGTCCGTGCAGGCCGGGGTTGGCCACAGGTTCACGGATGGTGACGACGTCGGCGGAAGCTCGAGGCGCCATGGTGCAGAAGTTGGTGCGGAGTAGAAGGCAAATTGAAGAGTGAACGGGTTGGTCAAGAGTGAAGAGGTCAGCTGGAAGCCTTGGAAGCAGTGTCAATCGACTTGTCGGGCATATCGAAAGGCGGGTACACTGCAGCATCTCATCGAGGCAAGAAATGACACACTCAGGTCACCGGCAGCTGCAGTCGATGGGCTCCGCATCTCTTGTGATCTGGCGGCGGCGGACTGAAAGTAAGTTTTGGAGCTATCGCTCGTTCAGCGAACGCGCTCCTTGGGGCACGATCGCTCCTCTGTGCAGGTTGGGGACCACTTGCGTTTAGCGGTGTCAGGAAGCGCATCTCGGAGGTGATTGCTCGCATTCTTACAGCACAGCGCGCTGCTTCGAGTCAAAGGAATTAACGGATAACGAGGGCCTTTCATGGTGAGAAGCACTGCAACACGAAGTACTCGCTGCCGCTGCTTGTTCATCGTGACGTCGAAGGCAAGAAGAGAGATCCCAACGTCGTTGAAGCGTCTCGGTCGATGGATGAGATCCCGCGTGGTTTGACAGCCGCACCGAACGTCCAGGAGATGAGTCGCCCGATGTCCTCTCGATGGAGTCGGAGTGCTTAGTCTCGTCGACAATGTCCTCGTTGTGATTCAAGGATGTGTGCGGCAACTCCCACGCACGACAGCGAAATACTCGAGTCATCTTTTGGTCCAAAGTCCACCTTCCGACTTTGGCAGCAGAAGTCGGCACCGCTGGCGCCAGGATTGCGGCCGCTTGGTTGGTCTCAATTGAGGCCACTTCAACTAGACCACTTCAACTTCGTCTGAGAAACTCTGTTTAGGACAAAACTGTAGCCATGATTGGTACGAATTGGTACGAGCGGATACGAACCGTACCACTAAAGGAGACAGATATCCTATCCTCATCATTCCTCGACTTGTTCCCCCGCCATCTCCTTCTTCCACCATGCCCCGCGCTCTGAGCAAGCTCCTGGCCACTCAAGGCAAAGCTTCTGTGCGTGACCTCGACGCCGTGGACCTGCACACGCACGTGTACCTGCCCCGCTACATGGACATCCTCCGCGCTCGGAAGGACGTGCCCTTCGTCCGCCCCGGAATCGGCGGGGAGCGGCTCATCATCCTCCCAGCGGAGCAGCAGCAGCTGGGGGAGAGCCAACAGCAGCCGGGAGGCATCAGCGCCGGCCGCCCCATTGGCGGCGAGTACTGGGACGCGAGCAATAAGCTCCGGTACATGGATCGCCACGGTATCCGCACGTCCGTGCTGAGTCTGGCCAATCCGTGGCTCGACTTCTTGCCCCTCGAGGAGCAGATCCGACAGGCGACGCTGCTCAACGACGACATGGAGACGCTGTGTCGTGGCTCCAATGGCCGGTTCTTGGCCTTTGGCGTCGTGCCGCAGGACTCCACCACCGCGGTTGAAGAGGTTGAGAGACTGTCGAGTGGCCTCCCTCACGTCCGCGGGGTGATCCTGAGCACCGCCGGCTTGAACGGCAAAGGGCTGGACGACCCGGATATGCTCGAGTTCTACCGGGCCATGGATCGCGCGGGGCTGACGATCTTCCTGCACCCGCACTACGGAGTGGGGAACGAACACTACGGCAAGTGCGGACACGCGCTGTTCCTCGCGTTGGGCTTCACGTTCGAGACGACCGTGGCGGTCTCGCAGTTGGTGCTGTCGGGACTATTGGACCAAGTGCCGGACACTTTGAGACTGCTGCTCGCACACTCCGGAGGCTCGCTGCCGTTCCTGGCTGGACGACTCGATAGCTGCGTGGAGCATGACGCCGCCATCGCGCAGAATTTGCAGCACGCGCCGAGTGTCTATCTCAAGAGGTTTTACTACGATGCGGTGGCGTACCACGAGCCGGCGTTGCAGTGTCTGATCGACTTTGTCGGGGCGGATAGAATCGTCTTCGGCACGGATCACCCGTTCTTCCCTCCTATTAAGGACAACAAGGAGGTGCCGGAGGGAGAAGGTGGAGAAGACTTGAGCGAACTGGACTGGCACTCGACGTTGGCCAACTACGAGATCATGGCCAACATGAGCAAGGACGTGCAGAGCGCCATGCTACGCGACAACGCCAAAAGGCTGATGGGGATCTAGGATACCCGTCACACAGGAGCTACAAGGTGTAAGCGGTATTTGACAGTATTGCCTTTATCTACACAATTGCAGAAGTCTTGCACTTCTGCTGGCACAGTACATGTACATAAGCCCTTAGAAGGCTTCGTTGTTGATGAACTTGTTGAGCATGTCCAGTGCCACCGCTGGCTGGTCCTGTGGCACCATGTGGCCCGAGTTGAACACGCGTAGGAACGTGAACTGGTTGTTGAACGACCGCGCCACACCTCCGTTCTTGCCGTTCGACGTGACAAAGGCAGTCTCCGGTGCGTTGTTGAACCCGTCCCTGCCCTTCCACTGCAGCGCGCGCGTCCAAGCTTCGTTGCCGTACCAGTTGCACACGAGATCGGCGTCTCCAGCGTAGATCAGCACTCGCAGGTCGTCGTCCAACAGATCAGCCACGTACGAGTTGAAGGGCTTAACCACGTCGCCTGCCTTGTCAAATGCCGCATATACCTGCGAGTTGCACTCTTGCCAGGCGCCCACGCGCTTCGAGTCGACACCGAGAGCCTCACGCACGTTTGGTGCGTCCAAGTACTTAGAGACGTACGACATGTCATAGCATTCAGTGTCGTCGCCGTCATTCTTGCACGGCAGACGGATATCGTACGGGTTACGACCAGCCTTCAGCATCGGACTGAATAGCTTCTCCATGCAGAAGTTCTCTCCATCGACACACGCCGTCGCATTCTGTGGACACTGCTCCAGGATAGAGATACACTCCGGTACAGCCGCCTTCATCTCGTCCAGTTGCGCCACGTCCACGAGAGAAATGTTGTACGCGTTGTGAATTGCCATGTCGATGTAATGTGGCATCTGAATAGCAGCGTTCGTGAGGCCATTACCGATGGCAATGCCCTTCAGGTTGATAAACTTTGGAGTACCAGCGTTCACCTTGTTCTTCTGCCATACGTAGTGCGCCGCCACAGGCACGTAGTGGCCACCGTAGCTCTCGCCCGTGATGTAAAAGTCGCGGCCGGCCAACTCCGGGTGCTTCTCGAAGAAACCCTGAAGGAAATAGTAGATGTTCTCGCCCACATTGTCCTCGCCGTTGTCAGCGTCGCGCTTGTCGCCGTACGTGAACCCCACGGTCGTGGGCTGGTCCAGCCACACCACGTTGCTCTGGTTGGTCCACGAGTACGGGTTGAGCCGAGTGGAGAGGTCCGGCAGCACGTGACATGGCCCGTTCTCCGTGAGCAGCGCCATCATGCTGGAGCACCCGGGGCCACCCGTGAGCCAGAGCACGAGCGGGTCGGTGTTGGGCTGGCCGCGGGACTCGAAGTACCAGTAAAAGTAGTGGTCGTCGACCTTGTTGGGCAGCTTGATGTAGCCCGAGTCCTGCGTCGTGAGTCCGCAGAAGACCTCGCTGTCTGCCGTCGTCATGTTTACCGGGACGCCCTCCGTAGCCGCGTGCGTCTGTACCTGAGGCTCCGCATCGTTGCTGTCTCCGTCCTCCACGAGCGGCTCAGCGACGAACATGACCATGAGGCTGACGGCGCATAGCGCGAGGATGAAGACGCCGCCGCGCTTGATGTCTCGCTTGCGCGCCTCCTCCCGCCGCCAGATGCGCAGGTTGTACTGCAGCGACGTGGACCGCAGGCGCAGCGGAGTCGTCTCCGAGCTCATGACGGCGTCAAGTCTCGCGTGGTGTTCGTCCGTAGAGCAGCGCAGTGCAGTGCAGTGGGTGAAATGAGTTGGAACGTCCGCCGAACTCCATGAGTTCGTCCCATCGTCGGGACAAGTGCAAGAGATAAGCAGGCACGAATGGCAGCATGGAGTGGCCAGCAGGTGTCCTCTTTGGGTGGACGGTTTCAGCTAGCAGCTGGCGATTTTGATTGGCAAACGAGCAGCTGCGCTGCATTCATTTGAAGACATAGTTCTTGTCTTCACTATGGTCTGAAAACCGTTACGAGGGGGGGGGGGAGGTCTGAGTTTGGGTATCTTGTCCTTTGACACATTCATCACTTCTGGTTTTCCGGCCGCCAAGAGCAGCGCAAGACTTTCCGTGTTCAAGCACTATGGCGACCGAGACGACCCCGTTGACGCTGGACCACAACTTGCAGCATTATGCGCAGCAGGAGGCTCGCAACCGCAACGTTCGTCGCGCATTGATTGCGGTGGTGTCGCTGATCGGCGTCTGCCTCTTGGTGGTGTACGTCGGGGAGCCGCTCTTCCTCAAGAGAGACGATGCAGTGGCTGAGGGTGTGCCTGTGTCTACGGGGGCTACAGACAGCGAGGTCTTCTGCGGGCTCACGACGCAGGACTCGGGCTACATCAAGCTGCCCAACAAGGTCGACGACCACTACTTTTACTGGTACTTCGAGTCCCGCGGCCAGCCCAACACCGACCCGCTCGTGCTCTGGCTCACGGGTGGCCCCGGGTGCTCCAGCATGATGGCGCTGCTCACGGAGAACGGGCCATGTCACGTGCTGCCGGACCTCTCCACTCGGCTCAACCCGTACTCGTGGACCAACCAGAGCAACGTGGTGTGGCTGGACCAGCCCACGACCGTGGGGTTCACGTACGGCGACAAGCGCGACGCTGACAACGGCGAGGACAATGTGGGCGAGAACATCTACTATTTCCTTCAGGGTTTCTTCGAGAAGCACCCGGAGTTGGCCGGCCGCGACTTTTACATCACGGGCGAGAGCTACGGTGGCCACTACGTGCCTGTGGCGGCGCACTACGTGTGGCAGAAAAACAAGGTGAACGCTGGTACTCCAAAGTACATCAACCTGAAGGGTATTGCCGTCGGAAACGGCATCACGCAGGCTTCGATTCAACTTCCGCACTACATCGACATGGCGGAGGAGAACGCGTACAACATTTCGCTGGTGGACGACTCTCAACTGGCGGAGATGAAGGCAGCGGCCCCCGTGTGCGGTGCTATCCTCGACCAGTGCCCGCAGAACATGACGGCGTGCTTCGACGGTACTGAGTACTGCACGGAGAAGCTGTTCATGCCGCTGCTGTCTGCAGAGCGCAACCCGTACGACATCCGCATGCCGTGCACTAGGATGGACGACCCCACCAAGTGCTACGACATGTCGTACGTCTCCAAGTACCTGGACGCTCCCAACGTGCGTGAGTCTCTCGGTGTTGACTCGAAGCGCGTGGGAGCCTGGCAGGAGTGCAACATGGAGGTAAACGTGGCGTTCTACATGACGGCCGACATGGCCAAGCCGTTCAACACGTACGTGGCCGATCTGCTGAACGACGACCTACGCGTTCTCATCTACGCCGGTGACGCTGACCTCATGTGCAACTGGTACGGCAACCAGGCGTGGACCCGCGCGCTGGAGTGGAAGGACAAGGACGGATTCAACGCAGCGACCGAGACCCCCTTCATTACTTCGGGTGGCACGAACGCTGGCGTGGTGCGGTCGGTCAACAACCAGTTCACGTTCTTCCGGGTCTTCAAGTCTGGTCACATGGTGCCGCAGGACCAGCCAGCAGTGGCGCTCGAAATGCTCAACAAGTTCCTCAACAACCAGGCCCTCTAAGAGAATGAATGACAGCGCGCGTAGGCACTTTGGTCTGCCTTATCCTGTCTCGTAAATGACGGCAACATACAAATACAAATATGAAGTGCTGTTGCCTTGATACTGCATCGATAAACACCTCGCAGTCGCATGTGGCTCGGTTCAGAAACTACGAATCCTGGTTCTGGTCATCCAACGGATTCAAAAGTGTTTTGGTTGAAGACACCGCCGAAATTTTGCTACTTTGTCCGTGACGGACGAAATGGCCTGTGGGGGCAATTGAGGGGCCATTTCTGGAAACGTCGTCTTCGTAGCGACCTGAGGCGGAGGCATGGCGGCCGTGAACGAGAGCACGCCGCTAAGGCCACACGACCGACACCTGCACCGGCACAACCGTAGGAGGCGAACGGAAGGTGATCGACGGACTCGACGCTTTATCCTCTGGCTGTCGGGCGCGCTCATGCTGGCGATCATCATCCACGTGATGCGAAGACCCGGCGTGTGGCGACTGCGGCACGGCCAGCCCTCGGATTGAGACCACCCAGCGTGATTCCTCCAGCCAAAGGTGGTGAGTCCAGACCAGCTATAAGCGGCGATCGTGCGTGCCGAGCAAAACGGCTTCAAGCGACAGCAGCAGCACTACCATGAAAGCTTTGGCTGCCTAATGCCTTAAGCCCACTACGCCTTGGAAAGTTGCCAGCCGAGGAGACTAAGAAGGTCAAGTTGAAGTCGACAAAGTTGCCTTTATGCCGCAAGGTAGTTTCTCTTCCACCTACTAAACATCATACAACGTGACTCGCTCCCTTTCATTCCCGTTTCCTACCCGAAGCTCCAGCCATGTACGTGGCGCCGCGATGCCGCTCCTTGCACCCAGAAGACGCGCCTAACGCCCCAAATTGCTCGTGTGCAGGGCCGCCAAAGTCACGTTCAAGGTCACGCTCACGTCGGACCCCAAGCTGCCGTACCGAGTGTGAGTCCAGGCCCTGAACGCTTCCTTTCTCCCCACCAGACCTCTCTCTAACTTTATCGTTCGTGCCATTGCAACAGTGTGAACGTCCCGGAGCAGGCCCCGTTCACGGCCGTGCTCAAGTACGTCGCTGAGGAGGTAAATTATTTGCTGTGATCGCCCAGAAAGCACTAAAATCGGGCGAATATTGACGGAGCTGTGTCATTTTTTGCTGTCTGCACGCGCTGCAGTTCCACGTGCCGGCGAACACCAGCGCCATCATCACCAACGGTACATCGCTGCACTCACAGGCTGGATGCTGTGGATGCAATGAGTCTAATAACCTTGCTGTTGATGTCGTGGTTGTTGTGCTGCAGATGGCATCGGCATCAACCCGTCGCAAAGCGCTGGCAACGTGTTCCTGAAGCACGGCTCGGACCTGCGTCTGATCCCGCGCGACCGCGTCGGAAGCGCTTAGGTCGCACTGAAAATCTGCTCTGCATAGCTGCATCTACGACAAGAGAGAGAGAATTGAAGTGAGTTGTGTATGCTATCGGTCTGTTGTATTGGTATACATGAATTGTATTCTGCGCAGGCGGAAGCTGCCGATCGAGCGAACGTTCTAAGGAGGCGTGACAGGTAATTCACACCCCAGCAATCTACAGTACCACCCAACTGGCACCGGCGTCCGCGCTGCGTTTTATGATTGCACTGATATTAGAGACCCTTGTTGAAGAAGACGTGCGTGATGGGGTCCGCGTTGGCCGAGTGCTGCTTGAAGGTGCGCTGGCACACGGCCTCCTGCAGCTCTGGCTCGAGCGACGACACGGGCATGGAGCTGCGCTGCGGGAAGAGCGCGCAGCACAGCGGCGTGGAGAAGCTGAGGCACACGCCCGTGAGCCCCACCATGGTGAGCGCGTTGATGACCTTGTTGTTGCGGAAGGTGGGGCGCTGCTCCAGCTTGTTCATGATGACAGGCGGGATGAACATGGCGGGCGCGGCCATGAGGATGCGCGAGGGCACGACCTGGGCCACGGCCTCCACGGCGGCCTTCTTGCTCTTGCCGATCTTGTGGCCGTCCGCGGTCTCCACTTCGATGCCGCCGAGCAGCTCGCGCTGGCGCATGAGCGGGATGTTGACGCAGTTGGCGGCAGCCACAGCCACGAGCGGCACGAGGCGGCCCACGATGCCGTTGCTGAGCTTGGGGCGCTTGGACACCCAGCGGTTGAGGCCCAGCGCCGTGGCCACGGAGGCCGTGCTGGCGGCCGCGTAGGCCTGCAGCAGCTGCTCCTGGCTCACGCCCGTGCTGGCGTTGCGGTTCGTGTAGTTGACGATCGAGTTGAAGGTCTGGTTCATGAACTGCCAGAAGATGACGGCGGGCGTGGAGCGGTAGAAGGTCATCATGCAGCCCGTGATGATCATGTTGCCGGGCACCTGGAAGGCCATGCGGCCGGCCAGGAAGTTCTTCTCGCCCGTGTCCGGGTGGAAGGCGCTGTCCACGAGCTGCTTGGCGCGCCAGATCTCATCCTCGCCCAGGGTCGGGTGCAGGCCGGCCTTGTACTCCTCCACGAGCTGATTGGCGGCGTCCAGCTCGGCGTCGCTGGCCAGCACGTTGAGCGGGTTCGTGGTGGCCAGGAAGTGCTGGGCGCGGCCGGCGTACGTGCTCTGGTCCCAGCGGGGCGCGTCCAGGTTCACGAGGGGCTTGGAGTTCGACATGGCTGCACTGCAACGAGGGAGGGAGGGCGTCGATACGGATGTGAGCCCGAGGGGGTGCGGCCGCCACTCGATGCCGTGATTGGATGCAGCCGAGGTTTACAAGTGCGTGCCAGTTTAACCGATTGCGCAACGCAGGACTACCATGCGAATTCGAGGGGTATGTGTTATGAGGAGCTGAAATAGGTAGTGAAGGAGAACTGGTGTGCGTACACAATGCGGGAAGATTAGATTGTGGAGGGCGACAGAGACGAGGACATGGATACAAAAGCTCAAGTTCAACTTTGGTTGCACTCAAGCAACCGCTGGCCGCGGGCCTTCGCGACCGCCCAGTGGCGATCTTGCTGGATCGAGCGTACTCCCTGCGCGGTGCAGCGCGATGCAATACGGGTGTCATGCTGAAAGCAGCGAGGTGAGTGCTACCGACTGCACTACCAAGGTTTCCGGTTGTTTTTCGGTTGATTGGCAGCACTACAGACAGACTCTTAGGTGACTCGAATCTTTGCGCATGAGATCGTGACCCCACTGCGAACGCTTCGACACCCCCAAGCTTTGCCGCAGACAATGAGCTCGGATATTACCACAGGCTTGGGAAACCCTTCGCTGTCGATTTCTGAGCGTCAAGGAGATCAAGTCCAGCCCTCAAAATCGACTGCGATGATCGACGAATGAATTACCGGCATCCCTTTGTCATCACATACAACCCACCTACACTCCACGACAAAAAGATATGGACACCACCAAAAGTGGCTGTAACTTCGTCAATTTTTATCGTTTTAAGGTGCGGTTTGGACTAGAGTTGCAGAACACGCTGATAAAGATCTGCACGTTGCTAACACGCGCGCTTTTGCGCTTCTTCAGGTAGCTCACATACAAATCACTGGTTCTGCCCAGGTGACAAAACTTATGGACAGCTAATCCCCATACAAAATCCTATATTAACCAAAACCCCTTACAAATGATACGACTTGGAGTTTGTATGGGGCGACAAAGGAACCAGCCTCACGGCGATACTCGCGACGTTAGACAAAGATTTGATGGCATTATCGTGTACTAGAAGGTGTGTTTAGTAACCTGTAATAAATACATCGACCATCACACAAAACTGAGCAAGTAGTAAGCGACTGAAATTTCGAGTGGTGGCTACCATGTATTATCTGATGATTTGCGAGGCACGTTCAGTTGCATCCTAGTTAGTGCCAATTTGTAGCTCTGTATGCTGCTATCTCTTGAATATACGATTGTCTTCTCCATTCTAAACTGTTGGTCGATGATATATGGCTCAGTACTAAGGTAGAGTGGAGAAATCATGGGTTCCTTTGTCGCCCCATACAAACTCCAAGTCGTATCATTTGTAAGGGGTTTTGGTTAATATAGGATTTTGTATGGGGATTAGCTGTCCATAAGTTTTGTCACCTGGGCAGAACCAGTGATTTGTATGTGAGCTACCTGAAGAAGCGCAAAAGCGCGCGTGTTAGCAACGTGCAGATCTTTATCAGCGTGTTCTGCAACTCTAGTCCAAACCGCACCTTAAAACGATAAAAATTGACGAAGTTACAGCCACTTTTGGTGGTGTCCATATCTTTTTGTCGTGGAGTGTACACCTATTTACCCTAACCGCACTAACAAGCTGAAACTCGATCTACACTTGGAGCAATGCAAGGCAAGCAAGTGCATCTACCTATTTATCTAGCAACAAAACTCTTCGTCGAAGTCGTCAGTCGCAGATCTTGGCCTACCGCCTTATCAACGCCAAATAGACAATAAGCTAAGACGCCTGTTTGACACATTTTGACACCCTGAGCTCTACACGTATTGGCTTTAGCTCGCAAGCTCCGCAGCAAGTTTAGCGAGGATCTGCCCTTGCCAAGCGGTGTCAATACGGTACCTACACCCACCGTTTGGGCTTTTCGCTTGTCTGCTCTGCTTGGCTCTGCGTACAGCAGCTCGATGCTGGCGCGACCGCGCTTCCAGCTCTGTGTGAGCGTTTGCCGACTTTAGTTTGGTAGTGTAGGGTAGAAATTGTTGATGGTGACAAGGAAGGATATTGCCATGCTTGGTCAAGTACTTTGAGCTTCTCGGCAGCCGGGGACGACGTCACCGAGTGCCTTAATGCCTTCCTCTCCTTTGCGTCAGGCAAGCGAGTCAGTCCGCAACTGAGCGTATTTTGGTGTGCCTGTATGCCATAACAAGTGCTCAGGTGAAAATGCCATTGATTGGCTAATATTAGTCATAACAAGCAGTATGTGATGACAAAGGGATGCCGGTACTGCGGTGACAGGATTGGTCTGGTCCGAGTCGTGCTGCACAGCATGTTCCGAAGACGGCGCACACAGGCTCGGGATTAATCTGCGCTGGGATGTTGAAGGTGGCGCCCTTTTCGTGTCGCGCGAGCCAGGAATGATGGTAAAAGGGCAACATGTTCCTCGCGAAAGTTGGTGGTGCTGCGCTGGGCTGAGCCCGCGCTTCAGCCTCATTTCTCTACTTGCGCAGTCCAGACCCTCACGATGTCGGAGATCACGCCGCTACTGAACGGCCAGGCTTTCCTGCCGCACCGAGAGAGCTTCGAGTCCGACTCGTCCGTCCGGAGCTACGCGCGCGTGCACAAGCTGCGCGTTCCGCCGTTCGCGCTCTTCGGGGCGATCTGCCTACTGCTGGGCGTGAGTCTGTGGCGAGGGGCGATCCCCACTCCGCAGACGGACAAGCTTCGAGCCAAGCCGATCCGAGTCACGACCTCCAACGGCGTCCAGCAAGAGCACTATTGCGGGAGCACCAAGCAGGACTCGGGCTACATCAAGCTGCCCAACAAGGTGGACGACCACTACTTCTTCTGGTACTTCGAGGCCCGTCGCAACCCAGAGACGGCGCCGCTAGTGCTATGGCTGACTGGTGGACCTGGAGGCTCCAGTATGCTGGCGCTCTTGACGGAGAACGGACCGTGTCGAGTTCGGCCGGATCTGTCCACCGAGAGCAACCCGTACTCGTGGACCAACGAGGCGAACGTCGTGTGGCTCGACCAGCCGACAAACGTTGGCTTCTCGTATGGACCTGACCCGAACGACGCCGATGATAGCGAAGATAACGTCGCAGAGAATATCTATTGGTTCTTACAGGGCTTCCTCGAGCGCCATCCAGAGCTGCAAGGACGTGAGTTCTTCATTTCCGGCGAGAGTTATGGCGGACACTACGTCCCAGCCGCTGCACACTTCATCTCACAGCACAACCGGCATAGATTGGAGGGTGCGTTGCGTATCAATCTACAAGGCATCTCCGTCGGCAACGGGTGCACGAACCCCGTGATCCAGAACCCGCACTTCATCGACATGGCCACGAACGCCTACAACATTTCGCTGGTTGACCCCAGTCAACTGCCAGCTCTCGAGGAAGCCGCAGCGGTTTGTGGTATGAAAATGGAGGCGTGCCAGGCACAGCCGTCGTTGTGCTTCGAGGCTGAGGGATACTGCGAAGAGCACATCGACAACGTCTTCATTGCCGCCAAGCGGAACCCGTACGACATCCGCCAGTTCTGTCATACGAGCGACACGGACGTATTGAAGTGCATCTCCAACGACTTCATCGCGCCGTACCTCAACTCGCCCAACCTGCGCAACTTCCTCCACGTGGACGAGCGCGTAGGCGACTGGCAAATGTGCAACTTCGCTGTGAACTCTGCGTTCGCCAACTCGCACGATGTGATGATGTCGACGAGTTCATTTGTTGGTGACCTCCTCGACGATGGAGTGCGGGTGCTGATCTACGCGGGCGACGCCGACCTCGAGTGCAATTGGTCAGGGAATCTGGCGTGGCTCCAGGCGCTGAAATGGACTGGAGCATCGGCTTTCAATGCTGCCGAGATGCAAGACATGGCCGTCGAGGGTGAGGCTGCCGGATCGATGGTTGCAGCCGATACGCTCACATTTATTCGTGTCTTCAACGCAGGGCACATGGTGCCGCAGGATCAGCCTGCTATCGCGCTGGAGATCATCAACAAGTTCTACATGAATCAAGCATTTTGACCGGATCAGGTGATGAGTGTATGGTGAAAAGTAACATGATGTGGCATCAATTAGTTCCCTTGGTTAGTGTCCTCCTTGAGGCTCGACAGATGAAAAATATGCCGTCACCGAAGGAATTGACGCCGCTGGTCGGAGCTGATGCAGCCACAAGTCATCGCAATGTTGTCGCTAGTCGATGGGGTATCGTAGTGCTGCTACTGGCGATTCTTGCTGTGCTTGGCTTCACACTTGTCGATGTCATCACCTCCTCAGTGGAGCCAAGCCTTGCTGCTGACTGGAGCTATCTGTGCGATCCAGCGTCGAAGCAGGACGCAGGCTACGTCAAGCTGGCGAACAAGGCCGACGATCATTATTTCTACTGGTACTTCGAGTCGCGACGCTCGCCTGCAACGGACCCGCTGGACCTGTGGCTTACGGGAGGACCGGGCGGTTCCAGTATCATGGCCATGCTGGCCGAGAACGGGCCGTGCAAGATATTGCCCAACATTGCAACGGAGGTGAACCCGTACTCATGGACAGCTCAAGCCAACGTCGTGTGGCTCGACCAACCCACATCAGTTGGGTTCTCCCACGGCAGCCAGCAGGACAAGGACTTTAACGAGACCAACGTCGGAGAAAACATCTACTGGTTCTTACAAGGGTTCCTAGAGCAACACCCCGAGCTTGAAGGACGAGAGTTCTTCGTCACGGGCGAGAGCTATGGCGGTCACTACGTCCCAGTCGCCGCACACTACATCTGGAAGCAGAACCCCGTCAGTCCCGGGTCCCTTAAGCTCGATCTACAGGGGATTGCAGTTGGCAATGGACTTACGAACCCGATCATCCAGGTACGCGGCTAGTTGGAGTAGTGCGAGGTGCAGCTTGCTAACGAATTCATGTCCTGCGTGCTGCAGTATCCATACAATCCCGACATGGCGAACAACGTCTACAACATTTCGTTGCTGACGCCGGCCCAAACGCAGCAGATGCGGAGTGATGCAGCTGAGTGTGTTGATCTCACACAACAGTGCCAACTCGACAGCAACAGCCGCTCGATCTGTTCGGACGCCCAAGCGTGTTGGAAGCAGAAGCTCATCGCGCCGTTCGAGGCTGCCCAGCGCAACCGCTACGACATCCGCCAGCCGTGCCACCCCGCCTTCCCTCTATGCTACAATTTCTCCGGCATCCACGCCTACCTAGACTCGACTCGTGTGCGCGAAATGCTGCACGTCGACGCCGGCCTGGGGCCGTGGCTGGAGATCAACAACGACGTCCTCGAGACCTTCGTCGCGGACGGCGACTGGTCCATGTCGTACGACTCCTACGTCGCGGACCTACTGGACGACGACGGCCTGCGCGTGCTCATCTACGCCGGCGATGCCGATCTCATGTGCAACTGGATCGGCAATCGAGCGTGGACTTTGGAGCTCGACTGGCGGGGCAAGGAAGGCTTCAACGCAGCGGAAGAGCGAGCTTTCGTCCGTACTGTCCGACGGAGCGAAGACCATTGATGCTGGGGTGGTGCGCGAGTTCGAGAACTTTGCCTTCGTGCGTGTGTACAACGCCAGTCACATGGTGCCGATGGACCAGCCCGCCACTTCCCTCGATCTCCTCAACAGGTTCCTAGCCAACGAAGAGCTCTGATAATAAAGCGCAACCAGTGCGGATGGCGCTTCAGATTTGAACCGTACATAGCACTGACTACTGTCAGAATGTTTGCGAGTCGACTCGACATCAACAGGGTCATTCCTGAATTGCGAGCGTCCTGCACACGTCACCGCCCATGGCGCGCATGAACGAGAAGACCCGGTTGCTGCCCGCAGTGCAGGCCATCTACGGCTCCACCAGCAACAAGCTCCGGATCAGGAGGTGCTTGATCATCCTGGGCATCGTGACGGCTGTGGTTCTGTCGGGATTGAGCGTGTGGTGGCTGTTCTTCGATGAACCTGCGGCGGTGGCTGGCGACGAGTTCATCTGCGGAGACACTCGGAACGAGGCGGGGTATGTCAAGCTGGCGAACAAGGAGGACGACCACTACTTCTACTGGTTCTTCGAGGCGAAGCACAATGCGAGTACGGCTCCGCTGGTGATTTGGCTGACGCTTGGATTGACGCACTCGACTGGAGAGGCCAGAAGGAGTTTAACGCAGCAGAGGAGAAGACCTTCATGGCGAAAGACCCACTCAACTCGAATGCTGCAGTGACGGAGGCGGGCACTGCGAGATCATTCGACAACTTGGCTTTGGTACGAGTCTTCAACGCTGGCCACATGGTGCCAACTCACCAACCTGCAGCGGCATTGGACCTCATCAACAGGTTTTTCAAGAACGAAGCGCTGCAATCTTAGATTGCAAACGGTAGAACTAGAAAGGTGTAGTGCATGTACACGTACATCTACAGGGCGCTTTCAGTCACGGCGATGATTGCCAATCAAGCTTCCTCCGATCAGTTTGGTTTGCGCGTCATTCGGCAATTTGATCTGCAGGCCCCAAACGCAGGAAAGATGGCACAAGGTGAATCCTCACCGTTGGTGGCGCAGTCTTTCAATGAAAATGCGCGGAGCTATGATCGTAGCAGGAGGGCGCTGGTGCTCAAGTTTGCTCTAGGAGGAGCACTACTAGTTCTCGCGTTGTGGCTTATTCAAGACCATGGAGCAACCCGATCAGCCAAGAGTTTCGAGGGTTTGTACGTCTGCGGTGTAGCCAACAGCACGGCAGGCTACATCAAGTTGGTAAACAAGCAGGACGACCACTACTTCTACTGATTCTACGAATCTCACAGTGACCCCGAGACCGACCCACTTGTGCTGTGGCTTACTGGAGGTCCCGGTTCGTCCAGTATGTTCGCTCTACTCACGGAGAATGGCCCGTGCACCATTCAACCAGACCTGAGCACCAAGCTCAACCCCTACTCGTGGAACAACTACGCCAACGTCATTTGGCTCGACCAGCCTACCGGAGTTGGCTTCTCGTTTGGCTCCCCAGCGGACAAGGACTACAGCGAAACGAACGTGGGGGAGAACATCTACTGGTTCCTGCAAGGATTCATGGAGAAGCACCCGCAGTACCGAGGCCGCGAGTTCTTCGTGACGGGCGAGAGCTACGGAGGACACTACGTCCCCGCCGCGGCGCACTACATTTGGTCGAGGAACAAGGCGGAGGACGAAGCACCGACCGTCAACTTGCAAGGTTTCGCCATTGGCAATGGACTTACCAACCCCGTCATTCAGGTGAGGCAGTAACTTTAGAGTCCGTACTCCGTGTGTCGTGCGTATGTCTGACATTGCTGTGCTGTGTGCTTACTACCAAGACATGAACCAACATCGCGCTTCTTACCGACGCTGAAGAGCAGCAGATGAAGATCGACAGCGTGGAGTGCATCCGCTTGACGCGTGAGTCCGCGTAATGGGACGATCAGCAAGGTCGCCCAGCAGTGCTGGTCTGACAAGCTCATCGGACCTTTCAACAGCGCGAATCGCAACAACTACGACATCCGCCAGCCCTGCAGCAACAGCGACCGCAGTGCGACCTGCGACGACACGCCTACGATTACTGCGTATCTCAACTCCCCCGCAGTCAGGAAGTACCTGAACGTCGACGAGCGTGTGCCGGCGTGGCACGAGGACAGTAGCGAGGTGGAGACGACGTTCATCACCGATGGCGACTGGTCCATGCCATTCCACGACTTGGTCGCGAACATGCTGGACGACGGACTGCGCGTCCTCATCTACGCCGGTGACGCTGATCTCATGTGCAACTGGATCGGCAATCGCGCGTGGACTTTGGAGCTGAACTGGAGGGGCAAGGAAGGCTTCAACGCAGCGGAAGAGCGAGCTTTCGTCGCCCACGACCCCTTACTGTCCGATGGAGCGAAGGCCATTGACACTGGGGTGGTGCGCTCTTTCGACAACTTTGCATTCGTGCGCGTGTACGACGCCGGTCACATGGTGCCCATGAACCAACCTGCTGTGTCGCTGGATCTGATCAACAGGTTCCTCACCAACAAGGAACACTAGGTCGTCTGCGTCATGCTGACACTGGTTCGGCTGAAGCTTTGCGTAGCCTGACTGTCAGACTGACTGGATTGAAATGCATCTAATCCTCAATGATACATCAACTCATTCCTGAATCAGCGCTGTCAGAAGTACGCCATGGCGCGCGTGAACGAGAAGACCCGGTTGCTGCCTGCCGTGCAGGCCATCTACGGCTCCACCAGCAACAAGCTTCGGACCAAGAGGTGTTTGATCATCCTGGGCGTTGTCACCGCGGTGGCTCTATCGGGGTTGAGCGTGTGATGGTTGTTTTCCCACGACCACTGCGGCACACCGAGAGCGAGGCGGGGTATATCAAATTAGCCAACAAGCAGGACGACCACTACTTCTACTGGTTCTTCGAGTCTCGTGGCAGCCCCGCAACAGATCCGCTAGTGCTGTGGCTTTCTGGGGGACCGGGCGGATCCAGCATGTTCGCCTTGCTAGTTGAGAACGGCCCGTGCACCATTCAACCAGACTTGAGCACCAAGCTCAACCCCTACTCGTGGAACAACAACACCAACGTCATTTGGCTCGACCAGCTCGCCGGCGTCGGCTTCTCGTTTGGCTCTCCAGCAGACAAGGACTACAACGAAACGAACGTGGGGGAGAACATCTACTGGTTCTTGCAAGGATTCATGGAGAAGCACCCGCAGTACCGAGGCCGCGAGTTCTTCGTGACGGGCGAGAGCTACGGAGGACACTACGTCCCCGCCGCGGCGCACTACATTTGGCCGAGGAACAAGGCGGAGGACGACACACCGGCCATCAACTTGCAAGGCTTGGCGATCGGCAATGGGCTCACGAACGAGTTGATCCAGTACGCGCACAACCAAGACATGAACCACAATCGGTACAACATCAGTTTGTTAACCGATGCTTAAGTGGAGCAGATGAAGACCGACAGCGCCGAGTGCATCGAAGTCACGCACGAGTGCCAGTCATCCCCTCACCACCAAACTCTTTGCTTGCTTGGACCAGAATGCTGGACGAACAAGCTCGTGCTGCCTTTCAGCAGTGCGAACCGGAACTACTATGACATCCGTGAGTTTTGCAACAACAGCGACCCCGACGCAACCTGCGGCGACTTTCCTATCATCGCCAAGTACCTCAACCTGCCGTCCGTGCGCAAGTACCTGCACGTTGATGAGCGCGTTCCAGAGTGGATCGAGGACAACGAAGCCGTGCGCGACACGTTCGTTGCCGATGGAGACTGGTCTGCGTCCTTCCACACGTACGTCGCCGACATGCTTGACGACGGCGTCAGGGCTCTCATTTACGCCGGAGACGCCGACTTGATGTGCAACTGGATCAGCAATCGAGCGTGGATGCTGGCACTCGACTGGCAAGGCAAAGACGCAGCTGAAGAGCGAGCACGATAGTAGACCTATCGATGCTGGAATCGTCCGCTCCTTTGACAACTTCGCCTTCGTGCTCATCAACAGGTTCCTAGCTAACGAGGCATTCTAATACACAGTCAGATGCGCAGACATGACCAGCTTACTTTCCATTCAGTCCACTGCTTGCTACCGATCTTCGGCACAGCTGAATCGTCACCATGGTGAACGAAGCGACCCCCTTGCGTTGGGATATGCACGCGGCCGAGATCCAGCGGCAGAAGCGCATTGCCAAAATGGTGGGGCTCGGAGCGCTGGCCCTGGTGGTGGTCGTCGTGTTCGGCTGCGCGGCCATCGAGAACAGTGCGCGGTCGGTCGCTACCGTCACTGCTGCGGGCGACACAGTCATGTGTGGCACCGCAACCAACGAAGCGGGCTACGTCAAGCTGCCGCACAAGCAGGACGACCATCTCTTCTACTGGTTCTTCGAGTCCCGCAGAGCTCCTGCTACCGACCCCTTGGTGCTCTGGTTGAGCGGTGGCCCCGGAGTTTCCAGCCTCATGACGCTCTTGACCGAGAACGGCCCGTGCTTCGTTAAGGAGGATATGTCGACGGAGGCCAACCCCAACTCGTGGAACTCGGAGGCCAACGTCATCTGGCTGGACCAGCCCACGAACGTCGGGTACTCGTACGGCAGCCCCGCAGATGCCGACCACGACGAGAAGGACGTCCAGGAGAACGTCTACGCGTTCCTACAGGGGTTTCTGGACAAACACCCGGAGCTTCAAGACGGACCGCTGTTCCTCGCAGGCGAGAGCTACGCAGGCCACTACATCCCAGCAGCGGCGCACAAGATCCACCGCGAGAACAAAGCGGCGAAGTCAAGGCGTCTAAACCTCCAAGGCATCGCCATCGGGAACGGCTTGACCAACACCGTCGTGCAGGTAAGTCTCTAATGGATGATATGACAGGGCTGAGTGGGGCTGACTTGTAGTGTCTTTGATGAACTAGAGCGAGCACGGGCTGGACATGGTCAACAACTCGTACGGCGTCAAGCTGATGGACGACGATACATTGGCGAAGGCCAAGATCGCAGCAACGCAGTGCACTCAGCTCGTGACCGCGTGCCAAACCAACTCGAGCGTCTGCGTCGACGCGGCGCAGTTCTGTCAGTTCAACGTCATGGGCGCGTACGCTGCTGCTGGCCGCAATATGATGGACATCCGACAGGAGTGCACCGAGCTGGACCCGATCATGTGCTACGGCGACATGATCCAGCGGATCACGGCATACCTGAACTCGGAGGCCGTGCGCGCGTACCTGAACGTCTCGAGCGTGCACCCGGCGCCGTGGCAGTCGGTGGCGCCTGACGTCGAGCTCGCGTTCGCTGCAGACATGATGAAGGGGTTCGAGCAGGACGTCGCGGCGCTGCTGAGCGACAGCTCCGTCCGCGTGCTGATCTACCACGGCGACGCCGACCTGGTGTGCAATTGGTTCGGAGGCTTGGCCTGGACGCGCGCGCTGCAGTGGCAGCACCAAGACGAGTTCAAGGCAGCCGAGCAGCGGACGTTCGAGGTGGACGCGAGAGACGCCGGCAACGTCTGGGCGTACGCCGACCGACTCACGTTCCTGCGCATGTTCAACGCCGGCCACTTGGCGCCCATGGACCAGCCGGAGGTCGCGCTCGAGATGATCAACCGCTTCCTGCGCAGCGAGGCCTTGTAGTCGTCCTGTATAACTCATAGGCCGACGTTGAAGTGGTTGGCCTAAAAGATATCTGATTACAGCGGATACTCTGGCCATTCTATGCTCGGCTGACGTCTTGATCGCCCGAGCATTGCGAGCGTCGAGCATGGGTGCTGTCGTCACGACAGTGTCGTGCCGCGCCATGCGTGACCTGCGCTCGAGGCTCCACTGGAGGCTGCAGGCCACTTGAAATGCATTTGCTCGCCAGCGAGCTCTCCTCAGCGCTATGCTATGGCAGAGGAGTGGTGCAAAATTCCGGCGCGACGCTTCATTGCAGTGCTGGGCTCTGAAGCAGGGCCTGCACGCCTGCTGCAGGCGTGTTTGCCTCGCTGCAGAGCCTGCACTGCAGGCTGCAGGAGTATCGCAGGGATGGTACTGTACAGCCTCCTTCTCGTTCCGCGAACTTGCTGCAATGCAGCCAAGGCCAAGTCGCTTCAGTTGATTCCAGCACTGCTGCTAACGCTGCGTCAGCCCCCGCGCGGGCCAACACCACGTCGCCGCCGCGGCCATGGCCGCAATGTGGCCTCGCACTGCGAGTCGCAGCAATGACTGGCGGCGGCGCAAATCTCCGCGTCGACGCCGAGGTCGGAGCATTCCAAGCCCGGAGACCATCCATGCGCAGCAGGCTTCGATATTTGCGTGGACCGCGCTGGCTGGGATCCTCGAGTGCAACGGCTCTGCCACGAGAGAGAAGCGCAAGCAATTCCTCCTCACTTCTCGATTGTCGGCGCGCAGAGCACACGTAGATCCGCAGCCCAGTCCGTTTGAGCCCAACATGGCCACCGAAACCACCCCGCTGCGCGGCGAGCAGTACGCCTCAGACGCCCAGAAGCGCAAGCGCATCGTCGGCATCACCGGCGCCGTCGTGGTGCTAGCGGCCATCATCGTCGTGCTGTGGCTCACGCTGAGCGGCCACAGCTCTAAGTCCACCGAGGTGACGGTGCAGCAGACGCCCGAGCCCACCCCCGCCCTACGCACGGAGCCCCCCGTCGTCATCACGGAGGCCCCGGCTACCGAAGCGCCGGCTACCGAAGCGCCGGCTACCGAAGCTCCCGTCGAGCAGCCCGCCGCCGCTGCCCCCGCCGACCAGCAGCCCGCTGCCGAGCCTGCCGCCGCGGCCCAGCCCGTTCCCGCCGCTGAGCCCGTTCCTGTTGCCGAGCCCGTGCCTGCTGCCGAGCCCCAGCCTGCCGCCGAGCCGGCTCCAGCCGCTCCGGAACAGCCTGCCGAAGCCGCTCCCCAGGAGCAGCCAGCTCAACCGGCCGAGCCGGCACCGGTCGCCCCTCAGCAGCAGCCTGCTGCCGAGCCGGCACAGCCAGCCCCTCAAGAGCAGCCTGCTGCCCAGCCGGCCCAGCCTGCCGACGCGGCTCCCCAGGAGTAGCCCGCGCAGCCTGCTCAGTAAACACTGGCTCGCTGGAAGCTCCGAGCCCTGAGAGCACTGCCCTCTCGGTGGCGCTGCATGGCTCTAGCTGTTACCTTGGCTTAGTTGCCAGCCTAATTGCACACCCTTCTTATACAATGCCATTTTTGCCGTGCCTTCCATTGGCGTCGTGTCTAAGCTTGCGTGATACAGTGTCCAAGGGGGAGGGAAATGCTTCCAGCCGCTCTTCATGCTTGATGAAAGACCCCAGTGGCGCCGTCTGCCACGAGCAAGCACTCAACAACATTCCTCTTGTCCTGACGCCGAGTTGGGCTTGAGTCGAGCTGAGCTGCCTTGCGCGCCGCGGTTTGGCATCGAACTCAGATCTCTGACTCCCATCCGATGATTTGCATGCGACAGCCACATGCGTGTCAAACCCAAGCAGAAAACTGAAGATCACCGATCTTCCACGCGAGTCTCCGCATTGCAGTGCAGTGACGACTCCGCCAGATATGCAGCGTTCACCTCACGTGATCGCTCGATGAATCCAGCCGAACTGCGACAGGCTGCATCCCAAGAGGACAGGTACCGCCAGTGACTTTGCGCTCGTCACACTTCGCTAGCATTGTCAAAGATTGCTCGTGCCGCGAAGCCATGGTGACCGAGACCACCCCGCTGCGCAATGGCGAGCACCGACCGCCGCCACCGAATGCCGACCACAGGAAGCGGCTCGCCGGCCTGGCGGTCTTCGCCTTCGTCATGCTGGCCGTTGCCGTGCTGACGACCACGAACGTCGGTCGAAAGACGCATCCGCAGGCCATCCCACATCAAGGGTGGAGCAGACGCCTACCGACACGACGCCACTCAATGCCACGAGACACCAGTCGACGCCGGCGCCGCTCTCTAAGAACTGGTTCCAATGCGGCACCGAGACCAGCGAGTCCGGCTACATGAAGATGCCCTTCAACGTGGAGGACCACCTGTTCTACTGGTTCTTCGAGTCGCGCAGCGCTCCAGTCACGGACCCATCGGTGCTGTGGCTGACAGGCGGAGGATCGAGCTGCTCGAGTCTAGCGGCCTTGCTGACTGAGAACGGGCCCTGTCGGATCAACGCGGACAAGACGACGGCGTTGAATCCTCACTCGTGGACGTCACAGGCCAATGTCATTTACCATGTCATTGGTTACCTTTTTTACTACCCTTATTTCACCCTGACCGGAACTTTTACCCGGAACTCTTTCTTAGTGAAAAAGAGCGCATGTTTTCAATGACCTGAGAATAACCCGGAGAAGATATATTTGCCAAGTTCATGCGGGCATATATATCATCTACATCGCCATCTACCCTAAGAAACTATTATTATCCAAATCTCTCACAAAACTATACTTATCCGCAGCATTCTCGCATGGGAAGGCCCCATGGCAATAGCAGCACATACCATCTTCCTGCTTTCCGCACAAGCGCAGCTCCCTGTTCAACCACAACAAACTCTCGAGACGTCTAGATGACCCGCCAGGGCACCCAGCAAAAAAAGAAGCGCTCCGTCCGTCGCAAGGTCGGCAATGATGCGAGTGGGAACACTCTCGAGTTGCAAGCGCTGTCCCTTGATGATCCATCTGACCAAGTCCAAGCTGCCGGTGATCACATGATGCTACCCCCTGCTAGCCAGGAACCCATGCCACGAGCCAAGAAAAAGCGAGGGTCGAAAACGATCAAGATCTACAAGGGCTTTCGATATTGCAAGACTGGTACTCGAAGAAGCACATTGCATATCGCTGCAGTACTTCGAAGACTTCTGGCTGTAAGGCCACGCTCAAAGTAACCTCGGCCGCTGTTTGGTGAACACACGTGCCGTCCGGTCCCGGTATTGAATGGGCAACTCAATGATGAGACCGACGCAATGAAACGAACTACAGATCAGCTAGCAACCCAAAATCCAACAATGCCAGAGGGCGACATTTGGGAGCAAGTATGCGAGGCGTTCTACGGTCCCGATAGAGAAGAGCTGTTAGACGGATTGACAGAGGAGCAAGTTATCGGGCGTATCCGTCGCATTCACCGCCGATACTACGGTGGTGATATTCACGGAGTGGTGGAAGTCCCTCCCTTCTCCAAAGTGAAAGACTCGGCCATCCCATTCTTCCGGTTCCATTTGGTAACGGCCCACCCCGATCCTAAGAAAGCACCAAGTCGTGTGCTAGGCTGGGCCCATCCTGCGCTGAAAGAGCTTCTACTCTACAACAGCGTATCTCTTTTCCTCGACGGTGCTTTTCGATCTGTGCCACGAGGATTTCGCCAGTGCTTGATCTTAATCGTGGATGACCCAGCGCGTAACCTGTTCACACCGGTATACTTCGTGCTCTGTACGTCCCAGACTGAGTCCATGTACGACGATATCCTGCATCTCATCTACCGCGACACCGGCAAAAAGCTCAATCCTGCAGAAATTGTATGTGATTTCGAGTTTAGCCTCATCTCATCTGTTCAGACCCGGTTCCCGAACGCTGAAGTGGTGGGCTGTTTCTTCCATTTTAAACAAGCCATTCGCCGGCGACTGAAAGACGAGCGCATCTCCGACGACGAAGTGACTATCGCTATGGAGTCTGGCGTCTTGGACATTCTCACTGTAATTGATCCAGACCTCGTCGATCCGAAGGGCATCGCATGGGTGAAGCAGGAGATCAAGCAGAGGTGCATCGCGAACAATTGCCCATACTCACGCCGTGAGTGGAAAAGTTTTTGGGTTTACTTTAGAAAAACCTGGCTTGAGCGATTCTACATCACAGAGTGGAATGTGTTTGGTATCGCCAATACTATCGTGGCGCGCACAAACAACCCCTTGGAGAGGTTTAACAGGGAGATGAACGCCGCGTTCAAGCCCCACCCAAGCTTCGACACTTTGTTTCTACAATTGCCAAAATTTCAACTGCTTACGCGCAGCGGCAAGCCAACATCACGCGCGGTCTACGCAAGAAGAAACAGCGTCCACCACGCATTGAGTTGCCGGCTGCCCCCGACTTAGCAACATTTGAAGTTCCGCCTGAGTCGGAAGATGAAGGTGACTATGATGAGCTTGGTGACCAGTCCGACGGCTCCGTCGAATCAGCTCGTAGTGGCGAAGCTGATCACTCTTCGGAGGAAGATGAGCCATCCCGAAATGCGCAGTCGGCCGAAGACTTGCAGCAGGAAATTGATGAGCACGCTAACACTTACAACTTCTTCCTTGACTCGGACAGTGACCACGATCCAGATGAAGAAAATGGCGTGGAGGAGTGGTCATTCTAGCCCTCAGACTGCGATCATGCTGCGACGCGCTGAATCGTCGAGCTACGCACCTGCATAACTCAACACACACCATAACTTACATTAAACACTGCTATTAAATATCACTTCAATGCACACTCTTGCTTTACCCGGATGTTTGGCCTGACCTGGTGTTTTACCCGGGAAAAAGGTCCGGGTAAAAGTTCCGGTCAGGGTGAAATAAGGGTAGTACAAAATCCTACCATGTCATTTGGCTGGACCAGCCTGTCGGTGTCGGATTCTCGTACGGCATACTGTCTACAACGACTGGTTCCTGCAAGGATTCTTAGACAAACACCCGGAGTTCGAAGAAAGAGCTCTGTTCCTGGCGGGGGAAGGATATGCGAGTCAATACGTACCGGCAGCCGCACACTACATCTGGAACGAGAACCTACCCGTCGAGAAGGCGAACGCTTCGGTCCGTCTTAACCTCCAGGGTATCGCCATTGGCAACGGTCTGGTGAACCCCGTCATCCAGGTATGCATGCATGAGTATCTTATCTACCATATCCGCACAGCAAGTAACCCCATTATGCTTTCGTGTAGATGCCGCATATATTGGACATGGCTGTCCAGAACTCGTACAACATCAGCCTCTTCAAGAGGCCCTCTTGAGCCCCACTCAACTGGCAGCTGTAAAGGAAGCACAGCCAGTCTGCAAGGAACTTCTGATGTTTGCCAGACGAACAGCAGCGCGTGTACAGGCTCCGCTCGCTACTGCTCAAGCTTGCTGTTATACGCAATGGACGGGTCTCTTCGCAACAAGTTCGACATCCGCAAGGAATGCGACTCGAGTGAACCATCCAAGTGCTACAACACGACTGCAGTGACCGAGTATCTCAACTCGAAGGCTGTCCGCGAGTACCTCAGCGTGTCCGACCAAGTGCCTTCATGGCAGCAATACTCGAATTCCCACTTCTCACCCGACTTGATGAAGAGCGTCGACCGATACGTCGCCGATCTTCTGAATGACGGCTCCGTCCGCGTGCTGATCTACAACGGCGACGCAGACTTGGTTTGCAACTGGCACGGAAGTCTCGCATGGACGAAACAGCTCAAGTGGACGCATCAGCAAGAATTCAACGACGTCCAGCAGCGTGCTTTCCACGTGACTGGCGAGATTGATACAATCGACGCCGGATCCGTTCGCTCGTTCCAGACCCTGTTCACCTTCGTCCGAGTCTTCGATGCTGGCCACTTGGTGTCCAAAGACCAACCAGCTATCGCGCTCGAGATGATCAACCGATTCCTCAAGAATCAACGCTTGTAAGAAAAAAGAGGCCAATTCACATCAGCTGAATGAAAATGACTTCTTTCCCTGAAATAACGCCAAATAACATTTTATTTCAGCCAATCATATGCGAGATCAGCCAAAAATAATATTGACCACTAAGCATCGAGGAATCCTGAATGGGAGTTCCGGCTCTCAGTCGTAGAAATTGGTCGGAAATGGAGGGCGGTGACGGTCCACCGAAGGGCACGTGCCCTACGTGCCCTAAGCTCGTGGCGAGGTCGAACATGGCCAAGCACCGCAAAGTGTGCTTCCATCGCGCCGATTTGAAAGTGAACACCTGGCGAGAAGCCGACCAGGTCGTACTTTATTGTACACACACATCGTACCTTTTGGTATGAAGTCGTATTTTTTAGTATGAACTCGTACATTTTCGTATGAACTCGTACTATTAACTCGTAGATTCTGGTATGAACTCGTACTTTTTGGTATGATCCCACTTCAAAATTCACCATAGTCCTCAGAAAAAAATCAAATCTAAAATTCTCCAGAAAATTTGTCGACTACCTTTTTTTACCCAAGGTGGTCGATCATTGGCCAATTAACACAGAATAACTGCCAAATGTTGTTTCAGCAAAAAGAAGTTGCTTCCGATGACGAGCCCATACAAAGTCCTAATACAGAGATTCGACTTCCTCGGACCGAAACAACGTCTCAAGGCGGCCGAAAATCATTTTATAGGGCTCGGGCTATTTCCATACAAACTTCTCGATAGTGACTACGAGGGGCTACTATTGAGGTGTTATTTCAGTCAGAGTAAGCTCTACATCCATTTTTTTTTACCCCCTTCTCTTCAAACCAGCCAGTCCAGAATCTCCTGCTTGAGAGACAATGGTGAAGCTGAGTTGCGTGATAGTTGGCGTGCCTGGGGACCCGTTCCAGGTTGAAATCGACGAAATATGTGAGCTGGTGGCGGGTTTGAAGGACGCAATCAAGAAAGAGAAGCCAGACTCCATCAAATGCGATGCAGACAAGTTGCAGCTCTTCAAGGCTGCAAAAGAGGACAGAACGTTCTCGGCGTCCGGTGCCGAAGAAGAGAAGAAGGACTTCAGATGGCTGAAGGCTGCCTCAGACGACGTGAAGAAGTTGAAACATGGCGAGAAGACTGCTGCAATCGAAGCAGTAGTGCGAAAAGACCAGGTTCTTCGTGGCAAGGAAACTGTGTCGGACGTGTTGATGGGAATGGAGTCGCCATCTATAAGCCAAATCCACGTGTTGGTGGTGCTGCCTGAGGATTCGGAGAGCGAGGGGGGCACTTCAGCTCAACCAGCAGAGAAAGAACGGCTGCTGAAGTTCCTACGCGAGCAAGCTGCGGACAAGAAGCGCAAGCGGTACTGGCATTCAGAGATGGACATGGACCAGGGATGGGAGCTTTTGGATGACTTCGACCTGACGGTGAAACCCGTCAGCACAGTTCACGCTGAGGCTGATCCAGCGGATTCCTTCAACTGGCAGAGCGACCTCGTTCAAGATGGCCAAGAAGTTGTGCTGACCGAGGAGCAGCAGCGAGGAAGGTACCGGGAGTACGTGGAACGCAACATCGGCGCCGTGCTCAAGGAGAACAAACTGTGTGTGACTGCCGTGGACGAAGGTGAAAATGTCCTCAGTGTTGACGTGCCTAAGCTTGGCATTGAGCTCCGAGGACGCACAGATCTCCTCGTATTGAGTGATATCGTAGAGGAAACCTCAGATTATTTGATGCACTTGCCTGAAGTGAAGATGCTGATTGAAGTGAAAAGAGACGCCGAAGCGTCCGACTTCCAGGCGTTGTCAGAGCTGATCGCCTTGGATATTCTCGCGGAGGACCCAGTGATGGCTCTGCTTACCGACTTGAACCAGAGCTGGAAGTTCTTTTGGGTGTCCAAGAAGAGCGACGACTCCGACTGCATCTGCAAAGCGACCATCAAATCTCCAGGCGAGGCCTTCCAGGTGATCCGAGCGCTCTTGACGGCTTCTGCAGAGACCAAGCTCCCGTGCTTTCACCAACCTTTGAAACGATTGAAACTATCCCAACACCGCGGGTACAAGAACGCCGAGTGCCTCCAGCAATACTACAAAGTCGCTGAAGTGTCAGGCCCCGACTACGAGCTGGCACGCGCTGTGGCTGAGCATCTCGTCCGATCGATGCCTGGGTATTGTTGCGCGAACGAATCTGAGCCCTGAGAGATGCTGCAAGGGCGGCTACAGCCTGATTTTGATCATTAGGACGAAGTGCACCAGAACCCGAGGAATGTACTTCAACTTCCAAGTTGAAGTCATAGGTCTAGGGTAATATTGATTTTCCACCAATCCCCTCTCGACTTTGACTTTGTGATGAGTTTTGTAAAAAATCACTCTTGGATCTGCGCGGAGGAAGATGCGGCGCACGTCCGAGCTGACGCCGCTGGTGGCGGAGGGCGCGCGCGTTCCACGGCCGTCGGAGCCTGTGCAGCGCCCGCGCCGCCTCTCCACGCGCGCGTCGCTACTCGTGGCCGCCGGCGTGGCGCTGCTGCTCACGTTCGCGTTCGTGATGCGCCAAGACGCGACGCTATCAAGTGTGAAGAGCCTCAAGGGCGTCGTCACTAACAAGTCTGAGAGACCCGAACAAGATTTCTTCTGCGGGATTACGAATCACGAGACGGGCTACATTAAATTACCCAACAAGGACGACGACCACTACTTCTACTGGTTCGTCGAGTCGCGCAGCAGTCCGCAGAAGGACCCTTTGGTGCTCTGGCTCACGGGCGGCCCCGGCTGCTCCAGCATGATGGCGCTACTGGCCGAGAATGGTCCTTGCCACGTGCAGCCGGACCTGTCCACCAAGACCAACCCGTACTCGTGGAACGGACAGGCCAATGTTATTTGGCTGGACCAACCCACAGGCGTGGGCTACTCGTACGGCCCCAAGGTGGACTACGACTCTGGGGAGCTCAATGTGGCGGAGAACATCTTCTGGTTCTTGCAGGAATTCCTCAAGAAACACCCGGATCTTGCCGACCGGGAGTTCTTCGTGACGGGGGAGAGCTACGGTGGACACTATGTCCCCGCCACCGCCAGCCACATACTGAAGGCCAACATGCTCCGTCACTCGAGCTCCGAGACTTTCCATATCAATTTGGCGGGGATTGCAGTAGGCAACGGACTCACGGACCCGGCGGTGCAGTACCAGCACAGTGTCGACATGGCCTTCAACTCATACAACGTGTCGCTGCTGGACGAGCAGGGGATCGAAGAAATGCGCAAGGCGCAGCCAGTGTGCCATGAGCTCATTCTGAGGTGCCAGAAGGAGCGGTTGGCGTGCTTTGATGCTATGGAATTTTGCTTCGGAGCGCTGGAAGGACCCTACTACCAGTCAGGACGCAACCCGTACGACATCCGCGAGCCCTGTGCGGAGGAGAACGTGATGAAGTGCTTCCACTTTGAGCACATCGACGAGTACTTGAACTCGCCGGCGGTTTTGGACAAGCTCGGTGTGGATGTAGACAAGTCGAAGCCTTGGCGTGAGTGCGATGCCACGGTGGGCGCTGGGTTCGTGTTCGACGAAATGGTGTCCTCGGCCAACGACGTGAAGCTGCTTCTGGATTCAGGCGTGCGTGTGTTGATCTACGCTGGTGATGCCGATCTCATGTGCAACTGGGTGGGGAACCAGGCGTGGGTGATGGAGCTGGACTGGAGTGGCAAGACGGAGTTCAACAACGCGCCGAACCGCCCCTTCATTACTTCTGAAAGCGTGGACGCAGGGCGTGTTCGCGCGTTCGAGAACTTGGCTTTCATCCGCGTGTTCAATTCCGGCCACATGGTGCCGATGGATCAGCCTGCAGTCTCGTTTGAGATGATCGACAAGTTCTTTCAAAACGAGGAGTTCTGATTGTAAACGAAGTAAAATGGAAGGAGCAGATGTGGCCAAGAGCACTGTTCATACGCTGGTCTTAATATTGTCAATTACTTTGAAGTAGATGCGAGTAGTGATGGGGTGGGCTTGCTTTTCGTGTTACTTGAATGCAATTGTTTTGTGGTTTACTTCTCGAGTGATGGATTGTCGGAATACTACACCTTTGCCCGGCCATAGTTGGCCTAATTTGCAAGCAAAGTTGTCATGAATATTGGATGTTCCCCTCCTTGAGAGATCGCGCGCGTACAGCTGCCGCTTGATGAAGGGCATGCAGACGCGGATCGGACACTCAAGAAGCTGCACGCACGCACACACGCCTTCGCCTTCGCCATCTTGCCTCTGTGCTGGCGTCACTTCGCAGTGCGAAGTTCGCACTCTATCAGAGTACGCCAAAGGTCTTGAGTTTGCGAGGGAAAATGTGTATTACGTCAACAGTCGTTGGTGGGAATTAGACAACTTTGAATGAAACGAAAGTCATACTTTAGGGAATGTAATGTACTCTCTGGTACCTCCAATATTCATGACAACTTTGCTTGCAAATTAGGCCAACTATGGCCGGGCAAAGGTGTATACTCAGAGCATCGGGTGATATACCAGCGTCTGTACTGTAGATACCACAATTTGACTAGCCGATGGATTCCTGCATCGTGTACAGTTGCCAAGCCGGCGACAGCTTCAGCGCTGGTATTTGAGTTTTAAGCTCTTGTTAAAAGACAAGAGCTTACATCACTACTGGAACCCAAACGCTTGTTGTGTGTATCACCCGGCGTTGTCGTCAACTTGTCAATCTCACCTTATAAATTTGCAGGCTGCGAGCATCAACTACGTCACACACTGAGAGCCACCGAGTGTATGGCGTAGTTGAGCCAGAGGAGACCACTGCATGCAAGGGCCGGGCATGCTCTAGAGTAGACCATCGGCACTCGGAGTGCCACCAAACAGAAGTAAGGAGAAGAAGAAGATGTTGATTAACTGCTTAATGAACGTCTCGTTTCCAATTATGCATACATGCATTGGGGGAAAATGCATTTCATTTTGGTTATGGTTCAAAGTCATGAGGTTCCTTGCTTGAGGAGCAAGGTGCCGAGTGGCAACCCCAAGGGATGGAGGGCGGGTCGAAAAAGTGATCAAATGCTGAGGGCCGCCGAATGGCCCTCCTCCGTCGTCCGGGCCGAGTTCCGTTCCGATGCTCGCTGTCACCGCGAACCAAATATGCCAAGGGGTCGCCTGCACACGCCAACCGCGCTCGACGCCTATTCCTGAAGTACGAATGTTGGTAGGCGTCCTGAATTTGTAGGCGCTTGAAATCCCTTCTGCATCAGGAAAACCCGTTTATCGCCCATCGCCAGCTCCGCTTGCCCTCTTCGATAAACATGCATTTTGCTAGCTACCGCAATATAACCTGACTAAGTGTTGAGCTAGTTATTGACGGGGAATCCAAATCCGACTAGATGGTGGGGGAATAAGTTGCTCACAGGGATCTTCGAATCCCAATCTCAGAGGGTAACTTGGACTGCATGCTTGTCAAATCCAAGCTCTGTTGAATGTCGAAAAATAAATTGGCAATGCCGGCCAAATGTCGCCTTCACGCTTTGTATGCTTGGTTTGTCAGCGTCCGTCTCATGAAAGTACAGTATATATCATTACGAGGTCTCCATATACGATGAAACGCGCCAAAGCAGCAGCATTTCCTTCTGATGCCGTCTCCAATCTGCTTTGGGATCCCGCGGCTTAGAAAACAGCAGTAGCCGCCAATCTAATTTTGCAATAAACGCTTGGCTCCGCGGCTGCCACATTGTCTGCCACACTTCGTCCAGTGCCGGGCACGCACCAAACAGAAGCAACCCCGGTAGCAAGGTCCCAGTAACTTCCTGTTATGTTAATTGCAGTAGGATACTCGAGAAAAATTCGCTCTGCGGTTCTTGCAGAGCGAGAAGCCACCGATTCACTCTCCGACATGGTAGTCTACCATGTCGGAGAGTGAATCGGTGACACTAGTTGTTCGACTTAGTATGGTAGTTCGAAGCAAAAAAACAAAACACAAAGGCGGTCTCGTTGTCGGTGATGTGCATTGGAGAGGAGTGATCACTGATTCGTGCTAGTCGCCGTTGCAGAGGATGCAGCCTAGGTGCCGCTTGCTATCATCTACTCCATGCCAAGCTTCTTGGCTTGCTTCCGAAGGTATTCATACATTTTACCCTCGTCATTCTTGAACTGTTCCATCTTTGAAAGCTTTTTCGGTTTTGTCAGCTTCAGCTTCGCCAAAAGTCCCTTGATACTCCAGAGTCGCCCTTCGTCTATGCTGCCGTCGACACGACGCAGCTGCCGTCCGTCCTCGGCGTGGGTTGGGTCATGACAGGCAGACGAAGCCGTGTTCCCGACCGCAGTGCTGGGATCCATGGCCGAAGGGAATGCAGAGCCACTGGCGAGGAGAGTGGCCGCGATCACTGTTGCAAATACAAAAGCGAGACGCATACAGTCGGTCCTTAAAAAGGGGCTCCTCACAACTCGCGCTGCTTGTGACCCGCAAAATAAGTTGTGGAATGCGGTGCGCAGCTTGCTCTGTTCAGCGCTAAATGTACTGCGCTGGTCTGCGGCTGTGAGAAGTTTCCCCTGCAAGCATATATACTGTAGTGCATGGATTGCTTTTGATCATGTTTAGTACACTTTTTTTTTTACTACGAAGTACGTGTTTAGTACCCATTTACTCACAGTTAACTATATGTAGTTATTTGTATCTGTACTGCCCGAATGAAGACTCAACCTATGCGCGAGTGAAAATGTTCAGGGGATATTGTTCCCGATTTGATCTCTCAAGACAAAACGCATTTGCTTATTTCGTTTCTCTAGATTAGGGGTCCCGAACTGGTGGTCTGGGGTATTCGCAGTTCTCAGCAACGATAAGATACCTTCATGGAATTCCGACAACACAGACACACCCGCTAAAATCGTACATGCGGATTTTCAATTAACCACCAAGCACATTCTAATAAACAAATATTCCGAAATTATATCCTAGCGCACTTGTGAAGTATATTTTGAGTTGGAAAGTATACTTTACTATCAGTAAAATATCCGCGGCCATCTCCTGCGCCTACTTCACAACCGCAGCAGCTGCCCTGTGTTGTCCCTCAAAGCAAGGGTTAATGACAGTGAAGAGTTTAACAATTAATAAAATAATTCTCCTAAAAATATCTGCGGCTTAAATGCCATTGTAGCTCGTCCACATTGGCAGCAACAAGTCTTGTAATTCATTGGCAACGATAGGCCTCGTTGTCGCATATTCATCGCCGCTTCAATTGTATTCAATCCATAGTTCGCATTTCCGAAACGCTTGAGTTCTATGATGGTCAAGGGTCGTTAATTGCCATGTAAATCAAGATGAAGACTACAGTAGTTCTTCAAACTGCGAATTCCCACATTCATTTTTTTTCTTTGCAAAAAAGGCACACGCTACAACTATATGTAGTTTTTGACTGAAGGAGAGATACGCTCGGCTGTAGTGTTCTTCTAAAGATACCGTGCTTCAAAAACAGTGAAAATAATGCAAAACGCAATCAGACATACCAAGAACTTCTCTCAGTATCAACTAGATTCGACTCGGAATAGTTATAAAAAAAACAGTTTGCGCTGATAACTGTAAGAATGTCCGCTTACTCCACGGGAGCGCGCTTGCTGTTAACAGTGTCTCCGCCCCCTTCAGCAGCGTTACCATGCTTCAGCAAACGACTCAGCTCTGCCTTGTTGCTTTTCAGCTTCTGTTGACACTCCGTGTACCAGGTGCGGGCCTTGGTGATTGTCACAATCACTTTCCCCTTTGTTGAGCTCGCTTCCATCTCGAACGAGGCATTCTTTTGACTGTTGCGCACCCAGTTTGCAGCGCAGTTCTGTGCGTCTTGAAGTCCTTTGAATTTGTGCACACTCTTGGTCATCTTCATGGAGACATCGGGGCCTCGGAGAAACGCCTGCACCTTGGCGTTATCCTTAAACTCGGCGTCGCTCATCTCCCAGGAGAAAGGTTTGTCCAGAGCTTCAACTTGACTTTTGAGCCATTCGACTCGCTTGGAGACCATGGAGGCGAGCACAGGATATCTGTCGCTCGTCGGGTCCATGGTACGGATACACTGCGAGATGGCCGTAGTGATGTACTCCAGAAAGCCTGGGTCTGTTGGCTTGAACAGGTTCACCACCGACTCAAAAAGGCTTTGATCTTGGCAACGAATAGCGTTCTCCCACAGCAATTCAACCGGCCCTCCCAAGCAAAAGTTCTCGTGATCACATTGGGCCGCCTTTTCCACTGCAATTTTGAGCAGCGCTCGCTTGGCTTCCCCATCTTCCAGACCGGCAGCCACCCCCAGAGCCATATCGAGGCTTGGCACACCGGCAGCTTCTCTGTAATTAACCCTCCGTAAGCTCTTCAAAATGCCTTGGCTAATGTCGCCCCAGCCAAACGTGCGCACGATCGAGATGATCGGCTGGATGAGACTTTCATTGTCTTCCAGGCCGTCCAAAGCGGGGAAAAACTGTGTGAAGAACAAGCTCGCCAGTTCAGCATCGCCAGTGGCCACGAGCAATTCACACAGAACCAGGCAAAATCTGACTGAAACCTGATTAGAATCCGACATCTTCCTCGGGGCTTGAAGCCTTTCGTCCAGATCTTCCAAAAACTCGCGAAGTAGTGCAGCATCGGTTGAATTTTGAGCTCGCAGAAGCTCAACGGCGATGTCTTCTGGCATCAACTCCAGCGTTTTCTCCGTGTGGACAGAACTTGGCCACGCGATGATCGCATACGTCGAGTATACTCTGCTTTCTGTTGGCCCCTCGTTTCCCATGTACCCTCCAGATTTGTAGATTCCATGCGGCATCCACAGCTCAAAAAGCGTCTCCCGAGAAGGATTGAGGAAATTCAGTGTTGCCGACGAGCTTCTCGTAGAGCCCAACGCGTCTCCAGCCATGGAATACCAGCCGATAGAATTCACGTGCCCGTCTACATGACTACGACTATCGTATGAGATGTCGTGGGAAAGCTTTGCGATATAAAGCTTCAATTGCTTGTCGGTGGGAAGAGCTGTATTTGCACCCTCGAGTACTCCAACTCTTGCACGGTCGATACCTTTGAAGGCCCTGAAGCCCAGATCCACGATACTTTTCTCAGTGTAGTTGTGGCCCAGCAACAGCGTGAAATGGCCATCCTCATCTGGGTCCAAGTTTGCTATGACCTCATCCAGTTCTTCAATCAGGCCTCCGTCATTGCCTCGCTTGGCATAGTGCATCGTTTTCGGCAAGCATACCGAATACACCAGTGCTAGTCGATACCCCTTCGTCACCTTCTCCAGAGCATGTTCGGAGTCTGCATAATGGACTGCATACTGAGGTATGAAAGCCGCTGTTCCGTCCGCTTCCCAAAGTCGTGGCGATAACGAACGTCTCCACCACGATACACTACGAGGTCTCCTCCCTCGTGCAGACTGGGTAACTGGACCACCAGAGTAGCAATCATTCCATCCTCCTTCTCATGTCCTGGTGCTTCACAAAGTGACCACCTTCTCCATACAGCAACAGTTTGTACAGCACAGACTCCAATGAGATATCCTCGTAACCCAAGCGAAGCGCGATCGTCTTCGTGAGCTCATTGATGCCAGACTTCCACAATGGGTTTTTGAGCTCAACGAAAGCCGGCTCCAGTTGCCAGCTCTTCCGCACGCTCTCGTCCATTTTGGTGTCCAAGTTGTGTCCGAACGGGGATTTTTCACACCGAGCGACCAACTTTTTGGCTTGTTCTGCTGTAATCGGAACTGGAATTGTTCCCACTCCATCGACGAACAAACCCGGTGTAGATGGCAAACCGTCAGCTGGCCCCCCAAAAGAATACTCACCGGCGTTTTCATCTGTTCGAGCTAGAATCTTGTTAATTCGTGCGCATCCAGCGCCAGACGGGCTTATCACATCTACCCCCTTCCCGTTGCTACCAAAGGCCACTCACCATCGTTGAAGTCATCCATATCACCGTTACCTTCTTCCATGTTGCTGCTACAGCTAGAGAGCTTCACTTGGTAATTATTCCGAATCTTTGGAAGTGACCGGGTTTTTCAAGAAAGATCTGGGGCGGTCTCCATCCATCAATCTTTAATTTTTCAGTCAATCCTTGAAATTCCAACTAATCACCTCTATCCATCAAACTAAGGGGAACTTGTCCATTTTCAACGTATCACACAGAGCAAAAGTCATATCGGACGACAAAAGTATGGTGGAATCGCAAAACCAAGACCCGAATCTCAGTGAAAACTTCGGCGACAAGGAGTGGCCATTCAGCGGCAAGGGAGGGCTCGATGAAATTCCAGTCTCCATGGGAGCTGCTTGCATCAAGATCAGCGACATCTTAGGAAGAGCGAGCGAGCACCCTGGCTATTTCTCCTTCGGAGGACATGCCGATCAACTGCCTGCAGTTCCCGGCATATTTGTGGAGGGGGTGGGGCCCATCCCGGTTCCTTTATGGGAGGAGAGAGCCCTGAGGCTCATCGAGAAGTGCGCAATCGTTCGGTCACAACATGGACACCAAGATGGACGAGAACGTTCGGAAGAGCTGGGAACTGCAGCCTGATCAAGTGCAGTTCAAGAATCCGCTGTGGAAGGCAGGAATCAAAAACATGGCTGTGGCTATTGCGGATCGATTGGGGTACAAGGACATTCCGCTGTACTGTTGTGTTGTCTAAGTTGATGGTGTGTGGAGTAGGGGGGAATTATAGAAAGCACCAAGACACGGAGAAAGAGGACGGTATAATTGCGACGTTGGTCGTGCAACCTCCGAGCTTGCACGAAGGAGGCAATTTACTCGTGCGTCGGTACAATGAAGTAAAACACTGTCACGATTTCGGGAAAGAGGCCGGAACCGCAACGTTCCTACCGCATTATGCCGTCCATTACGCTGGCGCAGCGCATACCCTTGAGATGGTGACGAAGGGGTATCGCCTCGCACTGGTGTACTCTGTTTTCTTGTAAGCAGACATGCGGCACTTGGAACGAAACCCATTTCGACCGATGGATGGAGAACTAGCAGAAGCCATTGAGACTATGGCCTCCGGAGACGACAATTTCGCGCTGTTGCTGGATCACGAGTACACGCAGAATTGTATTAGGTGGTTCGGGTCAGGCGCACTGAAGGGCGTTGACCGCGCGAGGGGGCTAGCGCTTGGGAAAGCGAACTCTTCCGTTTCCGCTGAGAAGAAGCTGCAGTTTTACCTCGTCGAGTTGCACTACCAAACTGCGTTTTACGGAAATGGTGGTGATAAAAGTCGCCAGGAGAAAGCTATTTGGTATAGTGCGTATGGGTCTTGGGTTGGGCCTGGCGACAAAGTGGAATTGAAGCTCAACTTCCTCAATCCTTGCCATGAAACCCATGCTCAGCGGTGGAGAAAGCCGTACGGAAGTAGTGACGAGCGTGTCTACACGGGCAACGAGAGACGTCGATATGCGATTGTTGCTTGGCCCATGGCGGATGACGCGGAGAACGCAGTGAAGTTCGTTAACATCGAAACTGCGGCAGAAATTCTGGCGAAGTTACCATCCATGGATACGGCAAAGTTACGCAAGTTTATGGATGCGGGGGATGCCAAGTTGGCAATCCTGGATGCTCGGGACAAAGAGTGCCAAGCGGACCCGCGGCGCCGCCAGGAAAAGTTTATGCCTGTTGGAGCACTTTGGGATCTGTGCCGTGCATTAAGCAAGCTGTCGAGAATGCGGTTGACTCAACGCTGGTAAATTTATTTTTCACCAACTTTCTCAAACGAATGATAGCCACGTGAGCTGGCCGTATCCCGTGGGGCGGTGTGACTGTGACCGAGAAGATGCTGTGTGTTCAACACATTGTTGCGATGTTAGAGAGGTTTGAGTGGAGTGACGTCGGACAGGGGCTACTTCAAGCGTTGGCTGGTGCGAATGATAAGGAGGTTGCCACCACTGCTCTAGCCATAGCTAGACGGCTAACACGTCGGAACGCGCAACAATCGCTGTTGGCCTTGGCGGTGGAGAAAGCCACGAAGCTTGATGACGAAAACCTGAGTTCATTCAAGTCGCTGGATACGTTGTGGGCTCTAGCTTTCAGCCGTGGCAACGAGAGCATGTTCCAGACCCTGAGCAGCAAATTCCAGCAAATCAGTCCGAGATTGTTGCAGGGTGCGATCAAGACTTTTTCCTGCGTTCTCAGCGATACCGGCTTTCCCGTTGAGAGGAAAGCGGTTTAGCGTGCATTCTCGCGTGCAGACGCGAGTGGTTGGCTAGCCAGATTCGCGTGCTGGAGAAGCCGTTTTCGTGGGAAATGCCTGCCGCAGAGTTTCCTGGCTTCCCTGAAGTGGAGATATTTCTACGCAGTTCCGAAGAGATGATGACTACGGAGGGGATGCTTCTTTCTGAGGACGAGCGGAGGGCCCAGCTTACAAATACGCTCTACGCAATGAATAATATTCAAATCAAGTCTTCCTTCCGCATGAACAGGGATGGCACTGGGGAAGAATTGCGCTCCCGTTTGCAAATAATCAAGACGCGGTCGTGGTACGATGAGAGCCAAGCAGAACTGCCTCAAATGCGAAAGGAACTGAAGGATCTGAGAACTACAATTTCAGAAACGATGGTAAACGTTGTATCCACAGGGGGTGGGGTGACTACTTCGTGAACTTTACAGGTGTGATTTTGATGCCGACTTGATCCTTTTTCATTGTTGAATACAACCACCTTTTGCTTGGATATAGGTAGAAGTAACGAGTTAACTAAGGCCACGCCGCAAGAGCTATCTAGAACTGCTAGTAGAGCCAGCGAACTCGGAACTTGATCGCAAAATTTAATTGGTTTCAACAAATATCTTGAATGTTGTCCTGGATGGTGAAAGAGAAAATATTCTCTCACCATATTCTGTCTTTACAGGCGCAATGTAACAAAGCTTCGTCGATAAGAATAACAATATTGCAGTCTGTTGCGGCGATAGTTACTGCGAAGGAAAGAAGAAAGGAAGTCAAATCTCAGCACAGACACAATTCACAGGTAATTCGTCGCTCCCTCACAACATAATGCTTTTAACCGGTAAGAAGCACAGTCCATTCTTCGTATTACGCTCATACTGTAGCTGCGCCTTGTCCTGGCAGTCGAATATTAGACTCACTCAACATTGGACGCCACCCAATCATTAAGTCCAGGGTACGGCAACACTTCCGCGCTCGAGGCGATGTTCGGAGACACTTTTTCTTGTCGAACTCGATGCAGAAACAGCACAGCTTCGAACTCGCCCGCTAACGCGGCCTGATCAATGGCTGAATACGTGCAATTCTGAGGGCGGTGGGTCTGAAGCCACTTCATTACGTGCCAATGCCCGGACGCTGCAGCCAAACGCATCGCATTGGCCGAGCACCCTTCACTTCGATTCTTGTGCAGCCACTTGACGATATCAAGGTGTCCTTCTCCCGCGGCACCGTCCATCGCTTCCGTTGTACAACCGGCACTAGTATTCTCATGAAGCCACTTGACGACTTCAAAGTAGCCTTTAGCTGCTGCGGCGTCCATCGCATCTGTGCTACAAGTGAAGTTCGTGTGGTTATGTAGCCACCTCAGCGCCTCCAGTTGTCCCTGCCTCGCTGCTGCATCCATCGCCGCCGCCGTAGAGATATCGCAGTGCTGACGTAGCCACTCCATCATCTCGATATGCCCTCCAGCAGCTGCCAAAATCATGGCAAGTTGTGTGCAACCTTCGCTTCGGTTATCATAAAGCCACTCGACCACGTCCAAGTGGTTGTTTGAGGCGGCAGCGTCCATGGCCTCCGTCGTGCACTCGATGCCTACGTACCGGTACTGGAACATTCTGCCGCTGATGGACACCTTCATATTCAGTTTCCTTTTCTTTTGTGGGGTTGAATCCTCACCCTCATGCGACTTTTTCGTCATCTCGTGCAGATACTTGACCACATCCAGGTGCCCATTCATCGCCGCCGCGTCCACAGCTCGAGTCAGATGGAAGATACTGTCTTCGCGATGTACTCCTTGGTCTGAGAGGCTGCTGTTGCGCTCAACACCAAATCCAGAGCACAACCACTTGACAACTTCCGGCAACCCCTTCTCAGCAGCCAGCAATATCGTTTCATTCGACACTTGACACGCTCGGTACTCGTCTCCAACCGAATCACGCAGTTTGCCTAGCGTTGCGCTTTGTATTTGCTTTCCTCACTACTATCAATCTCTCGGACAGCAGTCAACATGCTCCAATAGATACTTGGCCACCTCCACGTGTCCATTGACAGCGGCAACGTGGATAGAGAGGCTGGCCTCGCCACCGAGGGAAGTTAAGGCGTTTTTATTGGCACCTTCTCCATTCGTCTTAGGACAAACTCCACCCTCGATCTCACGGTTGATAACCCATCGGACGATATCAAGATGCCCACTCTCAGCCGCTCTTAAGAGAACTCCAGTGCCATTTGCGGCTTGAGTGAAATACGACTGGAGCATTGCCAAACAGCCTTTCGCGGCCGCTTCGTAGAACGCACCACATCTAGGGAGCGGGATTCCCTTCTCGTCTTGTAACCATCTCACCAGCTCTACATCGCCGTTTGCCACTGCAGCAGACATGGTGTAATTCATCGCCTTGGTACCGCTCCGACCCTCTCCAACCTCTGTCAATAGCCACTTGACCACGTCCGAGTGGCCACCTCCCGCAGCATTCATGGTGTCTCTGCCTCCCCACGAAACATCTCGAGGCCACTCGGCCGTATCTTCGAAAATCTCGTCATTGGCATTGAGGTACTTGAGGATGTCGAGAGCTCCCGCCCCAGCTGCAGCCTCCACCACTTCGGTACCTACTACAACTCTCGGGAAGTATTCAAAAAGCCACTTGGCCAAGCTCAAATTCTTGCGTTTAACGGCTTCCAGGAGGCATTTGGAGAGTTGATACTTGTGATACTGAGGTCCCTCCGTTCGAAGCTGGTTTCGTATCGACCAGAAAGGGTCTTGGCCTGGCTCGACGTCCACGGTGCTGGCCCAGATACGGTCTAGAAGCGGCAATGACGCGAATCTACACGCTTTGTCGAGCGGCAGCTCTACCGAAGTGTCGAGGTAGACCGAGACGAGGGCTGCCCAGGGCTTCGCATGAATCAATACGGTATTAATACAGCACCCCATGCCTACTGTATTGCTACTGGGCGCACCACTATCTGGCTTTTGTATTAGCTGCATTACTATAGTTGTAGTTTGTATTATTACGGTCGAAATACAGACGGGGCCATGTCTACCAGCACGTAGAGTGCCCGCAACTGGCATTGAATCCCAACACTTTAGCTTGCAATGGGCTTGAATAGGACTCCTGCTGTCGATCTGGGCTCCCGTGGCATGGATGACCGAGATATCGAACCACCGAAACGCGCTCCATCCTATACTTTCATTCATTATTATTTAAGTTCTCTGCGAAATGCACACGACTCTACAGTAGACTACGCAACAGTATAACAGCAAACTACAAAGCAGCACCCATCTACTTCCAACTCCGCCGAATTGATTTCGAGATCAATCGTATCCGGTCAGTTTTCAATTCATACTTACTAGCTGTGAATCGCACTTATGTGGATACTATAGTTTATCCTAGTAAACCTTTGGGAGCTCATTAGACTGCTGCTGTATCTACTACTGTGGTACTGTATTACTACACACCCTGTCTATTTCTGTGGAGCATGCTACTATAATAATGCACACCATTCATCCGTATTACCTGTAGTGGTACAGCTCAAAAGGTGGTTAATGCGAAGCCCTGGGGTGCCACCTGGGCCAGGCTTGAGATCTGGGGCTTGTTTTGGAACAGGAACCTCACGACCTGCAGCAGCTCATGTTGACTCGGCATCATGTCGAGGAATAGTAGGGCAAACAAAAATACTCTTGAAGTCACTGGCATGATTGACAGTAGCTGTCTCAGTCTATTGATGGCCCTAGCTTTGCGATTGAAGACGACTATCATGGCACGTGTTAGAAGAAGAAGAAAAGGAAGGTTGATTACCATAGCTGCCTCAATGTAAATGGACTAGGCTGTTGGACGACGAGTCAAAATTCGGCTTGGTGGTGGGGGAATAAGCTGCTCGCAGGGTTCTTCGGATCCCAATCGGTGGAGGGCAACACTGGCACTGTAAGGTGTCAATGGTCGGCCGCAAAGGCAGCGTCGGTGAGGAGAACGTGGCTCCGATAAAGACAAGGAGCTTGGACCTCTGAAGGATAAATGGGTATTTCGAGAGGAGACGAAGGCGAGGCTGAAAATGGGTTTCTCGGCGAGGAGAGGTCATGGTTTTTGCTACTGGACAATACGACCGACACCAAGGAAAATCAAGCTCTCCAAGCCAGTTGCGTGTGCTTAGGTGCTGGTTTTCCCCGCCGAACGGCACCGTCATCCGGTGGCGGGGTTTTTCCCACGCTAGGTAGGATAGTTAGTGGAGCAGCGCCATTCGTGTTCTTGAGGCGTGACCATCAAGTGCCGGCTCCGTCAACGACATCATCGCCGCGGTCACGCGCTCGACCCACCTCACCGCTCCCTGGACTGGCCTCTCCAGCCCCAGTCTCGGGTTGACGCCGCGACCGAAGCTTCGCGTTGCGACGATCCTCGTCTCGGCCCTCCGAGGACGAGTCTTTAATGCGAATGGACTGCTCCTCTTTACCCCATGATCTTGACGAGCGGAAAATGATCTTTTTGTTTTGTTTTAAGTTGAAATTGACCGACGCCTACTACCGAATTCCTCGATGAGCTGTACCCTCGAAAAGCTGTACCCCCCATGGGTTTGCTACGGTATATAAAGTGATGGGCAACTTTTGAAAGGTCGTCCTCGATGAGCTGTACCCCCCAGTTCTAATTTATCCAATCATATTGTATGAAGGCCGACTCTTTACCTCTTTTAGACCAATGAGATTCGATTTGACACGAAGGGCCTTTGGCGATGTACCACGGGGGTACAGCTCATCGAGGAATTCGGTAGACCATCTAAATTGAATTCAGTAAATTCTGAATGCTACTTGTACCATCGATACCTTAATTACTCATCTAGATATGCGATGCAACTAAGCTATTGCCGCAAGCGCCGTCGATAAGAACTACTTCAATATTGCAGTGTGTTGCAACTGCGAAGGAAGTAGAACGTCATGAAGGGTTGTCAGGCGTATTCAAACTACTGGTAGTATTCAAGCTACCGCTTGTTCTTGTCCGCTTTTGCTAACTAAGAGTGTTGCCACCATCAACCTTCAGACGGACAACTTTAGACAAGGTGTTGTGGAAAACGGAGCACCATTCATTCAAGATTACTGAGCAGACAGTCGTTAATCAAAACAAGTGCTACATCACGAAGCCAATCTCCTTCGATGCAGTATGCTCACCAGTGTCTCTGCGATAGCAGCCCTGAGGTCCTTCAGTTCCTTTTGCATGTAACGCAGTTCCGTTTGCCTCTGGTCGTACCATTCCCGCGTCTTAATTATTGTCACCGCTCCGGACCATCCCCTCCCCATGTCCTCCAATTTGAAGGAAGCGTTCATTTGGTAGATAGGACCCCACATTGAGCAGAGCTTCTTGGTAACTCTTGGTTCATCCTCAGAAGAAAACATTCCCTCCGTAATTATCGTCGCTTCGGAGCTGCGTAGGAACGTCTCCACTTGGGGGAAGTCAGGGAACTCTGCAGCGGGCATTTTCCACGAGAACGGCCTCTCTAGCACGCGGATCTGGCTGGCCAACCATTCGCTCCGGCACGCTAGAATCGCCACCAGCACCGCTTTCTTGTCATCCGGGAAGCGACCATCGCCAGGAAAGTTTGAAAAAGTCTTGATTGCACGGGCCAGAAACCTCGGGCTCATTTGCTGGAATTTATTGGGTAGGGTCTGGAACGTCATCTCGTTACTACGGCTGAAAACCACAGCCCACAACGACTCCAGCGATCTCAACGAACTCAGCGTTTCGTCATCAAGCTTCACGGCTTTCTCCACCGCCAAAGTCAATAGTGTTTGCTGCAAGTCCCGTCGTGTTAGCTGTCTAGCTATGTCTAGAGCACTGGCCACCTCCGTGTCACTTGTACCATCCAGCGCTCGAGGCAACCCATGTCCGACGTCACCACACTCAAACTTCTCCAACATTGCAGCGATGTGTTGAACACACAGCTTCTTCCCGGAAACGAGGTACCACGTGGCTACGATTCGCTTGAAAAAGTTGGAGTAAAACAAATTTACCAGACTTGAGTCATCCGCGTTCTCGACCAGCCTGCTTAATGCTTCACACAAATCCCATAGGGCATAAACAGGGATAAACTTTTTCTGGCGTCGCCAGGGGTCTGCTTGACACTCTTACTCGAGAGCATGTATTGCCGATATGCAGTTGTTGCTTGGCCCGTAGCGAATAGTGCGGAAAACGCGGTGAAGTTCGTGAATATCCAAGCTGCAGCAGCGATTCTCAAGGAATTGCCATCTATGGATACACCAAAGTTACGCAAGTTTATGGATACGGGAGATGCCAAATTAGCAATCCCGTGTATCCACGCACGTCACTACTTCCGAACGGCATCTTCCAACGCTGAGACTGCGTTTGATGACAAGGATTGAGAAAGTTGAGTTTGAGCTCCACCTCGTCACCATATCCAACCCGAGACCCGTCCGTAGTGTACCAAGTAGCTTTCTCCTCGCGACTTTCTTCGTCCCAATCTCCAAGCTCCCCACCATTTCCGCAATACTCAATTTGGTGGTGCAACTCGACTAGATGAAGCTGCAGCTTCTTCTCAGCAGAAACGGAATTATTTGCTTCCTCCAATGCCAGAAATCGCGTGCGATCAACGCCCTTCAATCCACTTGGCCCAAAGCCCTTAATACTACGCATCGTGTACTCGTGATCAAGTAGCAGCGCGAAATTGCCGTCCACTGACGTCATAGTATCAATGACTTCTGCTAGTTCTCCACTCATCGGTCGATTTGGGTTCCGCTCCAAGTGCCGCATGTTTACTGGTAAGCAAACCGAGCATACTAACGCGAGACGGTACCCTTTCGTTACCCTCTCTGGTGCATGCTCTGCGTCAGCGTAATGAACAGCGTAATGGGGCAGGTACGTCGCCGTTCCTTCCGCTTTCCCGAAATCATAGCGATGTTTCACCTCTCCGTTCCGATACACCACTAAGTCTCCTCCTTCGTGCAAGCTCGCAGGCTGCACAATCAACGTCGCGATCATGCCATCCTCCTTCTGTCACACAAGCCGATGCGAAGACCCGAAGCTTGATAAGCGCAGTGGCGAGCGCTCGAAGAACACTTGAGAGGAAGTTGGAAAGTTGAAAAGTGATTGATTGATCCGTGAGTTTAGCGTCGGCGCGCCGCCGCCGCGCAACCAGTAGTTCTTGGCGACCAGGACACGCAAACAAGTATCCAGGTCCCATCCTAAAGTCTATCAATATCAAATCCTAGATCAATCCTTATCTACCAATGAAAAACTACTAATCCTATTCGTAGCTTGGCCAAAATTTGTGACTTGCGTCCCCTAATCAAAAGTCCGGCTGAAAAACTTGATTGTTGCACATTTCAAGGATTTACAGCCAATGAGGTCGCGCGAATGTCCATGTTTACTCGTCCCATAATCAAGTTTACTTTTGACACCAGCCAATAGGATAGCATATAATGAATATAAACCATGCATCCCCGTATAACGCTGTCCAGCGTAAACTGAAGTGCTGTGCAGCAGCACTTGACGTGGGAGTCCTCTGCCATCTCATTGGCAGACGGACGTCCACGTCGCATGACCTCCTTTCCAAGAAGGCCCCACTACTTCGAAGCTGCACTATACTTCTCCTTGGAGTCCCAGTACTTGTCAATGAGCCCTGGAATCTGATTCAGGTTCTCTACAGGTTCCCATGTAGCGTCTTCTCGGGGTTCACCAAGCCACCAAATCCGATATTGGAGCATCTTCTTCCTGCGACGGTGGCGATGACTTCACGTACACGTTGTCCCTCTGAGCCATCATTCAAGATCACCGCGTTAACATTTTGGCTGCGTGATTCGTCGCTGCGATACGGCTTGAGCAACGAAGTGTGGAAAACGGGATGCAACTTGAGCCCCTTCGACAACTTCAGCTCGTAGGAGTCATGATGAACTTGCTTCACGACCGGGTAAGGACCAATATACCTTGGCGCAAGTTTCTTCGCCTGTGCAAACCCCTTGTGACGAATGTCCAAGTTCCGTCCATCCAAAAGTACCATATTCCCGGGTTTGAAGTCTTGAGCAAGTCTGTTCTTGTCATAATACGACTTCATTCGAGTTTGCGCCTCACTCATCGCGTCTTGTGCCATTTTCAAAATTGCGTCTTGCTTGAGCAGGAAATCTTGTGCTGACTTCTGCAACTGCTCAAACTCTGGGTCCCCAGCCACCTCATCTGGCATATAGGGCACATAACCCAGATCAGCCTCAAACGGTGACATACCGATCGAGGAATGGACACATCTGTTGTACGCGAATTCGGCGAGATGTAGGTATTCATCCCAATCATTCTGGAATGGGTTCACGACACCTCGTAGATAGTCTTCAATAAACCGATTAGTACGCTCGGTCTGACCATCCGTTTGCGGGCGGAAGGCGGACGACAAGTTATGAGTCGTCTCTAATGTCTTAATCACCTCCTGCCAGAACTTTGATGTCAATTTCGAGTCACGGTCTGAGACGATCGACTTCGGCACTCCATGGTCTTTCACATAATTGGCCATGAATAGGGCAGCAGTCTCTTCTGCTGTCGCCGCCGTGCTCGTGGCAATGAACTTAGCACGTTCGTCAACCGGTCCAAAATAACCATAATGGCGTCTTTTCCGGCTGCCGTCTTCGGTCGTGCAACCATGAAGTCCATCGTCACATCAATCCATCTGCCTCCTGGAATCTTCAACGGTTGAAGTAGCCCGGCAGCTTTGTTTGGCGTGCCTTGTTTCGCTGACAAAGCTCGCACGTGTTCACATAACGCTGAATGTACTTCGACATCTTGGGCCAGTAATATTTCTTCTGGACGCCTAAGTATGTCTTGAAGTATCCGGGGTGACCTGCCGTGACCACATCGTGGTTTTCACAAATAACACGGTTCTTCAGATCTTCATTGTCCGGAATCACCAGTCGAGCATTTTCATCATCTCTCGTTTGGTAATACAGCAGTCCATTCTTCACAGAGTAGCGTGGTACCTCTTTACAACTAGCGATACTCTGCAACAGCTCCTGAACTCTTCGGTGTGTAGAGTACAGTTGTTTGGCCGAGTGCGTCACAGTTGCACTGGTCCTTTGGACGCTAGCTACAATTTCACGGTTTCGAGCCGCTTCAATGAGCTCACTGAGACTAACCTGAGCGGCTTTGTGCTCAAAGAGTGGGTTTCGAGACACTGCATCCGACACTTGGTTACTGTCGCCTGGAATCCATTTGAACTGTGGTTGGAACTCGGTTAGTTCATTAAACCAGCGAGCCACACGACGGTTTGTTGTCTTCTGCGTCAATATAGTCTCAATACTCTTGTGGCCTGTCTCCACCGTAAATGGCCGATCGAGCAGGTAGACTCTCCACACCCAAAGTGCATGCATAATAGCCAGCAATTCCTGTTCGCGCACTGGGTAGTTTAGCTCCGCTGGTTTCATTTTACGACCAGTGAATGCGATCGGATGCTCGAGCCCTCCCTCGTTCTGAAACAAGACCCCCCCTATGGCAAAGTTCGAGGCATCCATACGAATACCGAACGGTTTTTCGAAATCAGGAAGTTGCAACACGGGAGGGGTGGATAGACGGCGCTTGAGTTCATGAAAACATTCCAACTGGTGCTCAGACAAATGCAGCGTTTCCTTTGGGCGCAAACCCTTAGTACTTTCATGCAATGGTCCTGCGAATTGCCCGAAGTCGGCGCAAAAGCGCGAGACATAGACCGTAGTACCCAAGAAGCTTTCCATTTGCTTCTTTGTCCGTGGAATCGGCCACTCGCGAATCACACGCACTTTGTCAGGGTCCATTCGAACACCATTGCGGCCCACAAAATCACCAAGACAAGGGATCTCTTCGACACAAAACTGGCACTTTGACAACTTGACATACAGATGCTGCTCTTGACAGCGTTGGAGTACTCTGTCCAACGCTTCGACATGCGTCCGAACAACTGTGTCTTGAGTGAAAACATAGATGTCATCAAAGTAGATGCGCATGACATCGCGTAGGTCGCTAAACACACGCTGTAACAATCGGATAAAAGTGCCAGGACTACCGCTCAAACCCATAGGGGTGACAAGATACTCAAACAGCCCATCGGGCGTCGAAAAAGCAGTAAATGGAATGTCAGATTCACGAAGTTTAACCTGGTAATATCCCCACAAGAGGTCCATGCAGGAGAGCCAGTAACTACCCCCCATTGCGTCGAATGTGTCTTCCTTCCTCGGCATGGGTATGGCCGGCAAAATGGTAGAGCTGTTGAGCTGGCGATAGTCGTGCACAATACGCCAACCCACGGGTTTCTTGACACAAAAAGTTGGGGCACTGAATGCCGAGGTGCTAGGGCGAATGATTCCAGCCTGTACCATCTCCTTCGTCCAATCTTGGATGACCTTGCGCTGCTCTGGGCTTTTGCGCCACTGTTTCACCGAAATCGGTTGCGTTCCCGGCTGAAGCTGAATTTCGTGCTCAATCCCTTCGCGGACAGGAGGTGTGGGACTCGGCAGCTTAGTGCGAAACACAGTATCGCGGTACTTGAGGAAAACTTCATATGCCGGATTGTCCGCTAGCCCCTCCCATCCTTGTTGCTTAAAACGCTCAGCCTTTTCTGAGTCGTGCGGGTTCACAACAAAAACAGCTTCAATACCCTTCCCTTTGCGAAGTTCCTTCATAAATTGCTTCGTTGAGATCAGCTTCGTTTCTCCGAACGCACCGGTGTGGCCATGCTGCCGGTAGTAATGAAATATTTCACGGTTCTGGTTTGCATTCTTGAAACGACGGCCTCCAATCATACGTGCAGGAGGTCGGTTAGGTACCACTAACTGATGGGCCGGGGGTTCTCGGTCCTATTACGCGGACGCAGTAGTAAGCGTTCCCAGTCGATGTCAGGGTTATTCTCCCGAAGCCACTTCATTCCGAGGAGCACGTCCTTGTCTTCTGGAACAGGCATGGCCGTAAACGTCTCGCACGTCACGGGGAAATTCGGAATCTGTAGCATCATTTCGTCGGTACGTCTTGGTCTTTGCACGGTTTGGTTGTATCCCAGACGAACTGTCATCATGTCGTCGGGATGCTCCGTGATTTCCAATTGTAGTCGCTCGGCTAACGCTTCCGTGACACCGTTGAGGCTGCTGCCATTGTCGACAAAGATCGAAACTTCTGCGGGGGTCTCATCCTGCTTGAAGGCTAAAGCGCTTACTTCCAAAATAGCATAGAATGATCCGCCAACATAGTGGTTCATCTCCTTGGTGGACGTACATTGTGGCTTGATATGGCCGAATTGTCCACAGTTGTTACAAGTGGCTGACTTTCGTCAATCCTCTTTCGGCCCACGCTTCGAAGGTGGCTTTCGTTCCTGTGGCTTGGTCGTACTGTTAGCCGCAGGTTTCACAGACGAAACTGCTTTCGAAAAAGGCTGATGACTCCCTGCAGGTTTTACCGATAGCCCTCCATAGTGAGCAAACTCAAAGTTCGTTGCAATCTCAATGACCTCATGTAAGAACCTTGGACCTGAGTTCCTTCACCTTCTTAGCCGTCTCCGCACGAAGCCCATTCTGGAAGTAGAAACGCTTCTCCATTTCCGAAATGTCCAACTCGGATTGAGACATCAAATCCTGAAACGACGACACGTATTCATGGATAGGTCCGTGTTGTTTCAGTTGAAACAACCGCTCACGCAAGTTGTATTCAAAGTCTTTCGGGCGAAAGCGCTCGCGCAACTTTGCCCTAAACAGTTGCCATGATTTCGGCATCCCCGCCGCATCACAATCCGACGAAAAGGCACGATACCAGTTCAGCACAGACTTGCCTAAACTGCTTGATATCATGATCACAAAATCGGACGTACCGGCCTCCATTATTCCTCGTTTGTTAGCGTAGTACTCCTCCGTAGCAAAGATCCAAAGTTCTAGGTCTTCGCCAAATTTCCCTTCATACGTGGGAGGATCCTTCTTCCGTCGTTCACCTTGCGAGGCCAGTAGTTGCTCAAAACGACTGTTGACCTGTTGCATTTGCATCTGCAACTGGGTCTGCATCTGATTCTGATACATTTGCTGCTGCTGTGCAATCCACAACATCAACTGCTGCATCGACATTGACTCAGGCGCAGGGGTTGTCGTCCCCGCTGATGGGGCTTCACTTTGCGCTTCTTGTGGCGTTGCCGCTTCCGTTTGAGCCGTCCGCGGCACTTGACGCTGCCGCGGGTTAGGCGATTCACTCTCACCCGCCCTACTCCTTGTCACAGGCATTAGGTCTCGAGCAGATAGACTTTTCGGTGAGTGATCCGTAAAACGGTACAATAAAACGGAGACGAAGTGAAGCTAAAAGAGTGTTTAAAGCTTAGTGTTTCTGAGGTTTTAGGCGGATAAGCCCGTTAATCTTCGCAGCAATGTTGTCCTCGCAGCTCTTAAGGTCGAGAAGAGCTAAGTTGAGTTGCCAATCAACCTTACCCTCAACGCTGTCGTCCTTGATACCCCAGACCTCTTTGCGGAACTTAACCAGGACCCTCTTAGCGGTTTTGACCTGCTTGAGAAGATCCGATTGCAATTTCGCAATTTTCTCCGCCTCGACCGGCGAGAAGAAGAGATCGGTGTCAATAGCCGTAACAGGAGGAGGAGCCGGCGTAGACGTTGATGATACTTTAACGTCACGCGCTTTTTGGTGCTTCCTCTTACTGCTGTGGTTACGACCCTTTTTGTACCGGGCCATGGACCGACTCCAAAGATCGAAAAAGGCAAGGGACTACTACCGGGTAACCAGGGACCGTTATACTTCTACAATGTTCCGCGTTAGCAGACACAAAGCAGGCGCCCTGTTACTGAACCGACTTCTAGTAAGAGTCCAACACAATCCCGAAGGTTAGGTACTATCCGGTCTAGGCGTGGGCCAAGCCCCAATGTGGTATTTACACCTGCCCACGGCGTGATGTACCCACTTCTTCGAAGTGTGCTCCCACCGAAAACTACACGGTCGCAACCTAGACCGTCCCCACTATGTGGCTAGCTCCAATAGTCACATATAAACTCGCTTCGGAAGGTACCCCCACGAGCAACCTAGTTTTGAACTTGAACCGAAGCTTAACCAACAAGTGCTACCATGTCACACAAGCCGATGCGAAGACCCGAAGCTTGATAAGCGCAGTGGCGAGCGCTCGAAGAACACTTGAGAGGAAGTTGGAAAGTTGAAAAGTGATTGATTGATCCGTGAGTTTAGCGTCGGCGCGCCGCCGCCGCGCAACCAGTAGTTCTTGGCGACCAGGACACGCAAACAAGTATCCAGGTCCCATCCTAAAGTCTATCAATATCAAATCCTAGATCAATCCTTATCTACCAATGAAAAACTACTAATCCTATTCGTAGCTTGGCCAAAATTTGTGACTTGCGTCCCCTAATCAAAAGTCCGGCTGGAAAACTTGATTGTTGCACATTTCAAGGATTTACAGCCAATGAGGTCGCGCGAATGTCCATGTTTACTCGTCCCATAATCAAGTTTACTTTTGACACCAGCCAATAGGATAGCATATAATGAATATATACCATGCATCCCCGTATAACGCTGTCCAGCGTAAACTGAAGTGCTGTGCAGCAGCACTTGACGTGGGAGTCCTCTGCCATCTCATTGGCAGACGGACGTACACGTCACACCTTCTCGGTGTCCTGGTGCTTCAAAAAGTGGCCCCCTTCTCCATTTTCCAACAATGTCCATGAGTGGGGCAAATAAATGTAGCTTTTGCCACATCAAGGGCGTGGCGTGGCGGGTTGCTGGAGCGAGGAGAATTCGCAAGTGAGCCATCATCGACTCTACCTCCTGCTAACTCTAACTATAACTACACTTGCGACATCGGGAAACTCTGGCTTCGTCCTCAACTTCTCCGTGACAAGACGCAGCTCTTGCATCCGCAACCTTCAAATACCAGCAACTTGTACAACACACACTGCAGCGGAATATCCTTGTACCCCAGTCGATCCGCAATAGTCACCGCCATCTTCTCAATCCCTGCCTTCCACAGCGGATTCTTGAACTGAACTTGATCAGACTGCAACTCCCAGCTCTTCCGAACGTTCTCGTCCATCTTTGTGTCCATGTTGTGGCCGAACGGAGACATCGTGCACTTCTCGATGAGTCTCTGGGCTCTCTCCTTCCACGACGGCACTGGAACGGGCCCCACTCCATCGACAAATATGCCGGGAACTGCCGGCAGTTGGTCGGCTTGGCCGCCGAAGGAGAAATCGCCAGAGAGCTCGCTCGTCCACCCCAAGATGTCGCTGATCTTGATACACGCAGCTCCCGTGGGAACTGGGATTTCATCTAGCGCTCCCTTGCCACTGAATGGCCACTCCATGTCGCCGAAGTCTTCGCTGAGATTTGGGTCTTGCTTGTACAACTCCACCCTACGTTCGTCGTCTGATGTGACGGAGCACACAGCACTTTTTAACAGAGGAAGCAGGAGTATACAAACTCCAAGTGAACAGCCGTTCACGTGTCCCTGGTCTGAAGGGGACGACTTGACTTGAAAAGCGGTAGATCTAAGACTGAATGTATTTATAGGTTGGTACAGATTTGGCCTGCGTACAAATCCTAAGTTCCCTATAGTTTGTGTCATACAAAATGTATCTGTTGGCTCTGAGGCCACTTGGGTCACTATCCAGGGGAGTGACAGATGTAGCCATCCCGGAATAGTGACAGGGTCACTATTCCATGTAACCCCGTTACATCCTCCCCCCCCCTTAGAGCGAGGTTACGCCGGCGACTCACATTTCACTCGCAAAGTCGAAATCCATCGACAACGGCGCGAGCTCTGGCGCCTCGGCTCTCGGGCCTCACAGAGCAACTGGCGCGTCGCCGAGCAAGCCGCAGGGTCTCCACGTCGACTGGAAGCATGCCTCCAAGGCGCAGTGCGCGCAGTGCGAAACCACCTCCGAAACCGCGGGTCGTAGGGCCGAAGACCAGGGCGGCCAAGGCCAAGGTCGAGTCGCCCGCGCTGATGGAGGCCACGAAGGCGGCCGAGGAGGTGGTGCGCTCTCGTAGCAGCACGCCGGAGAGTGGCCGTCAGGCCGGGGCTCGGAGCAAGTCTCCTGACGCCGCGCAAGGCAAGGAGGAGAGTCCTTGGGGCCGTAAAAGCCCGACTCGCGACTGGGAAGCCGCCGTCTTTGACTGCACGATGGTCCAGTACTCCGGTGAGAGTTCACCCGACGACGAGAACGTCTCGGAGGGCAGCACGCACGCTGCCGAAGGCACGGAGCTGGCGGCAGGCGACATGACCGACGCCTCGGGCGACGCAAAGGCCTCGTCAGAGAAGGAGGCGGAGGACGCCGAGTCCGGCTCAGGCGACAGCAAGCCGTCGCACGACGAAGTCGCCATGGCCGACGCTGGGGTCGTGGCCGAGAAGTCGCCGAGCGACGCGGGCTCCAAGCCCAAGGAGGTGCTGGCATCCAAGCATCTGACGCTGGCACAAGGTCGTGAGCGTGCCCAAGCGTCGAAAGCGGCTGCCGCTGCGAAGGCCGCCGAGGCCAATGCGAAGAAGCGTTCAGCTTCCAGGTCGCCTCGCGGCTCCAGCTCCAAGATGTTCATCGACTCGGAGTCTAAGGACAAGGAGGGTGCCGTCCACGAGCCCAAGGAGCTCTCCAACAACCTCGACGAGCAGCAGCAGCAATACCACGCTGCTAGCTCGGGTGCGTATGCCAGGCAGCCGACTGCCACGACTGCCATCGTGCCACGTACCCGCAGGGCTACTTCCCGCCCGAGCCTGGCACTGGTGCGCCAGCGCTGTTGGAGAAGCTCTCGGCTCCTCGTGGCCTTATCAGCGGGTACACCTCGAGGGGTTCCTATGAGCGTGCTCTTGTTGAGAAAGAGCCAGTCTTTCTTGGCGACGTTGAAGTCGCCCGGTGTGTGCTACTAGCACCACACAAGCTCACACTGAAGGAGTTCACCACGCTTCGCAAGAAGCCGGAGGACAAGGGTGGACTCCATCCTGTGTGGGATTTCCACTGGGTCAAGCCGAATGACAACATGACCTGGAGCGAGGTGGAAGACCTCTTCTGGCGCTACGTCCAGCGCAAAGGGTATTCCGACCAAGAGTTCAAAGAACTCCGTGAGGATCGCACTCTGTCCGCAATCCTGGACGTGCGCGAGCTCCGCATCGAGTTCGCTCAACTCGTGAGCAAGCGCAAGCTCCACTCGAAGATGGACGAGCTGAAGCAAGAGGCGAGAGCCAAAGCTCGTGAAGAGCGTGGGCGTGGTGCGACTACGTCTGCTACCGTGCCCCGGGTACCGGCCAAGAAGCCAAGGACTACTTACGAAGCTGCCGCTGCTTCTTGTCCCATATCGCAACAGCCTTCGGGCAGTCAGCCTGGAGCTGCTCAACGGGCTCCCACGAGTTATCCGACTCAGGGTAACCCCTCCACTTCACGAGCAGCTGGCGCTTGCCATGGATCCGCCGCTCCCGGACGACTCGTTCCACGTGGTAGTGGATCTGCCCATTACGATCAAGGAGGGCCGGCGGTGGCCTCGCACGGCCATGGCTACGAGCCTGAGGCGACGCAGCCGTATGCTGGGGCCCCGAGTCAGGTGGTGGCCCTGCAGCAAGAGGAGATTCGTTATCTCCGGGACCGTGTGTACGTCCTCGAGATCGCGCTTGGCGTCGGCCTTGGTGGCGAGGCTGCCGCTCGTACTGGTCAGCCTGGTGCCGTGGAGCGGCTCCGTGAGGATGTTGCCTCGCTTTATCAAGAAACTCGCAGTCTCCATGGCCGTGTGGATCGTCGAGCCGACCTGTCGTCTTACGACTCGCTGCGAAACCAGCTCGCTGGCCTTCGGGCCGAGCTTCATGGCCACTCGCCGTATCCGGAGCAGCAGCAGCCCCACTCGTATCAGGCCCAGTTTGGCCAGGGCTCGTACGGGGCCCCTGCGTATGCTGCTCCGATGTACGCCGCGCCGTCTTACGACCAGCGCGCGTATCAGGCGCCTTACCGCGACCCGACGCCGCGCTTCGAGGAGCTGCGCTCTTCTCCACCGGGCCACCCACCGATTCCGGCGGGGCAGCCAGAGCCAGAGGGTCATGGTACCTCTTAAGACGACCCACGTAAAACGTCGGGTGAGTCGTCATCGACTTGGGCAAGTCTATGGTGTACGCCGCGCCATGCCGGCTGAGGACCGTGAAGGGTCCAATGAAGCGGTGTTTCAGCTTGTTGCTCTCGACCGAGCTAACAGTGTTTAGCGGTTGGTTTCTAGTATCTAGGAGAACTAAATCCCCAACCTTAAACACGTTCATGTTTCCTCTTTCATTTCGGTCAGAGTACTCCTTCTGTTTTTCTTGGGCTTGCGCCATGGTGTCTCGCACCCTGCTGATTATGTTCAGCCTGTCTTCGGCAAACGAGGACAGTTGCTTCCGCAAGGTGGCTGGACTCACGCCCGAGACTTGGGAGGAAAAGGTTTTCCGAGCCTCTCCCCCACTTAGGACCGAAGCCCCGGTACTGCCTCGTAATGTGAGCGGCACCTGAGGGTGGCGCAACCCGTTCAGGTAAAAGGGCGTAAAGCCCGTCGATGCATGTACCGCATTGTTGAGTGCGAACTCAACCATGGGCAAGCGATCAGCCCAAGAGCGGGGCATCTCCGCGCAGATACTGCGGAGCGTGTCTTCGAGCACGCGATTGACGCGCTCCGTCTTGCCATCCATCTGCGGGTGGTCCGCCGTCGACATCGACATTCGCCGAGAAGGCGAAACAGCGTCTGCCAGAACGTAGCGGTGAACCGCGGGTCTCGATCAGAGACAATGGTCTCGGGCAGACCGTGGTGTCGGAAGACACAGTCCATGAACAGGCGAGCGACCTCGTCGCCAGTGACGGTGTCACGAACTGGAGCAAAGTGGACCATCTCGCTCAGACGGCACCCGAAGGCAACAACAGCAGTGTTGCCACGGTCATCGGCCGGAAGTCCGAAGACAAAGTCGAGACTCATCGACTTCCAGCAGTCCGCTGGGACCGGCAGGCTCTGCAATGGTGCCGAGGCGTGACCGGCAGGCTTCACGCGCTGGTACGTCTCGCACGTACGGACGTAGGTGGCGACCCACAGTCGTGGATTTTCAACAGCTATAAAGACAAGATTTCTGGCCAAGACTGTGGCAGACTTGGATTCAAGGCGCCAGCTTTCCTGCCTTGGCGAGGTAAAATCCAAGTCTGCCACAGTCTTGGCCAGAAATCTTGTCTTTATAGCTGTTGAAAATCCACGACACCAAGTTCCAATGACTACGCATCACGGCCAATCTGAAAGCTTCCACCACCTTCAGGTCGGACGTCTCGCACAACCACTTGACAGTCTCGAGATCACCAAATCTCGCAGCCTCGTCAAGTATCAACTGTGCACCCTGCGATCGAAAATCAATAGACGCGGGGCTGACCTAATGGAGATTTTCAACGTGGCTGCCGAGTGCGGCCGCTTACGCGTTGTCAAATGGCTCGTCAAAAAGAAAAATGTCCGGGATATTTGTACCGGATTCCATCGAGCTGCCAATAATGGGCACGTGAACGTGGTGGTGTATTTGCACGGGCAAAATAAGGATTCCTGCAATAAATCGAGTTTGGACGGCGCTGCTCATGTGACGCCACCAAAACATCTGCGAGACAGACGCGTACGTCTTCTCACGGCCGAGATGGCCACTGGATGGAGCGTCGTGCGCCTCCATCAGGATGTCGTACTTGAGATCCTCGTCGTTGGGCACGAAAATACGGGGAGGATCCTCAGGCTCGACCCTATAGTGGAGCAAACCGTCAGCCCACTCATAGCGATGCAGCCATGCACGTTGTCAGGGCGTGAGCCACTCGGCCTTGGCTTCCGAACCAGCGGCCAAGAACCGCACAAGAGGTCCGAGACTGGCATCGTCTCGGTACCCCAGCCTGATGCGATCACACAGATCCGTCGTGACCCGACTAATATGAGCAAGCTCGTAGTCGGGTCGGCGCGACAGCGCGTCGGCAAGCACGTTCAACTTGCCCGGCTTGTACTCGACACGGAAGTTGTATTCCGCGAAGAATGTCAGCCAACGCGCCATCCGCTGTGAGAGATGCGGCGTGTTGACGGCAGTCCGCAAGGACGCGTGGTCTGTATAAACGACAAAGGGCGTCGAGCCCAGGAGGTGCACTCGGAACTTGACAAGAGCGTACTTCATGGCAAGTAGCTCCTTGTCGTGGACTGGATAGTTCCGTTCGGCTGCCTTGAGCTGCCTGGACTGGAACGAGATGACCCGTTCGCGGCCTTCATCGTCGGCCTGCAATAGTGCACAGCCAATTGCGTAGTCAGACG